AATTAATCAACTATTCCTACTTTTTCTACTTTTTCCTATTTTTTTGTCCCACAACTCTGAAAATGAAATCTCATTGAATATTTTTCACACTGTTACTGTTACACACTGTCATATGCAAATCAATGACCAAGGGCCTGGGCGCAGGAGTACTGCAACTATTTCCAAGAGCTTAGTTGAGGATGGAGCACAAGTGTTGTGAGCACAGAACATGCCAAATGAGGCTTACACGTATGATGCTGTGGATGGGGAATACAAAAAAAAACTACTCCTGAAAGCCTGTAAAAGTGTAAAAGTCTTAGTTTTATCCCGATTTTGTTCTCCAAAATCCTACTTTTGTCCTGTTTTTTAATTTTTATTTGATCCTGCTGTTCTACTTTTTCACCCTGGTAAGCTTGAAAGCCTGTTTTCTTTGCACTTACATGTAGGTATTGTTTAAAATTTTTAGGACTTTTGACACTTACAATACTACATGTAGTTCCACAGGCAGAGTTTGAATGTAGGATCAGTTGCCTTTCAATATCAGGGCTATATTTCAGAATATGGACAATCTCATCTCTAGTGTAATAAAAACAGAAATGTTAGGCATTCTGGCAAAATGAGACGGAACTGGGCACGCACCTTAATGGAGAAAAATGCTTTAAGAAAACCCAAATGGGGGTGATTTTTTTTTTTCAGATTTATTTCTATTTTGTAACTTTGATATGTCTACAACACATATTTCAAAGAAGCAGTTATAATAATCGTGGAATAATAGTGTTTTTCGCAAATACAAAAATCGAAACTTTAAAAGCCCTTTTCTCCATCGGTATTTTACTTTTTTGACATGTCGATAAATGGGAACTTTAAACAGCCATAAGTTGTCAACGGAATGTCTGATTGAAGTGCAACAAACAGTATTATAAAGAGAATTCTGTTCTCTTTCCTAATACCTAAAAACCCTTATTTCCATCTCTGCCCAGTACTGTCTCATTTTGCCAGAACACCTCACAAATTTGATGAACACGGAAGCATTTTCTTACCTCCAAACCAGGTTACCAGACAACATTTCATACTCTGTGCATTGCTAGTGGCTGGTAGTTCTCTGCTGATTTCTGCTTAGGCCAAAAAAAAAAATAAGTCGGTCTCTGGTCAGCGCGCGCATCGATTTTAATCATGCGCGTCAATCTTTTTTTTTTTTCCAAAATGTTCCGCAGTAGCTCCAACAGCGCCCTCTATTTCCGCACCTCCTCAATTTTTTTTACCAAAAAACACCCAGGAATGGGAAATTGCACCAAGGCAAATGATCGAGAGCACCAAGGCAAATTATGGAGGACACCAACATGAGGACACCCCAAAAACACAAAATAGTACCCCACCTTGTCTGTACAATCCAAGCTTGAAGAAGAAGAAAAAAAAAAAAAAAGCCGCGTCCCCGCGTCAATTCCGGAACTTTGGTCTGACCAGAGACCATTTTTTTTTTTTGGCCTTATAGCTGGACAATTCTACTGATAGTGGACATGGCTGAAAAGTGGAAACAAAATGAAATCTTCAGAACTACAAGCATCACAACTTCACATGTGGTGTCAAATAAAAAGGGACATCGAGACCTTTTATTTGAGTGATGTGCCAGTCAGATGGAATGTGGTTAAATGAATTTTCTTGTAAAAAAAAACCACCCTGGTTTTGGGGCTAAAATTGTAGAATTGCATGAGAGAGAAAGGCCATATTTTATAAAAAAATAATGCACTGAACTTAGAATACCATGATTCTGTATGTTTGTTATCGCGTGTATGAAGTTGATATATAGTGAACCTATACATTTGTATCTACCACAATATGTAGTTCTTTCATTACATTCTTGCAAGAAACTTCACAGACTCTTTTGATGCGTAGAACATAAAATAATCTATGTCTTAAAGCGTAACATCCGTAACGGTCATTTAATGCTTAGGGGCCTATATCTCATTAATTAATTCAGCTAACCCTACATAAAAACCATGTCATGTTGTACACTAAGGCCTAAGCTAGAGTTGTTTTCTTTCACTGCAAGAATTTTATTTTGTTGTTTCAAATTGGTCTTAGGCTCTGAATATAACGTCTGTAACGATGGAATTGCCCAGCTCAGCAATACTTTCAGCTTAACGTCTCCATGAAACTGAACCCAGTATTCAAATGATGATTTCCATCGCTGAGTTAAGAGTCCGGTGGCGTTATACGCTCATCCTGCCGATACCATGTGACATTTTAATGCCAGCCAAATCCATTAACCCTCAATGCCGGAAACCATACACTGAATGAGGATGCCAGAGCTGGTCTAGCTTATACTTGTACATCAAGGGAACAATTACTGGGATTGAATGGAGTTGCCAGTGAGGGGAATGTTCTGATAGAGCGTAGATGACAACGTTCTCGACAATTTTGACCAAAGCTTACAGAACAGTGATAAATGGTGGGATTTACGAAGCAGCTACAGTGTTGCCTCTGGGTGTCTCTTGGCTTTGCTGCTAATTAACTGGCATGTGCAGTGAGATTGATGTCATGTGATATTGTTTCCGTGGAAACGTGATGTCCACTTTAATGAAAGTCCACAGCCTAGCAGCAAGCATTATAAACAGAGTGAAAGTCAGACAGCATTTACGCGAATAGCTTTTCCATCACAAGAAAACATTAATGTAGTTCTTAAGTTATTTTGAGATTGAGATGAGGACCCCACACTAGTAGGATTAGGGCAAATGTATTCATTTAAAGATGTATTATGTTCGTGTTCTAAACAAAAACAAATTCTAAAAAAATTTCAATATGTATATATTTTTTTTTTTTAAATCAAGTTGTTTGTCTTTTTTGGCATCCGCATACCTCTTAAAAATATTTGCTTGCTTTTTGAACTATAGTCTACTTCACTCTTTAAGTAGACTGGTTTCTGGTCTCCACATTATTGATTTTGATAGGGAGAGGCAACCAGTCTATCCTGTGAGAACTTTAATTGTTGTCAGGCTGCAAAAAGTAACTATCTTTAACTTAATGTTGGCTAATGTTGGCTAAAAAAATATAAAAAAATGATGTCCTGTACAAAGCTAATAACTTTGGTATCGCTAGTCAAATATCATAAAAAAGCAACACACTGATAGTTATCGGGGTGAAACTATGGAAAAAAACATGGACAGTACATTGTTCATCGTTAAAGGGAAGATACAACATTTGCAAACATCACAAAACGAAAAGATCAAATTATCATGAAATACCTCACTGGTTTGTTTGGGAATGACAGTCTAAAGCATCCTGTAAAATCGTGGCTCCTGGTATGTTTTCATTTGAAAGTAAAACAGTATTTTTCCAACGCTGGTCGGCCGACCAGCGTTGGAGAAAACTGTTTTTTTTTCAAAAACTGCTCCTATTTTTTCATAATTAGTTATTCCGCATTTTCTTTGCAATTGATTACACACCTGTGAAGGGGTACAAGCCTGCTAGACTGATTCTCTGACCTTACAATTCCCCAAAGTCTATAAATTGCTCCGTTTCATCTTAAGTGGGGTCAGGGAACCAGACTACAAGAACATGATTGGTGTTCTTGGTTTTTCCAGCATCTACAAGCCCAAAACGTGAAACAAGTCATTTTAACAATATCTGCTATAACATACTAATCCTCCAAATCCATTTATTTCAGAAAATTGCGGCAAAAGCACATGTTGTACATTCCCTTTTAATAAAAGATGAGAATTAAAGCATTTGACAAAAACAAGTTGCTGGACCATATCACATAAAAATGTGGAAAAAGATCCCATCTTGAGTTGGGTGCATGCAAATGGTTTCCCGGTTGTTATTCCTGACATCATGGTGTTTCTCATAGATCAATTCATAGAACTTGTGAGAGAAATCGATAAGATTTGTACAAGTGAGGAGGCAGTCGAGTGTTAGCATCCTCTCTGTGTGCAGGCTTCAGAAGATTTTTCTCATGGGTTTTATTACAGGATCATATTAAGAAGTTATTGTTCTTGTTGAAGCTTGAATTTTAGATTTTGTAATAAGGATACAATGTATTTAATAAGGTTGCTCAGAATGCAAACAGTCTTGCCCCATGAGGTTGGTCGGATGTATTTTATCATGAGATTTTTCAGATTTTCGTCTGAAATCAGACCTTTTGAATCTGGGAGAAAAAAATAATAAGTATACATGTTGAAAGAAATGCATCTTTCAGACCATTCATCCAATTTTCAGAATTTTTTTAAAATTCACAATTTTATCCCTACTTCTAATTAAAAAGATCAGTTCCCACTAATAAGGCAAGCAAAAACTAAAAAGGAAAAAAAAATAGGACCGATTCAATTGACTAAAATATACCCTAATTGATTTTAGGTTTATTCAGACAGACAAATGTATGCATTAATTGTCTCGCATTGACTATAGACCAACGACTTAAACTAACATGTTCTTGAGTTTTTTTGAATCACTATAACAAATGACCTTTTTGTCTTATTCATGTAGTCTTAAGTTTCAAATGTTGAATGTTTCATTTATACTTTGCTTCTGAAGACGCAGTTTTGGAAATTTCCGTTAGTAGTTATTTTTTAATTCAACGAAGCTGTGAATGACTGTGCGCAAGCAGTGATGCGTTGCACATGCGTGCATGGTTGCTGTAATTTGTCGCTTCAGTGCGTGACATCGCGTAGCTGCAATCGGCTGAGTGAGAACGTGTCCCAGACGCTGATTTCGGGCGCAATACAAAACAAGACTCGGCAATTTTTAACTTGAAATAGAGATCCTAGAATATTGTTTTCTCAGCATTCACTGAGCTAAAAGTTCATCAGGTAATTAGTTGTTAAGCACCCTTCTTTAGATTTTGAGCACTTTTGTTGCTTAAAATGACAACAATGCACAAATAACAAATGATATACTACTTTTGAATGGGGGATAAGATACCGTGGCCAACTGGGCATGTCTTAATTTATTCCCAATTTTTCCCCCTCCCCATTTTCAAGTTTCAAGCATATTATCCTTGCAGTGTTCTTGTTCTTGATTGGCAGTAACCATGGGGCATGAAACGGTAATGGGACGAGTCTTCTTCTTCAGTTTACCCCCGAATGACCGAGTCACTGGAGCGACAGACCAAGGTGAGCCACCTCTGGCTAGGATTGGGAGGGGATTTGGGGGGTTTACAGCTGATGTATCAGGTGGAGATTTAGGATGACTGTGAAAGAGGGGGAAAATGAGACCACATGTCACTGAATGTAATAATTTGCAAGCAAAAAAAGTTTCTTTGTACATGTACAGGCTTAATAAAAAAAAAATGCAGAAAAAAAATGCAAAACAAATTCAGGTACTTACTCACTCGTTAGCAGACAAAATTCTCCAAAATGTTCATGAGGCAAAGACGAGGTTCTCAGTATTTCTCCAGCCAAGTTTGAAGTTTCAATTCCATTTTTAAAGGAGACTTCTTTTCAATATTTTGCACCTGAGAGTGAAGGCAAGTGATTTCAATTTGAAGCCTAAGACTAGACTGGTAAATGCCCAACTGTTTGAAAAGATATCTTCAGTAGTCTGGTGGCATGACTATGGGCAGATGTGTAGAAATAAAAACTAGTACCAGATATTTCTTTTGACACAGTTGACTGATGCAGTACTAAAGGGGTGTTGGACCGGTTAATTGTTTCATGTGCCAGTCTATTTTCTTGTGCTGCATGTTTTCATTACCCTAAGTTTTGGGACTCTCGATACACAGTATCGAGAGCCTCAAATTTTCGGACAAGGTCATACTTAACTTGATGTAAAAGTGAAGTCACAGGTAGAAAATTCACTGTGAACTTGCCATAGTTGTGATTTGTTGACTTTTGTGAATTTGCAGCAAAAAATACTTCCTTTGAGGCAACAAATTCACATTAGCATTCAGTTTCACGCTGAGTACGAACCAGCCTCTCTGTTTTGAAGTTAAAGTTGATTGAACGGTAAAAAACGACTCGCTGCTTGAAGTAACATTTTTTTCCTTATAATTTCAGTGCTTGGATTTATTTCCACGCTACCCCTTATTGTAATGTAGATTTAAGCCTGATTCATACTTAACGGGAAAGCAAGTGCGAAGTGAAATTCATGTCGTCAACAATGGTGGACGCGCTTCGAACGTATTCTTGACGTCACAAGTTTCGCTTCGCTTTTGCTTTTGTGTGATGTATGAACCGGGCTTCACTTTCATGGCTTGAACCGCTGCCTTGTTGTACATGTTCACCATTTTGTAAAGTAGCATTGTGCACGGGACTCTTTTCTGTTGACATAGAAAATTTACGTTTTGTAAATGTTTAGATGACTTGAAAAGATTCACTTTCAAAATTAATTTTTTTTACTAATGTGTATGATGACCATGACTTTGTTCTCTGTGCTTAATTGATGCTTAATTTGGAATGTTGAAGAATTATAGTCAATTTTGGTTTTAGAGAAAAAGAAAGATAATGTAATTTTAAATTAGTTTCCTTTTTTCTTTTTCACTTTAGAATTTAGTTTTGAGGATGAATACATCTATCAAGAGGAATTGCTCAGCCCGCCATCCAAATCAGCCAATCAAACAACGGAAGACACAGACAATCATCAGGTCACTTCCTCATCTTCCAATCAGCAGTGGGCTTTGATAGAGTTTGAGAAACCAGTCACATGTCCTGCAAGGTGCCTTGTGATTGGTTCCAAGTTGGACACAGATATTCATATCCTTTTTGTTATTGTTTTGTGCTCAACAGGATTGATGGATAGGTATAAAAATTTGATTTTGTGGTTTCTTATAAAAGCTTCTAGATGACCAGGTAGTTTCATTTTGATTTTAGTTATCATCAAAAATCTTCAAACAAAAACAACAAAATCACTCAGTTATGATTATCAAAGTACTTCAAGCAGAAAACTTAATCTAGAACTTAAACATTGACAATGTCATGCACAAAGTTTATGCAGCATCCGCTCCGTTCACAAGTACCCCCTCACCAGCAAAGAAAGTACAGTTGGGGGTTACCGAACGACGCCATCTTGCCTGACTGCAATATTTTGTCACGGAGTACGGGCACTGCGTGTATACATAGTACAAATGCCCTGGTGTACGTGCGTCACATACAAGGAATGGTGCACGCGCGTCAACCAGCGAAACGGATGTGTCCCGCCCATGGGACATCGTTGCTAGGTAAAAGGGTGCCCTTTTTTGTTGGCGCCTGGAGCCCATAGGCCAAAATGTGCTTAAATACATGTATTTCAAGAAGAGAATTTACAGAATGGGATGACATCATTTTCCACCTGTGATTGAAATGACTTGGGAAATCTAGAACTTAAATATTGACAATGTCAGACACAAAATTAATGAAACGTAGGCCAGTATATGCGTGAGTAAGAAATAGTGCTTTGTCTGCCACAGAGGGACCATAGACTAAATACATACATGTGCATAGAGCTATATTAAATTACAAAGTGATGCCGCCTGGGCGCATCCATGTTTGTACACAAACCTATGGAAAACTCAAAATTTCGAACGGCTTTTGTACGGCTATTTGCATATCTGCGTTTGTATTCCATACCAATGTGTCACCGAAGCCGTCCACCCAAATCGAAACACACGATCAGCAGATGAGCGTGTTATTTTTTTTGGTCATTTTTTTGTCCCACGATTTGATCGTGGTGATAATGTATGTGGCCTATTTTTGAGTAGTACGTATAATAGGGGTTTAAATGGCGCCACCAACATCAAAATAGTCCCCCCCCCCCCCAATTTTTTTTTTTTTTTCTGCGGCCAAAAATTTTGGGCAACATTTTTTAAAAAAAATTCAAACTTAAAAAAAAACTTGGAAACATATTTTGTGACCCCCCCCCCCAGCCAAATCCTGGGCGAGCCACTGGGCAAAAATATATTTTTTTGTATGTGCACATTCTAAATTTTATTTGCAGGTTTTTCAATATTTTTGTCCTAATGACTGTAGTTAATTTACCTTGTCGAAGCATTTTGGGAAGTGGCAAATTACATTCTCCGTCTTCTGCAAAAAAAAAGCATTGACTCCATCAAAATGTTGAGTGAAAGAAATTCCTACCATTACTAAAAAATACCAGAAGAGTAAAAGGCCCACGGCCAAATCTCAATATTGTCCAACGGCCACAAGCTTTTTGAGTACCTTTTAAAATCTCAGATATTATTGTAAACCTCAGTGCCACTTTAATGTTTGATCTGCATTCAGCCCAGGGCCCCCAGTGTAACGGTTATGTAGGACAAAAGGTAATACTCAAGATTATTTTGTTATCGAGGTAATTTAGCGAGGATGTACCGTCTTCCCTCTCTAAGGATTCACCATCTGTCTCAGACCCGCGTCACAGATAATTAAATTCTATCACTGAAGGCATTGTCGCCGACGTTTCCCTCGACTTGAATACAAATACGCTGCCTCGGTTGTGTAGAGTCTTCTTTGAATTCTCCTAACTTTCAATTTGTGATGAGCTGTGTGATGGTATTCCCATCTTCGGGGGTGGGTTTACGTCATTTTTTTTCTTGACGGCTTACGACGGTTCCGACGTACGTATTTAATCAATTTATTTGTTCTATTTCGGGATATTGTTTGACCGAGGAGCGTTAATTTTCTCTAATTGGTAGGATAAAGATGCTTTGCTTTTTTTTTTTGATTGGTGTGATCGAAGTAATTAATGTTGATGCTTTTGGGAGTTAAACCACGTCAGAAACACGTAAATGAGAAGGTTGTTTATGAATGACTGCCTCGAAAGTGCAAACTTGAAGAGTGCGCCACATGTCTTCTTGAAGTTGCTTATTGATTTCAGTAATGGGAACTTTTTTGCTGGTATTTAATAATTGTGTTCAGTGAGAAATACTCAAAGTTTATGCTCGGTGTGATTCAAATTCAACTGGAACAGTGTCTGAATGATGTAATACTGGTACATTCGGATGTACACAAATTCATGGCTTTTTTGCTATAAATATCTGCAACAAATTGTAAGATGGGCATTTTTCCTTAACCATTAACCACATTCTAATACCTGTCGGCTGGCATTCCATGGCCAACTTTGCCACCATATAACAGATAAGGTAATGTGTTTTGTTATCAGAGTTCTTTGATGGATCCAGGTGGGGCCAAAGGGGGCCGTGTCCCCTCTCTGCTAAGCCCCCTCCCTCCGCCCGCCCCCCCCCCAAAAAAAAAAACCTGTTTGATTTAATCAAAACCAGTTGAGTGAAAAATATTTAAATTGATGCTGTAGTCTATTTCCTTAATTTACCTCCTCTAGTTCATAAAATAGAACCAGGCAAAAGAAGAGAATCCTCTAGAATGAAATGTGGTCCAGCCCCCTCCCATCCCCACCACCACCTCCCCCAACCCCATGCCACCTCCCCCAACCCCACCCCAACCCAACCCCACCACTCCCTTCCAACCCCACCCCACCCCAACCCCACCCCACCTCCCCCAACCCCACCCCAACCCAACCCCACCACCACCACCCCAACCCCACCCGCCTCCTCCCAACCCCACCCCACCCCAACCCCACCCCACCTCCCCCAACCCCACCCCAACCCAACCCCACCACCACCCCAACCCCAACCCCACCCCACCTCCCCCAACCCCACCCCAACCCAACCCCACCAACCGCTCCCAAACCCACCCCACCCCACCCCAACCCCACCACAACCTCCCAACCCCACCACCACCCCCAACTCCACCACCACCCCCCAACCCAACCCCACCTCCCCCAACCCCACCCCAACCCAACCCCACCCCAACCCAACCCCACCACCCGCTCCCAAACCCACCCCACCCCAACCCCACAACAACTTCCCAACCCCACCACAACCTCCCAACCCCACCACCACCCGAACCCACCACCACCCCCAACCCCCACTCCCCCCCCAAAAAAAAACCCCAACCCACAACAACAACAGCAACAACAAAATTGATTTGGGCAATGCCGGTGTCAGTATGGTGGGAAATTAATTCAGCACAAACTCTCTCAGTTTCGATTGCTCAAAAGTTTTGAGAGATTGATGGATTTGTTTATGACAAAGACAGGGCGGAGGGGATAGCCAATAAATCCTTCCCTGCTAGCATTCCACTTATTTAATAGATGTTCTTTTTCTGTCAATCTTTTTGAATGATTATTTTATCCCCTTCCCTTTTTTCCCCTTTTTTTAAGAACTATGCTGAAACTGTTCTTCCGCAGCTGAAAATCTACAAGAATAAGTCGAGAGAGGGAGTCGTTGACAGGGTAAGTCATAATAATAAATCACTGTCCACTAGGCACAGTTTTGATCAAGGATCATTAATTAGTCGACTAGTGCTTGATTTTTGATGACTGCAATGCGTGCACTAATAATCTTTAAAGAGGTTGTGGAATGCTCGAAGACATTTCCGTCATTTTTTGGGTATATGTAGCCTAAAGTGTGATGAAATAAAAACGACTATGGTTTCTGTCATGAAATGAGTACAAAGGTACTTTTGAGAGCTATTGTTCAGGTCCTGTTTTGACCGGAACGTGCAATTTGTGTAAAAGTCGTCGTTGTGGGCAGCAAACAAAACACTGTAATTCGTGACGTAATAAACAGGACTCGTGTATGCTACTCTGCATTGGGAGTCCTGTTTATTGTGTCACCATTTACTGTTTTTTGTTTGCTGCCCGCAACGACGACTTTTACACAAAGTGCACGTTCGGGTCGAAACAGGCATGACAGGACTTGAAAAACAGCTCTCAAAAGTACCTTTTGTACTCATTTTATGACAGAAACAATAGTCGTTTTTATTTCATTACACCTTAGGCTACATATACTCGAAAAATGACGGAAATGTCTTCGAGCATTCCACAACCTCTTTAAGTTCAAACATCTGTAGCTGATGTTGGGTAAATGTGTCATGAAACTTCTGCATCCCTGGTGTACTTAAAGGCAAATAGGATCATTTGCTTTTCATGCCTTGTTTTTTTTTTCATTTCCAATTATAACATCATTCAAATTCCGAGGATGAATGTTCAAACCCTCACCTGTTAAATTCGCAGCTCATACAATGTGGATATTACACTTTTCGAGAAATAGGATGAAAAACCTTTTGATCACGAAACACAGTTTTGTTAATAGATTATTCCCAACAATCAGTCAATTGACAGATCTTGGAAAATCACCTTCATTTCTTGCCGTCTAAATGACAGCAAGCCAGACAGAATAATTTCACAGGGTGTTGATCAGAATTTGGTAGGTTACTGTGGGATATTATGCAAAGTATCCTACATGTGCCTTTAATGATCAACAAAGCTTTTGTTAGCCAGTGGTGCAACCAACGAAAAATCCACAGACTTCAAAAATCTCTGGTTATGTTGCCGGTTTTAGAATGCACACTTTGGATTTTTCGGATTTGTTAGAATGCCTATACTCTCGATCTGTTATTTTATAAGTTTTGGCAAGTAAAAATAGAATTTAAGCGAATATACAACATTTGCAAACATCGAAAAATAAAACTACCAAGTTTTTACGAAATACCTTACTAGGATGTTGGTAAATGAAAGTCTAAAGCATCCTGTAAAATTATGACACCTGGTGTGAAGTCATTTTCAAGAAAATTGTATTTTTGTATACATTTCCAACGGTGGTCAGCCGACCACCGTTGGAAAAACCTAACTATTTTTCAACTACTGCTCCAAATTTACCTTTTTTTCAGTCCAAATTTTGTTTGCTATTGGTTACATGTTCATGAACGGGTGCAGGCCAGCTAGACTGGTTCCCTTACCTTACAATTTTCTGGCAACTATAAATTGATCCATTTTATCTTTAGTGGAGTCAGACTACTTGAACATTCTTGCTTTTCTTGGTTTTTCCAGCATTTCCGAACATAAAACTTCAAACATGTCAGTGTAACAATATTTGATCTATTACACTAACCCCTCAAATAGTTCATTTCTGAAAATTACAGCAAAAGCCAGTGATGTTATACACTCCCTTTAAGGCCCCAAAGTTGTGGTCTCCGCGGACCAAACGAAAGTACAGAGGCAGTGCACGTCTATTCGTAATTAACCGCACAGTTCAAATTGACTTGTTTTGTATTCACTACAGCCACTGGATCTTCCACGTCAACATCTCTACTACGCACCCACGGGATGACGATAAATTAATATATAAACCCTTTCCAGTGTCATAGCAACTTATTACCCCCTCTAATGCCCCTACTCATCCCATACCCCGGGACTGAATTATCGGGACGCAAAAGCAGAAATCAAAGACTTGCTTTCCAGTTAATCGGATGCGTCATTCGGGCCTGACAAGCCAGCCTATTCTCACATGGCTTGCATTAGAGACAATTGTGAATGGAAGCTAGAATAGTTCCAGTGCTGATTTTCTAAAAAAAGAAAGACCAAGAAAAAAAAGGACTTTCAAAACTCTTTAAGGCCATTGACTCATCATTTCAATTACTAAGAAAAGAAGAATCCTTGGCTGTAGTCTTAAGTGGTTTCCCATCAGAAGCGAAGGTACAGAATATTTGTAGCCCTGGGACAAATTCTCAATTATGGTTTCCGATGGGAAGCTCATTTGCTTGCTACCTACGGCAAAATGTCCGACCCGACTCGCCCCCTTTTTCCCAATCATGAGATCTCCCGGGATCAATGTCTCACACTTGTTCCGAGCGAATTTTTTTTATATATAGATTTAAGGAGATTGATATTAAATGCCAACTAGCTACATTGACTATGTGCACATGTACTACTCCTAGAACTATGATGCTCCGCGGAGTGGAGCCTCATAGACAGCTAACCCCGCAAAATTGTTTGCTTCTACAAAACACCAACTAAGTACAAACACGTCCATCACAACCAAGCCATTTCCCGCAGAACCGCTGCACAGTTTGCCCCTAAACTCCGTACTATACCTCTTGACATACTCACGTTAATTGCACCCAACAAACATTGGTGGATTCTGTCGATTTTTAGGCCAAAATGATGAAAAATATGCCCTTTCCGCACCCAGCCAACCTGACACTTGAAACGTGCATGCATTATGATCGATCGATGATTTTCGGTTCGTTCGGCGCTGCGGGGGTACGGTAGGAGCGGAATGAATGATAGTATGCACATGTGTACAAGTGCAAGTACGTACCCCCCGCGGCGCGCTCCGAGGGAACCGAAAATCATCGATCGATCATTCTGCGTGCACGTTTCAAGTGTACGGTTGGCTCAGTGCGAAGAGGGCATATTTTTCATCATTTTGACCGACAGAATCCACCAATGTTTGTTGGGTGCAATTAACGTGAGTATGTCAGGAGGCATAGAACGGAGTTTAGGGGCAAACTGTGCAGTGGTTCTGTGGGAAATGGCTTGGTTGTGTTGGACGTGTTTGTACTTAGTTGGTGTTTTGTAGAAGCAAACAATTTTGCGGGGTAAGCTGTCTATGAGGCTCCGCTCCACGGAGCATCATAGTTCTAGCAAAACATCACCATTAATACTGGACAATTTTCGTGGTCTGCAGTGATTTTTAGTGATGTTAGCATGAGTTAAGAGTTCCTAGCTACCCCTTCCCCCTCCCTTTTAAAGATGAGAATATACATACAATGGATGAATCATTATCAAAAATCCATTTGCTTGTGCTGTAAGGCTAAACCTGTGCTCTTCAAACACATGTAGTACAAAATGCCTTGTTGCTGAGCAGTATAGCCCCCTCCTGTGTTTTGCATAATTGAGTTCATAAGGAAATGGCCAAAATGGCTTGAAGATCAAACTGCTCAAAGGTTTTCTTTTTGAAAACTTGTTGGAAATTGCTTTTAATTCCATTTTTGGCTGTATTTCCATATGAGCCTTTTATCATTTTGTGTAAATGTTATCAAAGGTGCATGACATACTGTCCAATATGGTACGTATGTTTTTTTTTGGGGGGGGAGGGATTTGAAAAACATATTCCAAACAGTCTTTTAATTTCAATCTAGAAATAATTGATCTAGAAAATTTGAATTGCTGCATGTGATGCATTTGTTATGGAAGATAAGCTTTTCATAATGAAAGTGCTTAAAAATGACAAATGTTTTTTGCAAATATAATTTAAGATATTATTAAGACAAAGAGCCCTGATTTTATATTGTATTATGAGTCAAGATGTCATATTACTCCCTTAAGTTCCTCACCTAATGGGAGTAACTGTCTTTTTTTACTTCAAAGTTTATTTCTATTTTACTCCATAGAGACAAGATTTTCAGTATTGAATTGCTATTATTTTTTCAAAACCTTATTTTTTGAAGGAAAAAAATCCAAAACTATCTATAATGAAAGAAATAAGTTCCTAGTAAAATCCAACAATCTGACCCTCTTTATGAACAGTTGGTCTGTATTTTCAGTCTATTATTCTGTCTATCCACAGATGACGGACGAGTACAGCGTCATTGGACGATCTCTCTTCAAGAAAGAGACCAACCTGCAGGCGTTCGTTGGGCTCAAGGTTGAGCTTTCCACCGGGGAGGAGGGAGTGATTGAAGGAGGGTTTGGTCAGAGCGGGAAATATAAAATAAGGATTCCCGGTGAGTGGAGCAAGAACACCTGATCCAATTACAAAAGACCATTTATAAATATCTAAGACAGTTTACCCATTCCTATTGGTCGAGTAGAGCCCGTCATGTGGCCGGTTTTAAACGGTATTCTTTTCATTTCATTGATCCTAGATGGTTTGAAGCCTGAAACAGTGCAACAACTCTCATCCTCCGGGAAAAAGAAAGGGAAGAGGACTGGGAAAGCGGGTAAGTGGTTGGAACGGAATGCTGGTGGCTTAAAGAATCTGTCATTTAAAGAAAATTGGGGCACACACAGCTGTCGTGGAAGGGAAAGAAAATTGACCAAACTGGATCCAGGTTGGCTGTATATTTTAATGTCCCGTGGAAAGCAAATAGCGACACCTATTGTCTGATAATGACCACGATGTCAGTTTTGAACAGCGTCCCCCATTGGAAGATGGTGTTCACCCCCCCCCCCCCCTCAGGATGAGAACCCTGGCTATGCCGTAACAGATTTCTAGTCAAGTCATGGTCACAATTAACAGGGGATCAATGCTGAAAAAGGAATAAGATCCAAAACGTTTGTCGCTTGACTTGAAAGTGGACGCCTTTTTTTTTTTTTTTTAGTTTTGACATGTGATGCTTCTTGAAGACATGCATATCCTTACAGACAAATGAGCTAATCCTGACCATAGTTAGTATTCAGCATGTTCGCCCATTACGTCTTTGGCACGTATTGTTATGGGGCCTGCTGAAAGTCAGCATGCTTACAACTTGATCAATATTGGCTGATAATCTGGGAAATAAGAGTTTTGGGATTACAGAAGTTGGACATCACATGGCTGCGGGCAAATCACATGACTACAGCCGGTAATAACACACAAGTCTATGGAAAATGGGTGCAGCCACTACCCAGTGGCTTGCATAGGTGCACTTGTTATTTACAGTCGTAGCCGTGTGATTTGTACACCGCCTGAGATTCACCTTCGAGGAGTATTTGATAAAGGATTATTAGATTATTAAGAACTTTTAAAAAATTCTTCTTTTGCTGTACTTGTATTCTGTTCTTCCCTTTCACATCTTTGTACAATTTTTTCTTTTCTTTTGTACATAGATGACACTGGGGAGGCAGCCACACCCACTGATGATGGAGGCGGAGCTTCATCCAAGCATCCACCAATCAAAATCAGCCTACGATTCAAACGCTATGTGTATGATACCAAGAAAAGAATGATCCAAGCGTGACGTTGGTTGTAGTGTAGTTTCACTTCAAGTCTTCAACTCTTACTTCATTGCAAATTCTTATGAGCCACAATCACTGACCCACTGGTGTTTGAAATCGACTCACTGACATGACTTCCCCTCGTCCCAAATTATGTTCTTTATGAACATGGCAGAGTTTTGTGAAAAACGAAATACGAACCTACTGCAGGCTTTCAAGCATTCCTACTTTTCCTACTCTTTTCTTGAAATTCTTACTTTTTCCTGCTTTTTTGTCCCAGAACTCTGAAAAATGAAATCTCATTGAATATTTTTCATAACCGCGTTACACACTTTCATATGAAAATCACACAATGAAGGGCTTGGCTGCAGGAGTACTGCAACTGTGCTTCCAAGAGCTTAGTTGAGGATGGAGCACAAGTGTTGTGATTACAGAACATGCCAAATGAGGCTTATGATGCTATGGACATGGGCGAGCATCAACGAAAACTACTCCTGAAAGCCTGCAAAAGTCTTAGGTTTATCCTGACTTTGTCCTCCAAAATCCTACTTTTGTCATGTTTTTTGGGGGGAAAAACAATTACCCTACTGTTCTTCTTTTCTGCCTGGGTCTGCTTGAAAGCCTAATTATTACCCAAATTAGCTTCAGATTCATTCATTTTAGCACAAATTGGAATGCAGTTTAAGATCATCGTTCAATAAACTATAAAGGAAGATTCTTTTGAATTTTTCGAGCACCCGATCAAGAAAATATGGCAAGCTAATTGAAAAGTACGCTCATTCAAACTGAAAATATCAGTGAAGATCATTCAAATTCGCCCAAGCCTTGAGGCAAGAACATGTGGTCAAAGGAATTTATCAAAGGCAAACATTTTCGACATGTTGATATAGGAATTCAAATGGGTATAGTGTGACAAAAGTTTGTTACCGAAGATTATCAAGATATCAATTGCAAATTTATGGCCTTTTGTGCTAACATGTCGGCGTATTCCTTTTTAAGCAAAAATGTGGTGACTGGGGAGAGACAACACGGTCAAATGTTTGTAAATGTAATTTTGAGGAACTCCAAGGAAATATAATGATATTGTCTTTTCTTTTAAAGGTTCCATCTTTAATTTGTCACACAAACTATTCAATTTTTTTCTTCACTTTTTGCTTTGTTTTGATTAATTCTAATGTCTGCTAGTTCAACTTCCAAGTTGTACTTTGAGGGTTATCGCGCATATTTCTATTTTACTGGAAATCTTGATTTTTTTTTTTTTAATCTAAAATCAAAGTTCTTTTGATTCATGTATGATTAAAGTATTTGGAAAGAATGTTGCAACCTGACGCCATCCTTTTTAATCATGTAATTATCTCAATAAAGGTCAGTCATTGCAAAAATGTTGAAAAGACATGAATGTGAGACTGAGAAACATTTCCAATTTTGTTAGAAAATACTTTGAAAATGCACTCAACTCTCAGACATGCAACTTTTTCTCGGATCCGCTGATTTCCTTGTTTTTTTTTACTTCTCATGAATGCCATTACAAATTGAAAAATACTGTACAAAGTCTGGTGTGGTTTGGAGTTTCCTCATTTTTTCTAAATTCCCAGTTGCATGCCTGAACTCTCCATATAGACTTTGTACACAACCGAAGAAGTGGTGTCTGCATACTACATTCTTTCCACAGTTTCAATATTTTGTCTCCTTTCACTTTGATTTTAATCTAATTGTATAACAAAAGTATTTACTTTGAAATGAAATAAATTGTATTTATATATTTTATACCAGAAAGTTGTTGTTGCGGTGTATTTTTTAATTAATAAATTGATGTACAGTAAATGCCTTGGGCTAAAAAAATCAGGAAAACAAACTGACTTTTGAAAATAAACAAAATTCTGCAAACATTTGAAAAAAAATTCCAAATAGTTTTAATTCTATTTTCTCCAATATATTCAAACATAAGTATTTAAATTTGTTTCTACTGTAGTGTGCTTACAATAAACATAACATGCAACATCACTGATGTATTAAATACAAGCAAATATTTCGTATTTGTATACACAATCCTATCCCCTGGAACACAACTTTATAATTGAAATTCCAAAGTTGATATTTGAGCACATAAAATATAAATATTTACTTCCAAAGTTTAATATACATGTACAAATAATGAATAAATGTTTATTAGTGCAATGGTACGAATAATTTCATGAGGTGACAGATGGACTGTTCCATTCCATGAGGCAGCGCCGAGTGGAATGGAACATTCCATCTTGCACCAAATGAAGTTATTCTTTCCATTGCACTAATGTGAAACATTTATTATTTGTTTTATACAACACCTGAATAAAGCCTCATCATCTGATTGGTCAGATCTGCCAAAAGTGTGACCGTGCAATGGAACTTCTATTTTTGCGGTGCAGTCGGGCCGCGGGTTGGGACGAATAATTCTAGGATCAGGCGAAATAATTTTGCAAGATACTTGATTGCGACCAGCATTTTCTTCACTTTAACCCTAACAGTCGTGATTCTTGTAAGTTTTAATACGATTTTTCACACCCCCTAGGGAGTTAGGGATTTTGTTTTCATTAAATTGGTGCATATGTTTCTGTTATTAACCAATGTGCCTCCGAGGTTAGCGTGCATGTCCAGTAAGCAGTAAGCAGTATAGCAATAGATCTGTTGCTTTGCGGTTTGCGTACTGCCTCTGTATAAACAAATGAAGGTTTGTTAGCAGAACATTGTGTGCCTAACAGTGCCATGAACTAAGTCTTGTATAACACGTTAAAAAAAGAAAACATGTCCTACTTTTGATCCTAAATAACGCTGTTTACCAATGGAATTAAACAAAAATTTCAGATCTTGTTAACATGGCATGACAAATTATATGGAGCAAGTTTCATCAGCTTTGTGCAAGGGGGTGAGATTTAAACACCATACAGAAAAAAAAATACTCACTTTTAGAATCTGCCACTTTCAACTTGGCATCCTCCAATGTCGATACAGCGCTGGAGATGGTGGCGGATGGCGTGTGCTGCAGCCGAAAGCTTCTAAAGGAATGCAGGATCACCCCTGATGTCATTGCACACCTCCTCGATCGTTTGGCGCAACACACGATCGAGGAGGTGTGCAATGACATCAGGGGTGATCCTGCATTCCTTCAGAAGCTTTTGGCCGGAGCACGCGCCTTCCCCCATTGTCACCAGCGCTGTATCTGCATTCTGAAAGTGCGTATTTAAATGGCATTTAAATCTCACGCTCCTGCACAAAGCTGATGAAACTTGCTCCATAACATTTGTGATGCCGTGTTTACATGTACATGATCTGAAATTTTGGTTTAATTCCATTGGTAAACAACAGAGTTATTTAGGATCAAATGTGGGACTTTTTTGGACACCGAGTATTATACTTGCAGATCTTCCATTGTTTGAGTGTGCAACATAGAATAATGACATGACTTTGCTCATTACAAGAAATCAAGTAAGGGGGGCCTGAAATTTAACTTCTAGCATCTAAAATCTTCCTCTTCAGCCAATAAGAAATTTCTGCAAGAATCAAAGCATCAGACCATCCTAATTTTTAACAACTCATCGTTTCATTACATTTTTTCGCCCCAGTTGGTATGTTTGAAAGGAACTAGATACAGGGATGGAAGTGGACACTGACATTTTTCTCTGACATTTGAGGTATACATGTACACACAAGCATGGTGCCGATATGTTATTTACAATTTTAAGAAAAAAAAACACGCCTGATATCAGGCAATTGCAGGACATACATCCCAGTATAATAAATAATATTATATTGAAAATGCAAATAAATTGATAACATAAATGAAAGTAGTGCGGCAGATAGGGGAAATATTTGGGGGAATTGTGCCTTTGATGGCATTTGGCACACATTCAGAGTACGGTATGTCTTAAGAAAGATATTTGGCTATAGGGCCATCGTAGATTTGTCCTTTTAATCGTAAATATAGGCAGAATAGCAAGCAATTTTCAAAGTTTTCAAAATGGCTCTATAGCCAAATATCTTTCTTAGGACATACTCTGTGTGCCAAACGCCATGCTTGTATCCTCAAAGGCACAGTCTGCAGTCCCGTCACCTATCGGCCGTACTAAAGGGACTTCGGGTGGTCTCTATGGATATTTTTCACACCTTTATTTATCAGGTAGTTCTGAACTGTTTTGTTTATTTACCCACAATAAATTCCAACTTCAAATCTTAAATCAATCGTCACTTCGGTACACGTACAAAATTTATATATTATAAAAATAGATTGGAAAGTTGGGATTTAAGTAAAGTCTGGTTCTTAAAGATGTATCGTCTGAGCTCTTTAAATAATTTGAATCTGTTCTTATAACATAATATTCAACTTATACGTTTTCCCTTCTATTTTGGGTGGTTACTTTTGTGCACAAACAGATCGGCCCTGCCAGTAGACTGGTTCCTGGTCCCTACACTATTGATCCATATAGAGGGCAGGAACCAGTCTACCCTGCGCAGTCTAAATTAAGGGAATAAATATGTGCTTGGCCAGTTTCAAACAAGTACGTTTAAAACCGGCATAGGGCCAGGGCCCAATTTCATAGAGCTGCTTAAGCACAAAATTTGCTTAAGCATGAAAAAACATTGCTTAGTAACATTGGGTTACCGGCCAAAACTCCATGTGATGTACATTGCTTGTGACTGGTATTTAGCTGTTGTTTACTTAGCATAACAATTGCATGGAGTTTTGGCCGGTAACATGATTTTATTAAGCAAGACATTTTTGTGCTTAAGCAAATTTTGTGCTTAAGCAGCTCTATGAAATTGGCCCCAGACGCAGATAATGACCCGAACCTAATATTGTCCACGGCCAGGCCCCTAGCCGGTTTTAAACGTAATTGTTTAAAAACCTGCTAAGCACATATTTACTTCCATTCATAAATACCGTTCGATCAAACAAGTCAAAAATTCACAAATTTCCAATGACAATTTCATTCAACATTTTACTTCATGTTTTGTGAAACACCCCTCTGGCCATGTCTATGGTATGTGCCTCGCCGAGGCAGTGCAAAAAAAATCTCCATTTAAGGAAATCAGTGCATGAGGAATGCTAAAAAATGTAACCAGTTTCAGCTCAGTGGATATTACACTTTTCCAAAAAAAAATGTAAAACCAATGCACAACCTTTTGACAGTCACTGCCGCAGGATTTTGCAGGATTCAGGCAGTGGTCAACCCTTCCCGGACCATATTCAAGAAATAATGGAGGAACTTGCAGGATTGAGGCTATAGTAGTTCCAATGAACTTCGTTACAAAATAGGGGGCGCCATTTAGGTTTCTTTTACTCACCCTGTACAGTTTAATAATTGACATCAGTAGTAATAACTTGTATGGAGTAGTTTGCAACACTGGCGCCCTCATATGGACACATTAGTGACAAGACCAAAAACATGTTCCCGTTCCCGCGCGTGGAAATGCGTTCCTTCTCATTTGGCACGGGAGGCAATAAAACTAACAATAGGACAGTTCTCACGCGGTAGAACGGGACAAAAAAATTGGCCCACTGGCCAGGCAGGAAAGCTCCATTTTACTGTGCTTTTGTTATAAGAGATGGCGCCCCGTCGTTCACGCGAGTTCCAGTGTACATCACAAAACGTGCTCGCGCACCACGATTGCAAAGCAGGAACGCATGCAGAATGGGGCCCTTGCGCACGCAGAAGAACAGACAGATTATGAACAACAGTGGCATTCCTTCCTATTCAGACGCGTCAGAACGGTAAAAACATTTTTGATCTTGTCCCTTAGATTCTTATAAAGCAAGTTGTATGTTTTTTGTTCTCCTGCTTAGCAGCTGGATGGAACTGGATCCCGATCCATATTCATTCAACTTCCATTTCAGATGCAATCTGCGTGATAATCTCCTCCTTTAAAGCAACCTCCATGTTGGCTCCCACATCCCCGTCCACCCCCGCCTCGTAAGTCATCTGGTCAAAGATGTCCTGCGCAGTCAGATGCTCATCCGTGACGTGACCCATGACCTCTTGGTCTGCTCCATTTCTCATGAGGGGTGAGTGGCCAACGTTGGCGGAGGGTGGGATGAAAGCCTCTTCCTCCACAAAGTCGCTCGTCGGGATGTCCACTTCGTGGCCGACTGTTTCGTCGCGCAACAGCCAATCCGTGTCCATGTCGCTGGTCGTGTGACTGACTTTCTGGTTGGATTCCGGGGTTAGATTGTGCTCGTGGTGATACACTGTTTCTTCAGCGGAGTGGTGTTGATGTTGAGCGACGACCCTCGGGCTAATGCAGGGTTCATGTGATTCCGAATTCTCCAGGTTTTCAGAATAAGAGGTAAGTATATTAGGAGTCGCAGAGCTTGTACTTTGCAGGTTTGCATGAGGTGCTACAACAATCACTTTGTTGGTCCCAGGTGACTGCAGAGTCAGTGGTTCCGTACTCCCACGTTTTCCAATGTGATAATGTTGCTGGGGAGACCTTTCAAACATCACTCGCTGATTTTGTGCGGTTACATAATCCAGAGGGCTGCCCAACATGGCAGCGTTCGGCGTCTGGTCTCCGCTTTGGTTTGTGGGCGATTGGGTGACATGTCCCTGAGCTGATGGCAAAACCACTTGCCGCATCACCGTAGGAGTCTGCTGCGGATTCTGCCTCAAGGTCCTGACTACGATCTGAGGGGTGGTCATGGGATTGCGGAACGTTGGACCGGATGTCGGGGGATTCTGGGATGGTGTTGGACTCTGAGGTTGACTGGCGTCTTGTGAGGCAGGGTCAGGTTTGAGGGGCACATGGATGACACTCTGGGTACCATCCGGGGAGGAGATGACGAAGATATGGGTCCGCTGGGCTTTCTTGGCTGTCCCACCAGGTGAAGGTGCAACCTCTGGAGACGGGGAACCGACAGGTCTAGGAGACGGCGGTTGCTGGGGGACGGAGACAATAAACCGTCCCATGGGTGTGGTAATGGTACTGATACCCCTACTCCCTGGTGATGGACTAGCTCTGCTGCATCCTGCATTATAAGGTGAGCTGTTCACTTGTCTCACTCCTGCTGGTGATGCATCTCTGGTGGAGGGATTCCAGGGGTATGAGGATGGTGATGGTAAGAGCCCTCCTGGTGTGTAAGGTGGGAAGTTTCTCCTGGCAGCTTCTTTCCTGGCGAGGACTATTTCCCGCTCGCGGTTCAATCTCTCCATCCTCCTGGAGGCATAGTCCTGGTCTTCGGTTGAGCTCTTGCGGTAACTGCCCCGGCGTCGCTTCTCGGGTTCCTTGGCCGAGAAGTTCACCTTCATTTTCGGTTGTCGACCGGACCGCGTGGGTTGGCTGAGTATCGTCTCCATGTCGATCTCATCCTCGCTCCCGCCGCTCTGCCTGGCTGCTCCGTCTTCGGCTGTTCCTCCCTCTGCTTCTTCAGCAGCAGCATCTTTCGAACCATCTTCCCCGGCATCTTTGGCGCCAACCTCGACGTCAATGGATTCCACATCAGAGTCCTTGTCGGTGTTGTCATCTACGGGTGAGAAAACACATTAGTGACTTTATATTAAATGTTTTGGTGAGCAACAGCATGTAGCTAAGTCCATCACAAGTCCTCACAAGTCCTCAAATGTCCCATCACACGTCATCCGATGTTGCAAGTTATTCCAATGAACTATGACAAAAGCATTACATAATGGACTTGTTATTTACTGGTGACCGGATCTGTGATGGGCTCCACTACAATACAAAGCAATGAGCTGTCCAGGACTTATTTTAAGTAAAGCAAAAGCTGTTACAGCCAATATTCAGCACTTTGCTGTGCATGTTAGCTTCTTGTAAAACTATTAGTTCCTGAAGCCTTTGAGGAGTCATATCATGGAGTTTTGTATGCAAAATTTACTTTAACATGTGCGAGTGCACAATAAGCTCCGGTGAAAAATTCGACGCCGATGACACATGTGGAACACCATACTTTTGGTCAAGTTTTTGGGACAGACAGACAGACGGACCGACCGACCGACCGACCAACCGACCACCAAGTGACATGTAGAAGCTCCTTCCAGAGCTTAAAAATTGCACTCCGCCCACCTTTTGGGGACATTTCCTCCTTCTGGATACCGTCCACCACTACACAAAATGACGTCCACCTTGTACGAGGAAGATGTTGTATAGCGCAAGTGCGAGTGCACAATAAGCTCTGGCCATGTTGCAAGAGGTTTTGCATGAATGTCTTGCATGAAATTGATCAAAATGATTCCTGCCAGAGCTTTAAAAATGCGACGCCGATGGCACATATGGAAAACCATACTTTTGGTCGATTTTCGGGGACAGACTGACCAACCACTAAGTAAACATGTACAAGCTCCTGCCAAGAGCTTAAAAAATGGAAACTGGCTAAGAGATCATTTGATAGACAATGAAATGCTCCAGATTCATCCAAATAATTACAGAGGTAAAGCATGTTCTTGACAAGGTCTCCTACCTTTATCCATGCTACGTTTAGCCTTTCCTTTGCGCTTGCCTCTTTCCTTGCGTTTACCCTTGGCGGTGGGTTTACTCCCTCCTTTCTCTTTGCTCTTCTTCTTTTTTACGCGATTCTCCAGTTCCGAGTCGGAACTTGGTTCCTTGTTGAACAGCGACATGTCAAAGTGTTGTCTTTCTCCTGTTCCAACAAAAATTACATGGATGAATTTACACACTGAATCATGAATTCTGTCAAGAAGGGAACTGTTTGTCATGAAATAGTGGTGCTACCCCATTTGCGCTTATGACCAAAGAGCTTTAATCAACCCTAGCCGCCCTAAATCCTTCAAAATCGTCATTGCCAAAGAGGAGGAATTCGGAGGATTGAGGTTACATGGCAAAAGTGTGTTACTGATTTCGTAGAAGCTTTGTCAAGGTCTTGGGCCGGACCTTGTGCTGTTTTTGCTCAGCCAAGCACACCGGTAAATATAGGCCTGGATTATGCTTGAAATCCTCCATACTGCTCCAGGATCTCACTGGCCAAGCCTCAACATGTTGACAGTCACTGCCACAGGATTTTGCAGGATTCAAGCAGTGGTCACCCCTCCACGGCCCATATTAAAAAAAAAAAAAAAAAATGAATGGAGGATTTTGCAGGATTGAGGCTACATCCTAGCAAAAAGGCCCAGGGAGTTAGGGTTAAGGTTTGATATGATCTGATATTAATACCCCTGATTGACAGGCTTATGGTAATTCCTGGATGCCTCTCAACTCCCCGAGGAGTGGGGAGCACACACAGCGAAAGGCAGCCAGCACTGTACTCTGATCAAACAAGCATAATAACAGACTTGGCCATCAAATGTTTGACAACGTTCCCCAGTGTGGAGAAACACTTTAGTGTGGATCGATTTCACTTCTACTTCCTTTTTGTCCTAAATATTGAAGATTACTCCATTTTGAATCAAACACTAACTGGGAGGTAACAAAATTCTTCACATTCTTTTTCGAGTGGAATTCGCTAACCGTGATGTGACTGAAGTTGGCAAACAAGGGAATACGTATGTACTTGGCTGGAAGCAAGTCCGATTAAGACCGGCGTGGGGAATGGACGCTCATAATGGCCCAAGCCGAAGGCGAGGGACAGTATCAGCAACCTTTTCGGTCAGAAAGTCAAAACAAGTCAAAAAGTTTAAATTTCCAACAACTTTACTTCATTTTTTTTTAAACACCCCTTTGGCTATGTTATGTCCCTCTCGTTAGTAGTCGTAAACATATCCATATATGGAGATCGGCGCAGATGGTAGCAGTGCTGGTGTAGCGTGAATTCTGGACTCTCAAAATACAGACTCATTGGTAGTATTGCGTATGCAATACTGAAGATTGATTACATGAAGATTGAGAAAGTTCTACCAATAAAGGGCAAAAGGGACCAGATTTCATAGGAGTGCAAATTTCATGTGACACTGGAAAAGTGTTTAAGTCCAATAGGAATGGGTAAACTGTCTTAGGTATTTATGAATATGAAATAAAGGAAAGAAACATGCAATTCAAAAGAAAAAGAAGGAATCATTATGGAGCAGACAGACTTTAAACAAAGAAAATTTACTGCAGTGAGATTCGAATGTGTTACATGTGGACTGCAGTTCCAGTGCACTACCAACTATCCAGCCAAATATCTGTAATCTCTCAATTTGTAAATAAGTTTGTTCAATATGTACCAAATAAGGTTGGACAGTTTGCATATTTTGAATCTCATTTCATTCACTTTTCTTTGCTCAATTGAAACAAGAGGATTATTCTCCAGTGTGGAGTCTAACTCACTGATGGCTTTGTCGAGTAAGTGACGGTTGTGACGTTCCTCTCTCTTGAACTTGTTCTTGATCTGTTGTCTGGTCCGCTTTGGGAACATGGCATTGATCATCGAGAAGTCAGTGCCGACGGCGCTAAGAGCTCTGTAAAACTTGGCAGTGTCTGGACAAGCAGGGAAACAAAAAATAATGGAATCGGAATGACACTCCTTAAGTCATACTTGCATCTGGGCATATTATTGAAAAATAGATTTTTTAATATCGTTAAAATATAGAAGACAAGGGTCATTTTCAGCGACCGGGCCCCTAACTGGTTCTAAACCAGACGTTTAAACTGCTCCATCACAAAATTTATCACATTCAATAATATCTTTTTGGTAAAAAACTTCAAAACATCGACAATTTTACAAAATTCTTACTATGTTTGTTCAACAATTTTAATGGGTATCAATACTGTGGTTAATGGTTAAAATGTCCATAACTTCACCCTCTGCGAATAGTAAGTGAGACCAGCCAGCCGGTGTTTTATCAAACGTTTTAGACTGGCCACGTGACGGGCTCTTGACCACGTGATGGGCTCTTGACCACGTGATGGGCTCTCGAGGAAGTTGATCTGAAGGAGGATGTTGTGGCCTAGTGGCTTGCGTTCGTGACCCATGATCACAGGGTCAGGGGTTCGAATCCAGCTGCTGGCCATATGTTATGTCCTTGGGCAAGCCACTTCACCCCCACTTGCCTCTCTCCACCCAGGAGTGTAAATGGGTACCGGCGTTAGCTGGGGAGTAACCTGTGATGGACTGGCATCCCATCCAGGGTGGATTAGAAAGACTCTCTGTCATTTCATGCCATGGAAATCAGATTATACATGCAGGCCTGATGAGCCGTATTAGCTTGGTACAGACTGGGGAATCAACTCACCCTTTTCATTCCACGCTCTAGTGTATGTCCTATTTCGGAAGCTGGCATAGGTCGTGTTCGAGGAATCCTCTTGGATGACATCATCGTCCGATAAATGAAGGGTCTTGGCTGGAGAGGCATCCTTCACAAGACTAGCAAGAGATAAACGGATACAAAAAAATTGGTGAAAATGGTCCGTTCATAGTAATGTGATATTATACAAATACAGCATGGTTTGAGGGGAAGTAGTGGGAATTACTGGTCCCGAGGTGTAGGTCAGCTTGACTACCTCCCGACGCGAAGTGGAGGGAGGTAGTCAAGCTGACCTACACCGAGGGACCAGTAATTCCAACTATTTTCCAGAAATAAACCATGCTGTATTTGTTTTACTACACCTCATAAATATTTAGTAGCCTCACTGCCTTTTTAGTAGCCTCACTCATGCCTTGTCGATACAACCTTCGTAGATTTTTCAGCTTTATTCAGCACAAGATATTCAAGTTCTTCGTCAGTCAATGAAATAGTCTGGTGCCAAAACTCTGTAATGTGTCTTTCCTACAAGGACTTCAACAACAGACTGGTTCCGTAAAGATTATGCCACAGACTACATGTCTATGAGGCGGGTTTCAGAGGGATTTTTTGGTGCTACCAGGAAAAAAATACCGCACTGCAGCGAGCTGGATACTCACCGGGATGACCTCACCTGGACGCGTATCATTTTTATTTCCTGGACGACGTGCAGCAGAAACGGCCAATGGCATGCTCCAATTTGATCATGAATATTTATGAGATGTAGTAACACTGGCTACTGATCTGCTCAGTGGCCACTGGCTAATGACAGTCAAAATCACTGCCGCACCTTACATGACAAGGAATTCATCTCAAATAATTTGGTCTCACCTCGTGTTATCCAGTATGATGGATCCGTCCGGACCAATCTTGACCTGAGGTGCAAAGGGGTCAACGTCGTCCTCCTTCTCCTCCTCATCGTCCTCATTCTCAGAGTTATGAGCGCTGTTATTGACGGAGCTGTGTCACGGGAAGGAAAGAGGTTGAAATGGAATACTATACAAGTCTGAATGCAATAAAGTAAAACGTCACTTGAATATTCAGCTGAATAAATATTGCTGACGATACCTGATGCTCACACGAAGACGAAAAAAGTTTCGATTATTTGAAATGTTGCCCAGCTACGACTTATTTATCCTGAATGTGCACAAAGCTAAGCCATAGCGTCTTCGTGCGTGAGCGTCAGGCGTTGTTGGCATGCAAATACGTTCAAATTTAACTTGCAATGGTCTCCCAGACTAATCCCGGCCCCCAATAACTTTGGATCATTCGAAATACGCAGTGGATGGACTGGGAACCAGTCTAGGTCTCCCCCAACTCTCCTTTTCTGGCCGTTGAAGGGGTAATTGTGCACGGAGCCCATACTGCCTATTTACTAGCACAAAGTTCTGTACTCACTTGTTAGCGCTGACAACATGCTCAGTCATAATGGTCCGAGGAAACTTCTTCTCTTTACTCACTGCGGTATTCCTAAGCAAATTCAGACAATAAAATGACAAGATTTTGTATTAAAATCTAACTCCATATCCAACTGGTTGTTTGCGTAAAATGAGGCAGAGTCTTAATCGGTATTTGTGGTTACGGCTTGGATTATTGCCATTGGCACACTACAGTGAATAGCCATAGCCATTGACAAAAATGCCATTTGGAGACAGTATTAACACTAACGTACCTGAATCCATCAAAATCCCCACCCCTGTTTTGGGGGATTTCGGCGGATTCAGGATACCTCCCTGTTGAAAAAGTTGGGGGGAGTTTGATGGATTCAGGCATGTAAGCCTAGCGGTACTGCAGGATTTTGATGGATTCAGAGGGCACGTGTGGTCTAGCGGTCGAGCACAGGATTCGTGATCGTGAGATTGTGGGTTCAAGCCCCACGGTGGCCATGCATGGTGTGCCCTTGAGTAAGGCGCTTTACCTCCATTACTCCTCTCAACCCAGGTGTTAAATGGGTACCGGCATTACTCAACGCTGGGAAGGTAGCAGACTCGCTGTGGAGAAGGTGTGGCGATCCCCCCACAGCAGCATTTTATGGACTCGAGTCTGGCCCAATCAATTTCAAAGAGAGATGGGCGCTCTGTTCATGTGAACACAGGTTCATCCCCTTTACCTTTTTTCATATTACTTGCCAATACTCATCTTTCATCTTAGTGTTGGAGGGTAGCCGGGAATTTTTCCCTGGTCACCAGGCCAATGAAAAATCAAATCAACGGGGGTGTGAGGGGAAGCCGGGCTGGACAGCATCTGAAAAATGGCGGCTCTCTTGAAAGTGAATGAGACTGCATGTTTTCGTATGATAGGTGGTGCTGTTCTTTGTGGCATATCATGCCAACAGACACTCAATTTCACCAACAGGCAAATTATTTCTCTGACAAAAACACAAATAACGGATGGGGGTTGTAAGACCCCCTGACAACCATGAACACTCCCCGCCTCCCCCCCTACACTTCTGCTGACACCCCTGCCGACAACAGATGTAGCTTAAAGACAAAACTGCCTGCTTCAGACGCAGCTTATGTGAGATGATGCACTTGGAATGAATTCTAGGGATTTCAGAGGGACTTACTTCATGGGGCTCGTCTTGGGGTTGAAGTAGATGAGGTCACTCATTGTCATCTTGCTTCGCTCCGGGGGCTGTACCTTCTCCTTGACGTAATGGCGTCTTCGTCTGGATGGAGTCTGAGGAGAAGACAATGAAATACAATTACTGCAGAAACATGGGGGGAGTGTTGCCTAGTGGTTAGGGTTCATGACTCGTGTTCAGAAGATCAGCGGTTCAAATCTAGCCGCTGGTCACACGTTGTGTCCTTGGGCAAGCCCCTTTAACCCACTTGCCTCCCTCCAACCAGGAGTATAAATGGGTACTGGCATTAGCTGGGGAGTAGCCTGTGATGGACTGGAAACCGTGGATAAATTTGTCATTCCACTCGTGGCACTTGGAAAATATCACGCATCTGTGTTCCATGGGACACAGACGCACTACATTATTCTGTGTTCCACTAGGCTTATGAGATTACTACTTTGCCTACCTCTGATTTCATTCGGTCCTTCAACTCCCGAAGCCTCTTCTCGTAGACGTTCTCGGAGCCTTGAGGATGCTTGTCGGTGGTGCTGTCAGATCGTGCCAGGGAGGGTCTGCGGGGCGTGGTCATGGCGGTAGGGGTGCTGTTGGTTTTGGGGGGGACAGTTTGGGGCTGCGAAGGGGCGTCGTGGTGAGTTGGGGTCGCTCTGTTGGGCGCCTTGTTGGGTGCTGTAAAGTGAGATTTCGTGAAGACCAATTTTTTTTATTTGAAATGTGGATTTAAAAATATGTTACTTTTGTTTATTGTTGTTCAATGCACAGGATTCCCAGCATTTTATGTAAACAAAATTCCCTGAGAACTCCCCTGAGAAATCTCCACGAGAAATTCCAAGACAAATATTTTCACTTTAACGGCATGGTGTCATCCTTTCAGAGACGTAAATGTACCAAAATGGCGAAAACCTTTCTCTTCTGGATCACAGCCAAATTTCCTGAGTTCTCCCTGATGTTTTGTGTTTTTCCCCAAAAGTTTTCCCCATCTGGAAAAATGGAAACTCAATTCTAAGGTTTTCCCTGATTGCCTGAGTGGTTGGGAACCATGTTCTTACTCTTTTGGCATATTTTGCTGAGAACTTTCTCAAATCCTGAACAAATCAACCACTGTACAGGAACCAAATGACTTTGCCAAGTTTTGTTGCCATTATTGCCATTTGGTGGCAACATAACCCTATGGATCATAAAAGAAAGGATTAAATTTGACATAGATCCCTAGTTCATCACCTGCTCCTAGGTGCTGTACAAGAAAAAAAAACATGTTTCAACTTCGAAACGCGTAAACATAGCAAAACCTTAGTATAAGGCCAAAAAAAAAAATTCTCGGTCTCTGGACAGCGTTTGCGGCGATTTAAATCATGCGCGTCAGCCTTTTTTTTTTCCTTCAAATTAACATGGAAGCTACAACAGCGCCCTCTATTGCCGCACCTCCTCAAATTTTTGTACCAAGGAGCACGAACGAATGGGGAAATTGCACCAAGGCAAATGATAAAGGGCACCAAGGCAAATTATGGAGGACACCAATGTATAATGAGGACACAAAAAAGCAAAATAGTACCCACCTTGTCTGTACAATTCAAACTTTGAAAAAGAAAAAAAGCCACCAAAAAAAAACAAACAAAAAAAACGCGTCGCCGCATCAATTCCGGAACTTCGGTCTGACCAGAGACCGACTATTTTTTTTTTTGGCCCAAAAGAACACACTTGAAACCATTTCAAGATGCTTACTTTGAGTGCTTGGAGCCGATGCGGCGGTAAGTCTCTGAATCGGTGGCGGTTGCAACGGAGGTCCCATCTCACCCTCCCCAGCCTCCTGCCTGACTCCGTCTACCCCGCCCACTTTCCCTCTGGCCCCTCCCCTCTCCACCTCAACCTCTTTCTCCGGGGTCGTTGCCTTGGCGGCCCTGGCTAAGGCTTTGCCAGGCTGGCTCGGGCCGGTGCGCACGCGTGGCTGGCCAAGGTTGGGGATTGCCATGATGCGCTTGCGACGCACCGTGGATGAAGTCTTGGTTGGGGATTCCGGGGCAGGCTTGGATGGGGAGGCGGGTTGGGGTTTAGCTGGGGGGACCGGGACGGGTTGAATCGGTGTGCTTGGTGAAAGATCCACCGATGGTGTCGAATCTGGAGGAAGTCTCTCATCTTGTTGGTGCTGTTCTTCCTGATCATGTCGTTTCTGCAGCTCTTGTTCTTTCACTGACTGCACCTGTTTAACTTGATCACTCTCCTCTTGCTGCTTCTTCAGCTGGTTTTCTTGGTGTTGCTGGGCGTGGCTACCCTTGGGAACATCTTTGTTGATGACGGGCTAAAAATACCAAGACAAAGAAGTAGATTGCAATATGTGCAACACTGTTTCTGATACTGAGGCAGGAAACAGACATTATAAAAGGAATTCTGGATGGAAATTTGTCACATTTTGATAAAGGACCTAAATATGTATGGTATATTATAATACAAATAATCACTGCTTCGTGTGGTGTAGCAAAACTAGGCTCCCGAGGTGATCCATAAAGCATTTGCTTCAAAAAAATAGAATGCTCCATGGATCACCGAGGGAGGCTAGTTTTATTACACCACAAGATAAAGCAGTCAATATTTGTATACTAACACTTCTCCCACACATTCTGCTTGACTTTACTCGATAACTGAATAATTTAATCCAAATACAATTAAAATGTACTTCAAATTGAATACAAAAATAGGCAAAAGTTTACTTGTACTTTAACAAACTACCCCTTCCCGCAATGTTTGAACCCAGATCTGTAGCGCTACCGTGCGCGTGGGACTCAATACACGCAACGCGCACACCCATATGCACTTGCACACAAAACCAGTTCAGATCGTATAGTACTTTGGTTGCTGCAAATATAGTACTTTGGTAGCTACGGGTATAGTACTTTAAGCCGTTCATTGCAAGATAGCAAAAATAACGAATACCATATGACTTGCTTTCGGCCAATCAAGATACAGAATCTGTGGGTGAGGTGTTATAAACTGAAATAAAACAAATACAACATGGTTTTAATTTGGCCAAGTAGTCACTATTTCCTCTGTACCATGCTGTTTTTGTACAGCAGGGACCAGTAAAAAGAATTAACCCATTTTTGGTCCCACTGGCTTCCTATTTCCTGCCTGCCTCTTTTTTTTTTCTTCTTCTTCTTTTCTATCCTGTTCAATTTTGTATAATAATCATACATTCCCCATAATTATAAATTTGTCTTTTTGTTTCCGGCAAAATTTTGGCCATGTTAGCAATAGCAAGTTAAAACCTGGTATATTAGCAAAATACTCGAGAAATAAAAGAAAACATTTGCCCTCTTGGAAAACCTGCCATCTTGGAAAAAAAAGAGGCCGCCTCCTCCTCCAACAAGCCTGGAGAAGAAAGGTTTTTTTTACTTGGCGTAACTACCTGAGATTCAGAAGGTTGAGGTGTTGTCGGTTTGGATGCTGATCGGAGTCCTGGCTTGGGTCCGGCCCCCTTGGGCGTTGAAGGGGAGGGATCTTTGGCCTTAGCTGCCGGGGTTGGGACACTCCGACGAGAGGCAGCAGAGAGGTTAATACTCGGACGAATCTTGGCTCGTCTCATGGCGGCTGGGTAAGATGGTTCGTTCACATACTCAGAACAAAGGAGACATTCGTTGTGTTAAGAGCTGAAAGAACAAAATGTGACAAATTTGTTCTACAATTTAAACCAGTGCTATTTGGTGGACTTTACACCCCCTTTCAACTTGTTCAAAAGACAATTTTAAAAATGTCCTCTCATGTTAGGTCTTTTTACAGCCGCTATACACGTCCATCAGTAGCAGGAGTATACAGTCTACGTGTATATCATGAGGCCGAGTATTAAAAAAATAAACCACTTTCTTATCCCCTACCACTTCCTTTTCTCCCGGCCACCTTTTTTTTTTTTTTTTTTTTTTTTTTTTAATTCATACATTTGCAATATATTTTGCACGTATATATTTTATGTGAAAAATATATTTTGTTGGAAACAAATAAAAAGACAAATATAGGAGCCTATTGACAATATATTGTCAACAACAGGCCTCTATAAATGAAATATAGTCTTTTTGTTTCCAACAAAATTTTAGCTATGTAGGGCAATGGCGCCTTTGGACACAGTACACATGTAGTGTATCAGAAAAATAGTCCAGAAAATTGAAGAATCCATCCGTCATCTTGGAAAATCCGCCAAAAAAAATAAAGCGCCCGCCTCCTTCACTTTTTTTCAATAATTAACTGAAAAAGGCCAAACAAGAAACTATTTTTTTAGGCAGTGGATATTTAGCCGAAGACGGCAAACCTTGAGTAAACATTAGCTTGCCGGATATGAACTGAACATGCGCAGTTACTGGTTTTTTTTTTACTTAGACATTTTCCGGTGACAAATTTTAGTCTGGCTCCATGCCAACATTATTGTTGCAACTTCGTATTCACAATATGGGAATCAGACCATTTTACAATTTTGGACTTTATTTCCCTTTAAAAAAAATCCTCCAGAGCCACAAATCTGAAAAAGAAAATGTAATACTCGGCAATAAAATGTTTGAGACATGTTAAAATAATAAAAGAATATTCTTATTCTTTGGGGATGGGAAAAAAAACCTTAGAAATGTCGCTAGCAGGGATCGAACCCGGGTCTTCTCGCTCATGACATGAGATCCATTGCTTATCCACTAGACCACGGTGCTACACAACCGTCGGTGGTAATTTAATATATATTATAATTCAGCCCTATCTTAGAGGGTACAGCGCCCTCTGTTGATAGGGATTGCCGCCGGCAAACCTTTAATAAACGTTAGCTTGTCAGGATTACCGCCGGCAATATATCCACTATCAGTTTTTTACTGGGCCTAATGTAATTACTCGGTGCCTTTGATTCTTCAGTAAGTTGCAAAATTAAAACAAGGTAGTAGGGCCTACAGATATTACTGATAAGGCAAAGGCCTAATGATGATGATAATGATGAAACATACTGACACAGCAACTTGATGAGCAAGGCCGAACATGCCGAACGTCATTTGAACGTTTTTGTAATGTAAACAGCCATGACAGCCATGACAGCCGGTGTCGCGACACAAGTATTTTATTTGTGATCTTATTACACTTTGTTATCGACCTATTTCCTATAGTCCTGTGTGAGGAAAGATACGATAAATTTTAAGATTAAATCCACATTATAAAATGTCAGAAAATAACGACTTTCGAGTGAATAATAATTCGAAAACACTAACCTGCAAAACCTGCGGCTTCGGCAAATTTACATTTTACTGTCGACTGTTAGACTTACATAGCGCCACCAATCGATATTTATGACCTCGCTAGCTTTTTTTTTTGACACTGTGATTGTGAACGCTTGGTGGCGCTATGACTCACAACATGACACGTTACATCTTACGTCGAGTGCGCTAGTTTTTAGTTTTAGTTTGGTTTATCTTAAATTTTTCTCCTATTTTTCATAAAAGCAGTCATAACAAGTACTTTGATTTGTATGGGAATTTACTTCGATGTCATCTGGAGCAAAGATGGACCCTGAATTACAAAAAAGGTTGCAAGAAGATGGTAAGATAATGAGCTGGAACGGAGTCAGTGGGTATACAAGGGGGGGGGGGGAGAATGTTTATATTTTCTGGAAAGGACCATGGAATTCTAGTTATGATAGTTTGGCTCAAACATCCAGGAACTTCTGAACGGCTGACGTAATGTTGCATCGCCCTATGTAGTCCGAATAACTTGGACCAAACTTATCGCCTTTTTAACATTCGGCCAGACCACGTCCAAATGTTAAAAAAGGCGATAAGTGGGGTCCAAGTTACTTGGACTACGCCCTATGATACTTGACATGCTTGATAGGGCATAGCCCCATAAATGTCGCCAATTTACTGGACTAGGCCTAGGCCTACCATGCCTAGCCCCACTAGTGTGGCCGTCGGTATGCTGCGCTGAACCCAAGGCCACACACCGTGGTCCGCGCACTACTGAGGACGTTTTCATAAAATTTGCAGGGAATTTCTTACATATGGTTGTATTCTACGATGTCCCAACTATCACTTCTGGGATGCTTGGGTGTAATGATGTAGGTATGTGACAAAACACGTCAGTGCGCGCTGCGTTTTCGGCCCTGTCAATGGTGACCGCATTTTGCGGCTATGCTTTTGCGCTGTTATGTTTGCGGCCGGATACCAGTTAACCAGGGGCATCCCCTGCAAAATGGATTGTTCTGTGAGAAAGAGGAAATCATATGCTACAACCTCGTACCTAGATTTTTGTCATGCGATACGTTAAAGTTGGATTACGTGCATTTTAAAAATTCATCCGAGAAAGTCAGCGTAATTCTACGTGATGTAAGTTAGATTTCGTTTAAAAACATTTACATTCTTAAATTTATGTATTCATTTACAAAACCTGAAAATATAAAGGTAATTGTACGATTCCCACACCCTTTTTTTTAATCCGCAAAAATTGTTTTATACGATCGGTCATCGCGACGGTGCACACAAACATGGCGGTTACCGTGAGATTCCATTGAAATCAAGATGTAGATCATCCTTCTGGAAAACATGCTAAGGGCCTTTGATAATTGAAAAAAAACAGCCTTAAAATGAATTTTAATATATATTCTTCATAATTCTCTGGTATTTGATCGAAAAAACATTTGCATCAAGCGGATGATTTTGGATTTAATTCAGATTTAGTTCACCCCAGTTATGCTTTTTACACATGGGGCTAACATGGGGCGAGCTAGTTTTTTTTTTTTTTTAGTTTGTTTTTATTTCAGGGTCGTTTTTTTGTAGGCCCATCCTTTATTATATTTTGTTTACTTAATTACATATTTTATTGAAATTTTTTTTTTATTAATGGATTCATATTTTATATTGGACAAGTTTTGATCTGCCAATTCGCTCCAGTCATGTAATTTGTTAGTGATTTTTTTTTCTTCTCCCTGGTAGAATTCGAGGGTGTGGCCTAATTGCAGTTTGGATGATTATGCTGTTAAGTTAATGAAAGTACTAAGTTTTTTGTTCATATTTTATTTAAAAAAAATGAAATACACCCTTTATTTTATTAAGCAAAGAAAATTTTATTTTTTTTAATGTTTGAAAGAAAATTTATATATCTTCTCAGCCGCCACAGGCTTCGATAAAACAAGCACCTTCCATAGTAATTATGATATCACTACTTTCTTTATTTTCAGGTAATTATCAAAAATGCCACCTAAAAAGAAGAAGAGGGATTTTTTTCAAGCAAAGCCAGGCAAAGCTTGTCAGTATCTGATTGAAAACTTCAGTTCACTTCCAGATCGCAATTTGCAAGTTGGACACATCCTCTTCTCGTTCATTACAAATGAACGGTCTTTCTTCAGTACTGTTCAGGTGATTAGAGAAAAGATTGGTGCCTCATTTACATTTTCAACTAACCAACTGCAGAGCCTTGTTCGAACAACACTCCAGAAATATAAACATTTGTCACGTGAAGCTGACGTGAAGAAATTTGATGAGGTATGTCGGAAGCAGTACAAATTCCATCAGCAGCATACACCAGTAGTTCAACTCTCCTCCTCTGAGCCTGTGCCATCGACTGGCGTTCAATTTGGAGAACCTGGGCCATCAACTTCTGGCATTCAATCTGGAAAAACCTTGCCATCAACTTCAGAAATTCAGCCTGATGGAGAACCTGGGCCATCTAACCCCAAAGAGCCTCCCAGTCCAAAACAATCACCACCTGCAAGAAAATCTCCTCGAACAGTGCTCATCACACCAAGGAAAAGAAAACTACAGAAGAGACTTGAATTTGTGTCAAAATCAAACAAGAAATTTGAATCTTCTCTCTGAATTTATAACAAAACAAGGTGCAAAAATGACTTCCAAATATCCCTGATTTCATGTATTTTAGCTTGAAAAAAAATGGTGTTTTTTTTAACCCAAAACACTAAACTACATTCTATCCCACTGGCATACCACTCAAATGAAAGATCTTGTTGACCTCTTTAATTTGATACCACATTTGTTGTTGTGATATTTGTACTTCTAGAGATATATAAAAATTGCAATTTTTCAGCCGTGTCCACTTTTGGTGGAATTGCCCCAATGGTCATCACACTAATTGATAAATTAATAATTTGTGTTTACTGATTGTTAATCAATATCAATTATCATAATATAATCATAATATATAGTCATTGTAATGTCTTTTGTGAAATTTTGATGAGATTCTGACTTGTAATAAGAAAGTTACAGTGCACCAAAACAAATAGAGTCATGACGTAACCCAAATAACGGTCACAAATTTTCTTATGTTTTTCTTTGTTTTTGGAGGCCGAAATTTCACCACCAATTCCCGAGTTTAAAATAAATGTAACTCTTATAAATTTTCACCTAGAACAGTGATCTATACATCATTTTAAAGTTCTCTTTAAGCTCTTTACAATGGTATCCATTACAGTTAAATTGGGTGAAGTTTAAATTTTTTGTCACATACCTAAATGATGTTCAATTTTCCGAGATATTCTTGAATCTTTCTGGAGCCCATATGCACTCGTGAGACGTCCGGTGATGGCAGCCATTTTGAATGTGACAAGAGATGACCTCAAGCTGTGACGTCGCGTTTATGCAAATCGCTTGTCAGCGAGGGCGCGAGTTGCAAATGCGACGGCTGTTTCCTGTGCCGTAGATCCTGAATAGAGATCAGTGCACGTGGCCCCCAGACGATAAATGCATGGTACAGGAAACAGCCGTCGCATTTGCAACTCGCGCCCTCGCGCGCTCGACAAGCAATTTGCATAAACGCGACGTCACAGCTTGAGGTCATCTCTTGTCACATTCAAAATGGCTGCCATCACCAGACGTTTCACGAGTGCATATGGGCTCCAGAAAGATTCAAGAATATCTCGGAAAATTGAACATCATTACACCCAAGCATCCCAGAAGTGATAGTTGGGACATCGTAGAATACAACCATATGTAAGAAATTCCCTGCAAATTTTATGAAAACGTCCTCAGTAGTGCGCGGACCACGGTGTGAGGCCTTGGGTTCAGCGCAGCATACCGACGGCCACACTAGTGGGGCTATACCATGCCTACCTCCGTAAATAAGGGCCACACTTCCACCATGTATAGTCGGACTCACTATTATCGCGGCATCCCTATTAATAGTATTATCGCGGCATGGGAAATTTCTCTTTTTGCGTTGCCAAAACTCCTTCAAGTGGCGATTTTTATCCAGTTCACCAGTCATTGAGGATTTTTTGCCGAGTTGTATAAAAAGGACGATAAAAAAATGTTGTGTCTTTCGGGACTTTTAACGATTTTTAATAAATATTAACGTTTTCCAAAACTTGCAAATTTTCCCTCACCGTGTCTGCTAAGAGGTACCGTTTATATTTTAACATTAATCTTTAATTGTGCTCTGTCCATGAAAGTTTCATTGTCTGGTTCCCATTCTTCAGCTGCAAATGTAAAATGAAGTCGAACGACGATATTTGCAGTGCGAAATCGTAACAACTTTTACGGGATCAAAATAAGCACCGCGTTAGCGAAAATAAAACGGCACACCGTGTAAAGTGAATGGCGCCCCCAATCGCCAATCAGTAGACTTGCCTCAGTAATTTGTGTTCCTTTCGGGGGAAGGGCAGGGTCTTAAGAAATCATCCTGCAGAAATATAGTCTGTAATCAACTTGAACGTTACAGGGAAAATATCAGACTTTATTCAGGGGATGGTTTGGTCAAACATTAACTTTGAATAAAAAAGTTGGGATCATTATAAAAACCACTTCCCGCATACCGCGATAATAGGGAGTCCACCTCCATTTGCACACTCCGAGCATATCTATTTTCACAGGCATCGTACACGGAATAAACCGCACCACCGTCAGATTTTTTCATATTAATTTGAAAAGGAAGAGTTATACTACACAAAAGACAGGACAATTCGAAGAGGGTAGTGGGCAATCTGTATTCCGAACGAGAAACGTGACAAATACCGCGATGATATGGCAACCCATCCTACAAAAGCATGTCGAACTTTGTCAAATTTTGATTTTCACATTTAGGCTTAGTTTGTAGTTTGTTTTTGCTTTAGAAGCATACTCACCCTCATATTCATACTAGCTAATCAGAAAGTGCTGCCTTTTTCAGATGTCTATTTTTCGTAAACCTAGGTCCTGAATGCTTGGGGGATAAACTGCCCATAGGCCCTACCCAGAAAGTGGACTATCGGTAGGCTAGGCCAACATTTTTTTTTATCTTGGCTCTAAAGCCCCCCCCCCCTAAAATATCATTTGAGCAAGCCTGATTTTTATCTTGTCTCTTTTCATGAGTTCTGCCAATCATTGTCTTGAAGTAATAAAACAAAAAAATACCATTACGGCAAGAGTCTCAAATTTGAGCACGATTTGTAAATTGTCCTCGTTTCAGAGACCCTACAGGAGTTCTTGCAAGATGACTTCAATGTCCAAGAGCATACCAACCAGGTCATGCAGAGCATGGCCATCACAGAGCAACTGTCAAAACTAGCCGAGGGCATCAGTCTATTGGACAAGGAGCTGCATGCACAGGTAGGACAGCCTTTACCTGCAGTCTATTGGTTACAGGTTCGAAAACCCCTTCGCTTGATACCAAGGCAGAATGCCACAGCTCTGTAGATATCTCACAGAGCAACTGTCTCAACAAGCCGAGGGTATCAGTGTATTGGACAAGGACCTGCGTGCACAGGAAGGAGAGCCTTTACCTGCAGTCTGTGGGTTACAGGTTCGAATCCTTGTTGCTTGATGCCAAGTAGGCCTAGTATGCCACAGCTCTGTGGATATCTCACCGAGCAACTGTCTGAACGAGCCGAGGGTATCAGTGTATTGGACAAGGACCTGTGTGCACAGGTAGGAGAGCCTTTACCTGCAGTCTGTGGGTTACAGGTTCGAATCCTTGTTGCTTGATGCCAAGTAGGCCTAGTATGCCACAGCTCTGTGGATATCTCACCGAGCAACTGTCTGAACGAGCCGAGGGTATCAGTGTATTGGACAAGGACCTGTGTGCACAGGTAGGAGAGCCTTTACCTGCAGTCTGTGGGTTGAGGGGTCCAACCCTTGTCACATGTTACAAGTGTAGACCTATACATGTAGTAGGCCACAGCCATGACAGCTCTGTGTATATGTCACAGAGTAAAGTTCTGTCTAAACTAGCCGAGGGTATCAGTCTGCTGGACAAGAAACTGCATGCACGGGTAGGAGAGCCTTTACCATCAATCTGTGGGTTACAGGTTCGAACCCTTGTCACTTGTTACAGTGTAGGCTCTCTGGATATCTCACAGAGCAATTGTCTAAACTAGTTGAGAGGATCAGTCTACTGGACAAGGAGCTGCCTGCACAGGTACCGTAGGAGAGCCTTTTCCTGCAGTTGGTGGGTTTCAGGTTCAAACTCTTGTCGCTTGATGCCAAGTATGCCACAGCTCTGTGGATATCTCACAGAGCAATTGTCTAAACTAGTTGAGAGGATCAGTCTACTGGACAAGGAGCTGCGTGCACAGGTACCGTAGGAGAGCCTTTTCCTGCAGTTGGTGGGTTTCAGGTTCAAACTCTTGTCGCTTGATGCCAAGTATGCCACAGCTCTGTGGATATCTCACAGAGCAATTGTCTAAACTAGTTGAGAGGATCAGTCTACTGGACAAGGATCTGCAAGCACAAGTAGGAGAGCCTTTCCTGTCGTCTGTGGGTTACATGTTCGAACTCTTGTCACTTGATACCAAGTAGGCTTAGTATGCCACAGCGCCTTGTATATATCTGACAGAGCAACTGTCTAAACTAGCTGTGGACAGTCTAAACTCAGTCTGTGGGACCAAACGCTGCAGGCCCAGTTTTGTAAAGTCTTGGCGCAGTGCGTAAAGCGTTCGCCTCTCATTGATGTTACATGTACCTGGGTTCAATTTTCGGCTTGGGTCATATGTAAGTAGAGTGTCTGTTGAATCTCTCTTGTACCGCGAGGGTTTACGGCAGCTTTTTGATTTTCATCAACACTTTTGATCTGGCTATGCTCCATGGTAAGACATGGATCCTATGGCGGCTGCCCTTCACGTGCCTTGGGCTCGACCACGTTGTAGCTGCGTCCATCACAATTCAGCTTCTGCTACGAATAAGGACGATTAGCCCCCAAATTTTTGACTTATTAATTTATTTATCGGCAGTCTGTGGGTTACGGGTCGAACCCTCAACACTTGATACCAAAACAGTATGCCACAGCTCCATTACTCGTGACTGGACTTATGATTGGACTTTTGATTTTCTTGTTACCAGATTTGTGATGGACTCAACTTTAAAACTGCTGTGCTAAAAAAAGGCAACTAAAATTGTATTTTCAACATGGAAACCTTCATCTATCCGCAGGTTTCAGCTCACCATGAGGACTTGCTTTCACAGGCCACTGGCATTGAGACTCTGGAAGGCGTTCTGCAGATGATGAATACAAGAATCGAGTCACTTCAGTCTGCAGTAGAAAGGTTGGTCCAACATTTAATTTTATCATGATTTCATTCATTAATACTGAAATTGATTTTTAAAATCAAATTTTAGTGGAACAGAGACAGAGGGAAGAGAGATCAAAGTCGGTCCACACAAGTTCGTGGGAAAATTGGGAGAAACTTGTTAAACAAAATTTAATGAGTTAGTTAAAATTGAATGAATTGACATAAAGTTATTAAAAAAATCTTTGCTTTTTCTTTCAGGATTCGAAATAAAATTGTAGAACCTTACAACAAGATAGTTGCCAGAACAGCCCAGCTACGACGACTTCAGGTAAATAACCTTGTTTAACAAACAGTCCATAAAAGGGAAAATACAACATTTGCAAACCTCAAAAAATAGAACTACCAAATTATTTTGAAATAGTTTGTAAGACTGTTAGCGAATAACAGTTTAAAGCATCCTATAAAATCATGGTACCTGGTATACTGTCATTTTCAAGAAAAGTGGTATTTTCCTATCGATATCCAAAAATGGTCGGCCGACCAACGTTGGAAAAACTGGCTTATTTCAAATACTGGCCCCAATTGACCATACATGTATCTAGTTAGTCTTCATTTGTTTGCAATCGATTACGGGTACAAGCCAGCTAGACTAGTTCCCTGACCTTACAATTTCCCAACGTCTGTAAATTGCTCCGTTTCATTTTAAATGGAGTCAGGGAACCAGACTACAGGAAAATGATTGTTTTGTTTTTTTTTGTTTTTTTTTGGTTTTATAGCATTTACAAACCCAAAACGTCACAAAAATCAGTGTAACAATATTTGCTATATAGTACCAAGCCCCCAAATCCATCCATTTCTGAAAATTACAGCAAAAGCAAATGATGTATATTCCCTTTAACCCTCCCTATCCAGTCAAACTCCAACACCAGGGTTTGTTTGAATCTGTTGGAGTGAGCACTGCACTAGTAAACTGATTATGCATTACATGGGTTCAGGGCTTCAGGCGTATACCACCATAATCAGAGTCCAACAGTTTGAGTGTAGAGTTTACCAAGATAAATGAAGATACTTCTCCACACAACAAAAATAAATCCAAAATTTCCTTTAGTTTTCTGAGTAATGCCACCAATCACTATTGAAAGTCATGATACATGTACAACGCCTCAGATCTTCAGTCCTTTTATGTGTTGATTGCAATGCCTCTCACGGATTGGATTATCTGTTTTCATACCAATCAGGAGGCATGTGACCTACTGAGGAGGATCATCCGCATCCTGTATCTGAGTAAACGGCTTCATAGTCAGCTGCAAGGCGGAGCTCGAGAGATCACTAAGGCGGCTCAGAGCTTGAACGAATTAGGTCAGTGAATATGAAACAACAACCCCCCCCCTTCCCTTCCTCCCTTCATTTTTATACCAAAAGAGCTACTTCTTTAAGCCACGTCCGAAACGAGCCTCCAGATCTACGGCAAAAGTGTATTGCCTACGTGACCCTGTGTATTGTAATCATCAAAGACCGAGACAATAGCTTTAGTCAAGAGACGTCACTTTATTCTTACTCATTCTCTTAAAAATGTGTCATATGTATCATTATTCAAACGCAAATATAAAACCCAATTAATCAACAAATATTTGGTAGAATAATTTCCTTTTGTAACACCAAATAATCATAATTTTAATTTGTTTTACTAGCTCTGTACCAACTTTTATGTTATTTAATTTCTGTTGTTGTCCTTGTAATTGTGATTGTTCTTTGTTAATTTCACACAGTGGGGTCTCCACTCGACAAGCTCATAATTAAGACAAGATAAGTTTGCGGTGACACCATGTGAATAAATCTCTTTTGTGAGTATGTGTGGTTCTGAAAAAGAACTGGAGGGACTCAACGTTTCGAACAGTATGCTCTGCCTGTCGTCAGGAGAAAGTGATTTATTTACAAAAGAGATTTATTCACATGGTGCTACCGCAGACTTATTTTGTCTTTGTATCTTTCCACCATGCAAACCTTCAAAAGCTCATAATTTGAATGTTAAATAATTGTATATTTACATGTATGTGTTGGTAAAAATTTAAGATTTTGATTGATTGATTGATTGATTAATTCTTTTACTGTATGAGTGAACAAAGCAGCCTTTTTTGAGGTTATGTTTACCCTAAGCTGACATAATTTGTCCTGGAACTGTTTATAAAAATTGCTTGATATTTTGTCAAAGGGAGCAAAAATTCCATCATTTTTGTCATTGTAGACTTTCTGTATCACGGAGTGGATCTGAAGGGAATTGAGGTGATTGAGCAAGACACGTTGTTCATCAGAAAGGCGAGACGGGACGTGGAGAGGCAAGCTCAGAAGATGCTTCACCAAGGGATGGAGACGCAGGTAGCAAGATGTTTGATTGACCGTACTATGGTGACGTAGTCAAGTCGTAATACAAGTCAATCACTAGTCATTTAACAAGTCATCTTCTCTCGTGTGACATATCAAGCTTTTGAAATGAGCTTGATATTTGAACATGAACATGTCAACGACTAGTCAATCTAAAGTCATTCAGTCTTAAGTCATATATTTATTCAACTGTAACAAGGGTATTCCTCTGTGCATTGTTCATCACGTGTTGATATGACTTGACGCATTATTGATGCGTAATATGACTTCAGATTTGACTTGTGACGGACTTAACTACAACCAGGCCTCACTACCCAGTATCCATCAAAATTTACATCCATTTTTGGTTTTTTTGTTTGGTGAATTCAGGAGTATAGAACCTAGGATCTTAAAAGTTAACAGTATTTTGTTTACAATTACACTTAAAAGCTTTGCAGTAGTGAATATAATAGATGAAACAAGTCATCAGCCAATTCCTAGTGTCAACCATCTTGAAGTGTTCCTTATTTCCTCTCAGAACCAGTCTCAAGTAGCCACTTCTCTTCAAGTCTTTCACAATCTGGGCTGCCTCCACGAGACGGTGGATCGCATCGTTGATGAGAGCCAAGAAGCCGTCAAGAAGAACATCCAGGAGGCGCTGAATGTGCAGACACCAAGCCAACCACAATTCCAGCCTGGGAGGGGTGAGCAGTTTTATTCTTTAATCGAAATTGATGCTAGTTCATATTGGGCAATGTTGGGTGTGTATGCACATTTTTGTGTGAAGGCTAGGGATGTCTATTTCGAATAACTCGATATTTGATTACTCAAAACTGTATTTAACCAATATTGGGATATTCGGAACTGCCAGCTGCAACTGCGTACTTAACTGGTGAAAATCTGCACCACAAGTGTGGCAGTTAAAATTTGCATGCTGCAATCGATTTGGGGTGCTGGAGTGTTTTGCAGTAAGCATTTTCTAACTGTATAAGGTTTAACCTGCTAAAAGGATGTGAACAATGACCTGCCGTCTACAAAAGCAGGGGGGGGGGGGGGCTGGTACCGTATTTCAATAGGGGGCGCTCAAATTCGACGATTATTAACTCTAGATTACAGAATGGTGTACCGTATTTTGAACAGGCGGACATTATACAAGTATAATTTCTTTTTGGGCGTCACAGCGGCGGGGAGTGGGGGGGTGCATAATTTTTCAGGAATTTGTATGATAATTTTTTTTTTTGGACAGAGCTGGAGGGGGGGGGGGGGGGGAAAGGGGGGTTGATCCCCAAAACCCTCCCCCTGGATCCGCGCCTGCTAATGGAGTACGAAAGTGAATACGTCACACGCACAAATTTGTGTGAAAGACATTAGCGCGTGATTCAGCCCGTGAACCAACACGCGCGCGTACTCCATTCGTTTGCACTACGCTTTCTGGTTCTAAACGACGCCACACTTCGGTACTCCGATTGTCAATTTTCATTAGCAGCACGGAAATCTTGATCTGCAGCCCATATAATTGCAAGTCGGTGCTACGTGCAGTTTCCTGACGGGCCCACTTGAACATTTGCGCTGGTGCTTGTAAAACTTGATCTTGTTTGTAAAACTTGATCACCTGAACAGTTCCGAATCCAACAAAATACTTGGACTTGGATGGATCAAAGACTTCTGGAGTTCAGAATAGAAATAATGACTGAACATCAATGTTTCCCTTGATAGGTGGTCCAGGCCGGGCATCAATGCCTGCCACGGGTAACACAGCAACCTTCAGAGCGACACTCTGGACGAACCTGTCCAAGCTGATGGACCAGATATATGCTACATGTGGACAGGTATTGAAGATTACATCCAGTGTTATATAACGTAGTCGTGTCCATTACAAGTCCGCAACAAGTCAATCACAAGTCCAGTCACAAGTAAATAACAAGGGGATGAACAATGACAAAGGAATGCTTTTGTCATAGTTCATTTGAATAGCTTGGGATTTGACTTGAGACTGGAGGACTCGTGATGGACTCAACTTTAACATCGAGATAAAACCTAATCAGTGCTCCCTGCAGTCCATGGAATTAATAATGTTTGAAGTGTGGAGACTATACTGAATCCAGTAGAATCCAAGAGCTTTACCAGTTCGCGCCGGAGGCGGTGATAACACGCACTGGCTGGTTTTGTGAAAAGACAGGGCTGACGGGTTAAGACGTCGAGATTGCCTCCACTCGCCTCCGGGTGACGTATAAACACGCTAATCCCTCGTGCCATTTGTACACACACACAAATTCCATAATAGTCTGTGGAGGCGGACCATTTGCTGGCTGTTGTGTGGGCCATTGTGCACGGCCTATTGTACAATTTACGCTCCAGTGCACACCCCAGAGTATTGAAACAGAGTATTGTTTTGGCTTGTTTGTCTGTTTTTTCCCCAGTCTTGTATAATCTGCAGTTGTTAGGTTTTTATGCCAGCTATTCTTGCCTTTGAGAAAACTGTTGTATCTGTTAATCTTTTAAATCTAATTATCTTTGTAAGTATTATTTTTAAGGCGGTCTTATTTTTCATTGAATTTTATACCTAATTTTTAATATATTTTGTATGTTACATGTACCATTCAAGTTAGGATTGACAGGCTTTCGAGTCACAGTGTTTTATTATACTTTTGTCAATCCTGGCCAGCTTGGATTGGATTGTTTTTGTTTAGTTTTGTTTACTTTTGTGGATTGCTTGTTGTACCTTGTAATTTGGCCGAATAAATAATAATAATAATAATAATATGGGGTTTCGGCAAGAAATATCGTACAAATACTGTTGAAATGACTCTTGCAAATCAGAATTTGTGGCGTTTGGCTGTATATCAGAAGTTTGCTGGGAATTTTTGCCTTTTGAAAATTTTGAAATTTTCGGCAAAAATAAACCCCACGCAAGTGGTTAAAAAAATGTTCCTTTAAATTTGTTCTCTGCTGAGATCAACAGGAACCAACAGAAAGTGCCAACATTTTGAACTTGTTGGCTCAGGTGTAGGTAATTATTCAATTCCATTCAAAAATCAATTTACTCATGTTATGAACAGTAGAGTTCATTTTTACAGCAAAGCAAAAATGCAACATAATACGCTATGAAGTGTACTATTCTGAAGTACTTTTGCAGTATAATGTTTTGTCAACCCTTCGACCACTGGGTAAAAGTGTCACTCAAGTATTTTTGAACTAAAACTAAAAACATTCACAACATACCCCCCCCCCCTTTTTACTACTATGAACAAACAGTCAAAACAAACGTCATGTAAAGTATGGGTCATGTAAGGACATTGCCCCTTTTTCAGGCTTTTATCTCAAGAATTGTTCATGAACACATATGACTATTTCATTTATCATCCATTTTCACATCTCGATAACATTTGTATACATATTATGCATTTCTATGCTGTTTATCAAACAACTACCTGATTGTGTCTTGTTGTTGTTAGGTGCAACATCTTCAGAAAGTCTTATCCAAGAAGAGAGATCCTGTAACCCACGTCTGCTTCATGGAGGAACTCAAAAAGGTCAGGGGTCATTGACAGATTGATCAGGGTGGGGCATTTTGGGGCTGTGGCTTCAGCATTTGCCCATTGAGGCAATGTTGTGACTATCCATAGCTCCAGAAGAGAATAAGTTTCTGGGGCTATGGATACTAAACCATACCGTGCTGGGCCAGTTTTAAACAGTGCAGGGAGTAACGGGCAGGGTGGTTTAGTGTGGTTCAGGGGCTAATGGGTTAAGAAACTGGTGCATTTTCATTCGCCAATGACAAAAGTACATGTGGGATACTTATATTCTATCTTTTATCTTACTTACATGTACTTTACTTTTATTCTATCGTTTAATTTTTACTGAAGATTACAATTGATTTGGGTGTTTGTTTTTCCTGGTTTTTTTTTTTTCTTTCTTTTTTTCACATGTTTCAGGAGGGTCGGACCAACATTATGGAGTCATTCTGGAAATCGCTGACTTCAACTCTGAAAGGAGAATTTGCCGATACAGCAAATGGTGAGTGGCTGAGTTGATGCCCTTAGTTCATCTGCACACCATGTCATTTGTGATGTCATGTCTGTCTATTGCCAACAGGCAAAACAACCACTCAAGCATCCTATTTCTAGTTTTCCTTATGTTGTACAGCACTTGTACAGTATTTAAACCATGCTTTATTAATATACAGCATGCGTGTAGAATGGAGTTGATTGCTAGTTTCGGATTCAGGTTCTTGTCACGTGACCACAAGATGCAATTGTATATGCAACAAGGTCTGTGGCTGGGCTCAAAATAAACACATGCAATTTGTCACGTTGAATATTTCTTTGCTGATATTGAAACACATTTCATTTCATTTCATTTCTTTTCACATACATTTATTTCATGTCAACATCATTTAAAAATGTGTTAACAATGCTCATCATTCACTGCAACTTGTTCAAAAGAAATATATTCATTGCATACTCGGGACATGCTGTACATGAGTGCTATGTGTTTCATTTTTACCAGTGAGGGGTTCTTGTGTTTACTGTTCGAAAAATCCTTCATAATGCTGCGTTTGTAAACCATTCTAAATATTTTCTACCCCTAATGAACAAATGTTACCAGCAGTGTTTGCTTAGCACATTTCAGGAGCTTGTCAGAAAAAAAATTCACAAACCTACCCACTGGGAATCGAACCCACAACCTATTGTGTACTAGTGCAGACGTCTAACCCCTAGACCACCGAGCTTGCCCAATCAGCTTGCTGTTTTAGATGTGATATAACAGCAGTACCCAGGGATCTTATACTCGAGTCCGCAAGTCCCTACAAAACCATCACAAGTCCTCCAATCCCAATTCAACTCACAAGCTATTCAAGTGAGCTTAGACAAAGGCATTCCTTTGTCATTGTTCATCCACTGTTACTTGAGACTGGACTTGTGATGGACAACTACATCCCTGGCAGTACTGCTGCAAAACTAGAGTTGGTTTTTTTTTTTCATCAAATGTTGAATGTGATCTTTTTGTCACTTTGAGGACATTGTTGTTATTGTTGCAGCATCTACCTTTGTCAAGCAGGCATTTGAAGGGGAATACCCCAAACTCTTACGACTCTTCAATGAACTGTGGAAACGCCTTCAGCAGTTCAGTCTAGCCACGCCCACAGCTGGCGGTGACTCCGTCTATCTTGCTTCACCCAAGGCAGAGACATTCGCTGAGCAAGAGATGGGGGAGTACAGGTGAGTCATTGTTTTTTGGAGTTTTTTTTGTTTTGTTGCCCTGAACAAGGCTAAAAGCGACTCCAGTTACTGGGCTACAAGAGAAATAAAAGAGAAATAAGTTCTCAGAAAAACTGAAGGTGGGAATTGACATTCCTCTTGAAACAGGACAGATCATAGGTTGGCTGGATAGACTTATGAGAATTTGTAAGGAATTGTCAGGACTTGTGACGGACTTGACTACTTAACTGCTTTTTAACCCTTTAGTCCCTGTAGCGCCCAAAACCGCCCTAAAACAACCAAGCACTCTGTGGTGTCATTGATTCTTCAGTGAATAAACACAGTATAATGCAATTTAGTACAAGTGCGCTTAAGGGTTAATGTAAAGTTCTTTTGACACTTTATTACAGTGGAACACCGCTATAACGAACATCGCGGGATCCACAGAAAATGCTCGTAACAGTGCTCGTTTGGTATAGCGATTTTAAGCTGCCGGTGCTCCGGTACTCACTTTTCAATAAATAGCACCCTTCATAACTTCATCCTGCACGCCCTGGTAGTCACTGAAAGATGACTTCGAACACATGCCGACTATTGAATAATGTAATTACACAGTTTTGAGCTTACTACCTACATCAATGGGTGGCTTTCCCCTTCTATGCCTTGGGGAAATAATAGCCACATTCGCTCTTCTGTTGACAGTTTTCAACACCAATGTTCGGTTGGATTTGTACCCAAAAATCGGGAGCCAAGGACGATGTTCGGTATAGCGGTGTTCGGTATAGCGACGTTCCACTGTAGTTATATTTGTACATGGAAAAATGAAGCTTTGTCATGGTTGTTTTCACTCCATTTCTGTTTAGTTCTGAGAAGGCCTTGAAGGAGTCTCTATCAACCTTTGAGAACGCCTACCTGACGCGGTCGCTATCACGTCTCTTTGATCCAATCAATCTGGTGTTTCCCAGCGGAGCATCCAGCCCACCGTCTGATGATGAAGTGGAGAGTATTGCCAAATCAATCGCAAGGTGAAAAAAAAAAAACAGTAACCAATTTCACTCCAAAAATTTGTTGCACAGCTGCGCAATGAACTTATGATCGATTTCACGAAACGTGGCGTATCTGTGCAACGTTTTGATTTATTTAGACACGTTGGATGAGGATAATAACAGCATTTACGACAACTGTTTGTGTAGAATATCTGTTCAGACACAAAACAGTTGTGAATCACCTACACCCACCATTTTGATACTAAGTTTTTCTGACTTTGTTATGAAATTGGCCTTATTACACTCCAATTAAATGAAAAGAGATCCTTAAATTTCTAATAGTTGTTGATGGTTTTTCTGTGTAGTGAGTTGAATGTGGCTAGCGTGGACACTGGACTGAGTTTGTTGGTTGCACGCAACGTGGCAAAAACTGTCAAACTGTACTGCGCCAAGTGTGAACAACTTGTAAGTATAAAAATACTATGATTGAACATATTTAATGAGAAAGTAAAATAGAGTGTAATGTGTTAAATCTGCACATATTGGAAACGTTACACTGCTTTTATCAAAGTTGTAATTACTAAAGTCCATCACAAATAAATTACAAACTATTCACAAGACATATCACAAGTCAACTACAAGCCAATCGTAAGTCATTCAGAAGTTGGCCACAAATCAATCACAGCTCAACTACGATCCAACCGTACGTCAATCACAACTCAATCATAAGCCAATCATAATCAATCACAAGTCAACCACAATCTAACCATACGTCAATACAACTCAATCACAAGTCAATCACAAGTCAACCACAATCCAACCATATGTCAATCACAACTCAATCATAAGTCAATCAAAAGTCAGCCACAAGCCAATCTCCAGTTAATCGCAACCAATTCACAAATTCATCACAAGTTGTCCCTTTGCAAGCTAAGTCACCAACCTATCATTGTTACAAAGGCATGCGTTGTCAGTGTTCACGCACCATTACTTGCAAGCTTACTTAAAGATTTAACTTTTGATTGACATTAGCTTTCTACCGATGGTGAAGCGACCCAGGTCATTGCCTCGCCGACCTCGGGTCAAATGAGGAACGTAGCCGACGTCAACTCACTCTTTCATTTCCACCAAGCCGTCTGCAAGGTTGTGGATAGTATGAGCAACTTCCCCGGCCAAGCCGTGCAAGTTGTACAACTAGCGCTACAGGTTAGTGGATAATGTTGATAGTTGAAGGGTTGTGGATAATATTTATAGCAAATTCCATGACCAGGCTGTGAAAGTTGTTCAGCTGGCTCTACAGGTTAGTGGATAACGTTGATAGTTGAAAGGTTGTGGATAGTGTGATAAACTTCCCTGTCTGCCTGGCCAGACTGAGCAAGTTGTACAGCTGGCTGTACAGCTTAGTGAATAATGTTGATAGTTGAAGTGTTGTGGATAGTGTGAACAATTTCCCTGACCAAGCTGTGCAAGTTGTACAACTAGCGCTACAGGTCAGTGGATAATGTTGATACATATACATGTAGTTGGTAGGTTGTGGATAGTATGAGCAACTTCCATGGCCAGGCTATGCAAGTTGCACAACTGGCTCAACAGGTTAGTGGATAACGTTGATAGTTGAAAGGTTGTGGATAGTGTGAGCAATTTCCCTGGCCAATTTGGGCAACTTGTCCAACTTGCTCTATAGGTTAGTGGATAATGCTGAGGGGTGAAAGGGTGTGGATAGTATGAGCATTTGCAAAGCTATGCGGGTTGTAAAGCTAGTGGATAATATTGATAGTTGGAAGGTTGTGGATAGTATGGGTGACCTCGGTGGTCAAGCTGTGCAAGTTCTACAATAAGCTTTTCATATTAGTGGATAACTTTGATGATTGTAAGTTTTTTCCATGTAGCATTATGTTCTAATAGTTTATATGTTTTCGGTCATTTCTAGGATATAGTTGCTCTGATGAGTAATGCTCTCAAGCCACTACTCAATTCCATCTTTGATTCCATCGAGGCTATCATTCTCACCATGCACAATGAAGACTTCAAGGGGTAAGTGCCAGATATATTCATGAGATAGTTTCCTTATTTATTAGTATGATTGAACAATACAAAATTTGCAATGCACTGAAAGTCGACAAGTGAATATGAAGAATACATAATTTCTGGACAAATAAAAAGAAAAGTGCCGATAGTAATTCATTCTAGTGAAGAACATATCATACTGTTTGTTATTGGTTTCTTCTCAGGATCTCTTCGGTCAGAAAAGTGATAAATGGCACCATCACAGAGTCTTGCCTTTTTATCGACTATCTTGACTGTACAAGTATTCAGCAATTTAGAGATGAAAAGCAGCGTCATCTCATTTGCTGTTTCGAAGTTTGACCCTAAAAACTAGATTTGTTTTTTCAATTGCTATTTTCTTGGCAATATAGTTATTCACTGTTGAATTAGACATTAAAAGGGAAAAAATCCACCGACATTCATTGATTGAATAATTTTTTTCCGGAAATCAAAATGTTTGTGGCTCAATAATAATTTGGTTATCGCAGGGCGGGTTCATATGTGCCCAAAATGAAAGGCCTTTCTTAAGAGCGTTGCAGATGCCAAACAAATTGCAACAAAAGTTATTTTGTTGCTAAAATAAAGCATACAAATTGAACATTTGTTAGAATAAAAAAATGTATATTTTTTAAGAGTCAGGGGCATCTTTAATATCAGAGCTCTTTAGAGAATCTGTTTCCTGTGCAGTCACCTGGTGTCAATTTACAGCTGAACACATACTATTGCTAAGCACCGAACGAAAATATTTAGCAAACATTGGTTAATAGCGGCAAAATTGTAGCAAATATGAAACCTTTATTTTCTCATATCCACGTTTTGTCTCTTTTTTTTCCAGAGGGCAGCCGGGTGGTCCAGGCAAGGAGGCCATTGATGCACCATGCTCTCTGTATATGAGAGAACTACAAGGATTCATTGCACGTGTACAGATTGACTATCTAGCTCCCTTCAAATGCACAGACTTTGTCATCGACAGGTTAGGATAGTAATAATAACTCTCACTATCGTGGCTGGGGTGGGTGTGGCCTAGTGGTTAGGGTTTATGACTGATGATCAGAGGGTCAGGGGCTCAAATCCAGCTGCTGGTCATATGTTGTGTCCTTGGGCAAGCCACTTCACTCCCACTTGCCTCTCTCCACCCAGGAGTATAAATGGGTACCGGCATTAGCTGGGGAGTAACCTGCGATGGAATGACATCCCATCCAGGGGGAATAGAAATATTCTCGGTAATTTCATAGCAAGGAAACCGGTGATAAAAGCCTGTCTCATGGACCATATTGGCTCCTGTCAGATGATTAATTAACATGTAGCAGCTAAATGAAATGGGCCTCAGGCTTGTTGCATTTGCATGTTATTTATTTGGTGAGCATTCAGTGATGGACTCCTTTTGGTTTTATACAGTGTGCATCCGATGGCCTGTGAAGCCATCGAGTTGTTCGTCCGACACGCCAGCTTGATCCGCCCCCTTGGAGAAGGAGGGAAAATGAGACTAGCGGCTGACTTTGCTCAGGTGAGTTTGTGTCCATTAACCCGTTAATTTCTGCACTGCTCAAGCATGTAGTGGTTTTTCCAGGTAATTTTGAAATAAGGTACTTGTTGTAACGGGTCGGCAACGGATCCGTTACTGATAAAAACATGAACTGAAAAGGAAGGTCGTTTCCCACTGCATGCACTGCAAAGCCCGGGGCAGAGTTGCATCACTAGTCACTAGAACCATAGAGCAAGGACCCAAGGAGTTCGTACTCCAAGACTTCAAAAGTAAAATGATGGTCGCCGCGCTCGAAAGCTACAATAGAAAGCACCTGGCGCCAGCTTGCTCAGTTGCTCACTACGCTAATCTCGACACAATAGAGATCCGCGCTCACTAATGCCAAAAAAGGAGTTTGCATGGCTTCGTAGACAGTACCATGGTAAATGCGCATGCGCAGTTGTCATACATCGCTAAAAATGAATGATTTTGAAGTGTTTGTTCGGAGTTGGCTAATACTGGCTAACAATGTGGTCAACATCACTGAAACAATCATTTCATGAAGAACAAAATGCTCTGTACCTTTAGTGTGAAAACTTGTGAAATTTTCCAAAAAAAACACATTTCATCAATGATATATTGCCAATTAAAATGTCTGAAAATACATGAAAACTTATCTGAAAGAAATCCAATTTATCTCCAAATTACAGGGACAGATAACGCTTTTAAGCACCAACAACTGCACATTGCTAACTTGAGTTCATAACTCACATCTAACAACTGCGCAGTTGTAAAAACCTATCTTGTCGTAAAATATATTTTTCAAAAAAGAGCAGCGACGTGACATGACTTATTATGCAGCATATAGGGAGGTTGTTGGTTACCAACTAAAAAGGCGGCGATGATCATCGTGTTCAAAGGCCGCTGGCATTCACGCTTTGAATGGTCGAGGCTTGCGGTCACAGTGCTGTAGCTATAGACATTCCCGAGGGATTGGTATGTTAATGGTCAAAATGTAAATCGCCCAAGAGTTCTGACTCCTTGGGTCCTTGCTCTATGCTAGAACTAGGGAGCCAGGATCAAGGAGTATCATGATGATGCTTTGACCGTCGTTTGACTTGAGACATTCCCACATTTCTATTAGTGCGCAGGTGTAAATGATGAGGAATCAACCAGTAGTCGACTAATGCTATGGCCTCGTGGTCTGGAGTGTAGGACTCATGGTCTGCGGCTAATTCTGCAGGTTGTGGGTTTGGTTCCAGCCTGGGGTCGTGGTGCGTGTGCCTGTGGGCAAGGCACTTTGTCACTCATTGCTTCTCCCCACCCAGGAGTAAATGGGTACCTGTGAGGGCAGAGATTGTTATTGCGATTGGTTTTAGCTGCCTTGTGCCAAATGTCGCTGCATCGAGCTGTGAACTCCCCAGGGAGCTGAAATTGTATTTGGACTGTTTCATTGGCCCAATGAGCAGGGGTAATAACAATGTAAAGCGCTATACAGGATGGTCCCAAAAAACCCAGATACTTCCACTACCCTGAGACTCAAACCACATATACCAATGCATGGAGAGTCTTTTTAGCCGATTCGCTCCAGTAGTTTTTGTTCTAGAGCCTATTTTGTGAAGCAAGGTGGGGGTCATTTTTGTCCCAATGAATTACTAAAACCACGCCCGGGAATTTGTTTTACATTATAATTGATAAAAGGATTGCTATCTTATAATATCCACATGAAAGAAGTATCCTCCTCAAAATAGGCTCTGCAGCAAAAACTACTAGACCGAATCGGGATATTTTGGTATCACAATTCGTCTACTGAAAAGGATTCTCCATCAATTGGTACCGGTGGTTTGAGTCTCAAGGTAGTGGAAGTATGATTTCATGATTTATATGATTTATGTATTATGTATGATCTATAATTATGTATGATTTATACCACCCTATATAAGTACCTGTCATTATGATTATTATTATTATTAATGGTCCTTACCCAAACTTGCTGACTAGTTTCTGATTGAACTTGCTCGGTATGCTTGTTTCCTAGATGGAGCTAGCCGTGGTGCCGTTGTGTCGTCGTGTGTCAGACCTAGGCCGTCCCTATAAGCTCCTGCGAGCGTTCAGACCTCTACTCTTCCAAACATCAGAACACATCTCCAACAGTGCTGCGTTAGGGGAGATCATACCGTACTCTACAGCACTGCACTTCCTGTTTGCCAGAGCTCCACAGGAGGTTATGTCACCACACGAGGTGGGAATTATGTTGTTTTGTTTTTTTCAAATTTAACAGATTCTTATTTTTCAAAAAAATGAGACGTACTTTAGTCAAAATTAGACACTTCTTGCCAGCTTGATATGGAGACATGACCCCAAAAAATGTGGATTGATTTTTTTCGTTTTTCAGTTTTTGGCAAATTTTGTGATACAATTAACAGACACATGCGATAATAGATGCTGGAAATATGTTGAGTAAAAACAAAGAATAACAGGGTTTTGACAGATATTCTGCAGTGAGAATAACCTCATATTCATACTGGTTTCTAAGCGCATACATCAACTTGTGCAAATGCACTCTTTGGATTAAAAGCTGATGTTGGTTCAGTTCTTATGTAATGGGGTTCTCAGCCACTCTGGAAATTAGGGAAACCTTGACAATGAGTTTCCATGGTTTTTTTCCAGTCAGGGAAGACTCAGGGAATTTGGGGAAAAAACTCAAAAAATTCAGGAAAATTCAGGGAATTTGATAGTGACCCAGAAGGGAAAGGTTTTCGCCAGTTTGGCGTATGTGTGTCTTGTGTCATGTGTCCAAGTTTTGTCCATTGACTGACTGGCTACGGTGGCTATTTAGTGTTTATATACAGTGTGAATATTACACACCTCTCCAGACAATAACGATTGGCCATGCTACACCACCTCTTGACTTCCAAGCAACCTCGTTAAAATGAAAATATTTCTCACAGAAATTTGTTTCCATGAAGTGCTGGGAACTGTGTGTCAAAACATGAACATCCTTCCATAGTAATCCGAAAGTCGCAAACTGACTTAAGCAGATTTGTTTTTCTCTGAGGTCTAAAATGCCTTTGACATTTGGTAAATTCCTACAGATTGCTGGCTGGTCGACCACACGTTATTCCCAGTGGCTAAGTGAGCACACGTCGGAAAAGGAAAGGCTGGCACTCATTAGGTTAGTATGTATTAAATGATAGCAGGGTACCAAGAGTTTTGGAGGGCTCGTATCTTCCTGTATAGACTAGTCTTTGGGGGTTTTCTAAACCAGGGCTCCTGACTAGTGGGGTGCATTTACAGAACCCGGTACCCTATTGAAGTAAAACATGGGTACCCGGGTACCTGTAAATGAAACCCGACCGCAACATTCAAATCCCGGGAGTTGTCTGTTTACAACTGCAACTTTCAGGAGCGTCATCTGTCATGTTTTGAAGTGCACATAAACGTGAAATCTGTTTGGTGGTTTTCCATGTCTGGCTTTCATGTCGAAAATCCCCCACAAACGGCATTCAAAGCCTTTCGTTTACGCTGTCTCAGAAGTTGCTAAGTTTGTTAAAGTGGGTGCAGGTACTCGATCCTATAATCTGGAACCGCTTACTGACATCAGCGGTTGGGTACTCGGGTACCTGGTTCTGATACACACCCCTACACCTGACCAACACCTGCTATGGGCTCCATGCGCAAACAAGAGAGGGCGCTTTTTTAACCACTTTCAAAAGCCCCATGGAGGGGACACACCACGCTCGTGTACTGGATCATACGGTTCTAGCACAAGGTACTGTTAATCCAAAAAGTGAAAATCTGATTCTCATTGACAGCGGTAACACTAACCTCAATTAAAATGGACTTGCATGACCACGCTTGTCAGGGGACATCTGCGTAAGGGGAACAAATTCTTAATCCAGTTTTGGACCGATGCTAGTGCATTTGGAGTAAAGGGAACATTCGCTTCAAAATCTGAAGGAGAAAACTGACTTTTTCAATATTTGATTCCAAACCCACAGGGGAACCCTGGAGGCCTATGTGCAGTCAGTCCGAGCAAGACAAGGCAAGGAGTTTGCTCCGATCTATCCCATCATGATCGACTTGTTACAGAGAGGAACGCAAGCCACGGGCTCTGATATGCCTCATGTATAGGTGGTCAGAGAGGACTACAAGTCATCACAAGCTATCATAAGCCGTCATAAGTCATCACAGGTCATCACAAGTCAGTGCAAGTCGCCACAAAGCAATCACAATTCATCACAAGTGATCACAAGTTATCATAAGTCAATCACAAGTCATCATAAGTCAATCACAAGCTATTCAAATGAACAATGGTGAAGCAGTCTGTGATTCTGACCAGACTTGTGATTTGACTTGTGAGTGACTACATTACAAGTATGTGAGTGATATCTACGGCATCACTGGAACCAATATTTGAATGAGTTCCACACACACACTGGGATTTTTTTCCCTTTTTGATTCTCATCAATTAGGGTGAAAAATAGGAGGTGGAGATATCATTGAATTCATCAATGTGGAAAAATGGTGTATATATATGTATGTACATTTTTTAGATACATGGTAACATGAAAAATGTTGAGTTTACAAAATATTTTATTTCACCACTCAAAAGGTTAGCTAAATTATCAAAACATTTGCCTGATTTTTGTAGTCGATTCCAATAAACACTTTAGCAACTGTACTACAGTGTGTTTATTCACTTATGAATCCATGTAGACCAATTCGGGCACGTTACTTCAGAAACCATTGTGCAAGCTATTGTACACAGCAACTGGCCCGTGACGGATATATCTGAACAATAGCTGGCGCAATGCTTTCACCATTGAAGGGGCCATCATGATAGAAGTGTTATTGTGCCCAGATTGGTCTACATGTAGTGCTTATTAGGCGGTTTTGAGGTGCTACAGGGAGTAATAGGCAGGGTGGTTTGGGGCAGTACATTAAATGGGTTAATACGCCAAAACTTGCGAATAACCTATACCCATTGCAAGTTATATTTGAATAACATCTGGTTCGCTGACTTTCTCATAATGCTTGGCACGTTTTAACCTCAAATTCTCCAGACTCAAGACACTGTTGCTAATCACATGATTCGGGGCAAGCTCTTGCATAGTTACATAAGAGACGCTCAGCATCGATACTTTGTTCACAATGGGTGAGAATGGCACAAAGACACCAGACCATGCCGGAGCTGGGGGTTGCTAGCGTAAGGCTTGCCCCGAATCATGTGATATAGCAACAGTCTCTTTGGTCTGGAGAATTCAAAGTTAAAATGTGCCAAGCAGTCGAACAAGTCAGGGTACCAGATGTTACTTGAATTTAATTCGCAAATGGGTTGTATTCTGTGGGTTTATGTAGTTGAACCAGCAGGGAGTCTTCTATGAATGCGTTGCTTGTGTTTTAGTTTAGTTCATGAAAATTGTCCAAAGTTTACTTGCTTGCTAAGTCCTAGTTATTTTTTTCATGCATTTCTGAAGTTGATGACATTTTCGAGTCAGTTCTGAAGCCTTGTTCAGCCCCTGGTGCAACAGTGGTTTTATTTTTTGGTTACAGTATAGCACGTCTCGTCACAATTTCCAGTTTCTTGAAACATAAAATGAGATCTTGTGTTTGAAACAAGTCGTTTTTGTTTTTAACTCATTTATTCAATAACAGTTTCAGATATACAAATAAAAGAGACTTTAAAAAAACAAAACTGAAAGCGTTGTCTCGGATGTTTTTCAAATGCCATAAAATGCAATCTTAAGTAACAGCATAGACATCGTTTTAAATGATCTGCAACATTCCCCTGTATTAAAGGTAGGATGGACCATTTGTCATTTGTGCATTTTTCATTTGAAGCAAAAAAAGTGCTCAAAATCTAAAGACGGTTGCTTAACTAACCTAATGAAGTTTTAGCTCAATAAATGCCGTATATTTCGAGGAAACACACAATTCTCAATCTCATTCATTTCAAAAGTTCCCGAGTCTTACTTTGAATTGAGCCTTCTCATGACACAATTCCGAAATTAGCATTCGGAACAAGATTCTCATTCAGCCGACTGTAGCTATGTGATGTCACACGCTGAACCGACCAATAATAGCAACCGTTTGTGCATTGTGTCAACCCATTCATGGTTACAAACCAACTACCAACAGAAATTTTGAAAAAATGTGTCACTTGACACATCTTTGGAAATGAACTTCTTTTATGGTCTTCTTCAAAATGACAGCATGCCAGAAGGAATAATCTCACAGGGAGTTTAGTGTCAGTACCATCTTAAAACCAAGTAAGCCTTTTATCAACAATTTGGACAGATGCTTTTTGGATAGCTGTTATGGTCCATAAAGAATCTTGCATCCTGATGCCACTTTTTAAATTATATAGCATCTCAATGAATGCCAGTCATTGCAAAAATGTTGAAAAGACATGAATCTGGGACTGAGAAACATTTCCAATTTTGTTAGAAAACACTTCTTGACTCTCCATAGACTTTGTACACAACCGCTGAAGTGGCGTCTGGATGCTACATCAAGTTCTTTCCATGGTCCACTCTAACTTTAAGTTCAGAACCATTTAAGATATAGGACTTAAATTTGGCACATAAAACATGTTAGATTCCCCAATATTTGTTTTGTTGGTTTTTATAAGGCCAGGCAATTGAGATTGTCAATAATAAGAGAGCAACAATATAATTTCTATTAAAACTGTTTTAAATTTTCTTTTCTTTCTGTTCAACTCTTTCAGCCCAGCAAGATAGTGGCCATTAGGTGATGAAATGTTGATTACTTAAATGTATTCTTTTCTTAAATTAAAACAAAGAGTAGCACTAAGCAAGTATCTCTTACACTTTAAAAGCTTTATGAGCAAAAACAAAGACAGAAACTTGAAACATTAATATATATTTAAGTACTCTTTGGCAAAATCAATAAGTGGTAGTTATATAACACTTACAAAAAACTGCAATGGGTTTTAACAATTCAGAATTGATCAAATCGGATTAATGAAAACAAGGATGCGTCTTGATGGGTCAACCAACCAAGTTGAAGACAAAAATTTAAAAACAATTCTACATGTACAAAGTAATTCACACAAGAAGAAAAAGACCTGTGGTTTTTTTTTTAATACAAAATTTCTCTTTTGACTTTAGAAACTGAACAAATTAATTCATAAAACAGTGGCAAACTAGAGTAAGGCACTTAAAATCTCTAAATATTTTACTGCTGAAAGTAAAAAATAAAAAATAAAAAAAAATAAAACACCTAATTGCACCATGTTGGAGAAGTTACCCCCTAAAAACCCACATTCAGGACATCTTGTTCACAGCTACAGCCGGTGACGCATTATGCTTGGGGCACATTTTAAAATTACACGAGTCGGGGTTACATTGTCATGTTTATAAACTTGGCCACTACAGTATAAGAGTAGTTAACACATTAGCACCTGTACTACATTGTATTACATTGTGTTTATTCACTGAAGAATCAAAAGCATAGAGTGCTCAGGCAGTTTTGGGCGATAACAGTGAGTAGTAGGCAGAGCGATTTCAGGTGCTACAGTGACTAAAGGGTTAAACAATTTATAACAAGTTTTAATGATGTGGTTTTTTTTCTCGTTTTTTTTTCTTTATTCTTCCTGGCAAGTTGGCGAATACATGTATGTGTGACAACATGTGTAAGTCCACATCGTCATTTTTTTTTCATGTGCATGTGCTTAACGTGATATTTTGGACTGTGTTGGTTACAACCTACACTGTACGTTGCGGTGTGTTGGCACAATCACTACTTTCGTCATTGCTTTCAATGATGACGTCATAATCTTCCATCATTTCCGGACTCTCAGCGATGGGATAAGCCCCCTTCCACTTAGGATCTGTCCTCATACATCCCTCATCGTGTCGATCATGTTTCCTAGCACTGACACTTTGCGCAGCATCGCCCATGAAATCCTCATCTGTTGTGTATCTCTTAGTCTGAGACCTGGGAGCGTTACTTCCCATCTGCAATGTGTATTTCCATTTCCCTCCTTTCTGGTGGTTGGAGACTGGCCTCTTGTACAAGAAGGGAGGATGCTGATCTCCGCTCCAGTCATCCGAGTCGTCATCACCGCCAGACTGCTCAGAGTTATCCTGACTTGCCTTGTCAGTGCTCACTTCAGAGTTATGGGCTTGATTAGCAGGGGTAATAGAGGTGGTTTGCATTGCGTCCTGCCGCTCACAACCTTGGGTCCTGAGCTCAAGGTTTTCATTTGCTCTTGGAGACATCATCTCATTATTGTCATGTTTCATTCCACGAGTGGTGTCCAATCTAGGTTCATTAGTCTGATGCACCTGTCGCCTAGGTTGCTGGGAGGTCGTGGCCTTTGGACTGTTGGAATATGTCGGAGCACTGATCTTCCAAGGGTTCTTGAATGGACTGGTTCTGCCTCCCAGTTTCTTGGATTGTCCAGCTTGTCTGAATTTTTCAGTGAGAATGCCCCTGCCTCTCCCCAATCCCGGAAGAAAAGGTCTAGAAGACTTTGCATCGTTGTTAACCCTGGTCCTATCTGCTGGCTCACTAGACTGAGATGTCAGTGGAGTTGTTGGGTAGTTTATCTCTCCCTTTTCACACTTACAACTATTGCGTACCTGAGTATTTGTCGCTGGTTGTATAGTTGCGATTTGACTAGCTTCTTGTACGTTCTCTGTGTTGCCTATTCCCTCTTGAGACCAGCCTTCAAGGGGTGGCATTTCGTGGTCTGGTTCAACAAGTCCAGTTTCTTTTGCTTGTGGATTTACATGTGTTGCATTGTTAAACACCCTTGACTTGTCTGTACCTTCTTGACTAAACTCATGCGATCCAAGCAAGGAACTCCCATCTTCCAGAAGAGCATCGTCTGTTTCAGGAGTATGTAAAGGTTCTTGGAAGGATGGAAAAGGTTGGAATGATGGATCCCTTCTAGGTTTGACATCCCAAGTATAGTCATCCCACTTTTCAGTTTCCTCGCTCTGCTGTTCAGAACCTGCAGAAGGTTGGTCTAGCGAATATCTTGCCTCTTGTAGAGGTTGAGGAGGGACTCTTGAGATGTCATATTCTTCATCCCATATTTCTGGGTCCTCTTCTTCATCACATACTTGAATGGAGTCAACTTCAGAGTTTGTCGTGGCTTCAACTGATTTCAAAGTTTCTTGGGGACAAGCACCAATTTGAATTAGTATGTGTGAAGTATCGACAGGCTCTGCTTTCGATGGAGATGGTTGGTTCTCGGAGTGAGTAAAGCTCACATGGTCTCTGATGGAAAACGGTGTCGTAGTGGATGCTTTGCTGGCATGAGATCGAGTGTGTGATTTATCAGGATCAAAGAGTCTGCCACGTGACAACATCACCTCAGCTCGGTCTTCTTGACATATCTTTGCTTCCCCTGCTTTGCTCGGTTCTTGATTTGGTGTAAAGTGCTCGTCCTGATGAGTTCTCATGACATCACAATCTGGAACCTGATTGGGTAAATTCTGACTTTGTAGTAGTTGAGTGTTTGATGTTTGACACTGCAGGGTCAAAGCAGCTGTTGATTGAAGCTTGTTGAGGTCATTTTCGTCAAGAAACTCTGAGAAGTCTTCGGCATCATCAAAATCTGAGCTTGATGAGAATGAAAAAGATGAATGTCCTCTTGGTTTCTTATCCATGCAGCTATGTGGCAATGCTCTCTTGGAAGAAGCATCCTTAGCATCCAAGATGCCAGCACCAGAATAAATAACAGGAATTTTCTTCTCCACGGATGATTCCTTATCAAAAGCTTCCCTGCCGAGTTTGGCTCTTGTGACACCATTAATTATTTCAGACTGTGGGTTCCTAGATTCCTCTTTGTCAAGGAGAATCCTTTGATTGTTTGATCTTGGTTCGACAGACGGGCTTGTGCTGGAACCTTTGCTTCGAAGACCGTTTAGCGGAATCTCACTTGCTAATGACTGAAGTTGTTCACTGGATAAATCAGCTTGGTGCAATCCTTTGGAGAGCTCATCAACCCTTGAGAACAACTCTGATGTGTTTGGTTTGTTCGGGGCAGAAGTGACTTTGTCATTGTGATCTGGTTTCCTTATCTCTTGAGAATGATCACCTTGTGACTCTTCAGGAACTGAGTTGTTGGTATTCGCGATCTGAACTCTGGGTAGTACCGAGTTCATGTCGGCATCAACATCGGCAAGAATTGCTTCATCCTTTTGTACAGAGGTCTTCCTGTCTGGACTGGCAGAGTTGATTCCGCGATTCAACATTTCTAGTGCTTCATTTTGTTGCGCGGTCTTCTGTAACACACTGCTTCCATTCTCTTTGGTTGCTGCTTCTTGTTCAATAAAACCATTGTCTGACTGCGATGCTGGTACCGCATTAAGCTGGTAATCATGCTCAAGTACACTTGATGTGTCAGCAACAGCAGCCATCTTTGATTCTTGTTGCCGTGGGGATGACATGTCTGGTTCCTGACTCCCATCCAGCAATTCCTCCTCATTATCATACTCTTCAGGCGGGAGAGTGGGTGGTTGGCAACCAGTGTAGGCACCACACTCCATGCAGTATCGAATCAGGGCACGCCAGTGCTTGTCCTATAGACAAAACAGAAAACAAAAATATGTTGCTCCCCCGTGTCATATTCGAGTTTCGCCCCGAGAAATAGACTTTGTTAAAGTTGCGTTCCCTGTACTATTGTTTGGTTTCGCCCCAAGAAACAGACTTCGTTTTAAGTTGCTATTTTTCTAGCAATCCAGAAGTATCTGGCTTTTAAAGGAGACATTTAGCCAAAAAAATATGCCCATCTTTACTTATAGAATAACCTTTCAAAAGCATCCAAAATAGACAAAAAAGGTAGTTTTTCCATTTAAATTAAACATACAAATTGAAATTTGTTAGGAGAAAACAAATGAGATATGTTGAAGAGCATGGTTACAGTAAGCCATTTGCGAATTAAATTCGAGTAACATCTGGTACCCTGACTTGCTCGAATGCCTGGCACATTTTAACTTTGAATTCTCCAGACCAAAGAAACTGTTACTATATCACGTGATTCGGGGCAAGCCTTATGCTAGCAACCCCCAGCTCCGGAATGGTCCGGTGTTTTGGGGCCATTCTCATCCATTGTGAGCAATGTATTAATGCTAAACATCTCTTACGTACACATGTAACTATGCAAGAGATTGCCCCAATTCATGTGATATAGCAACAGTGTCTTTGGTATGGAGAATTCGAATGTAAACCGTGCCAAGCATTATGAGCAAGTCAGTGTACCAGATGTTTATTCAAATGTAACTCGCAAAGGGTATAGGTTGTTCACAAATGGCTTATTGAAACCACTTTCATACTTTGTGAAGAAAACATGAAACTAACATTATTCCTTTTAAATTTAAGTCGAAGGGATGGTATATCAGTCTTAACCTAATCTGTTGTCTTACCTATGTGCCATTTTCAAAAGATGAGAGACAAGACGATTGAACTTATCAATACTCAGAACTCAGAATGTTGTTGTTCGAAGTGGGATGTTAACGTAATAACCAATCGGTTTATTAATAAGACAACAACTATAACAGGTCATGTCAAACTGTTAATATGAGACCATAATTATTACATTTCTAGAATGTTTTGACTGCCTGTGCATTGGAGGTTTCATGGGAAGTTTTAAGCCACTTAGGTTCCACGACACTCCTAGGAGCTTTCCTAACCAAGAGATTTTCAACATTGTAACTTTTACGATGACTGACCTTAGCCAGCAGATGAGGATTGCCAACGATGATCATCAGCGCCTGTGCTCGCGTGATCGACACGTTGAACCTCTTGGGGTTGCTTAGGAAACCAAGATGGTGGCGCAGGTCAAAGGTCAGAAGATCCTCACTGGAACGAACCTGGGGACGAACAAGTATGCATTTCTCGCTTCTTAACATTGTTTTTGGTTTTTCAAACAGAGTAAAACTGTATACCACAGAATGTGGGATTACATGTAAGTGTCAGATCACAGTTAGGGCTGTCCATACCATTGATGTCAGGAACCAGTTTTAGATTATCGGATCAGGTACGCGCTACCAACCTTACAAATAGGTAACTTCTCAGACAATGAAACAATTTTGAATGTCATTTGTGGGGAATTTTCAAAATGAAACCAGGCCACATGGAAAAACGCAACATATCTCATGTTGATAACGCTCGCAGAAGTTGCAGTTTACGCCGTAAAGCTATAAAAGCTCACTGTACACACTTGTATCTTGCTGTATTGATGCACTGATGTGGTAGTATCATCGTGCAGACCTTAATGAACAATCTGAACAGCAACTCATAAGATTTGAATTTTGGGGTACCTGGTTCCCGTACTATCCATAAATACACGCCATAATAATCACATGTGATGGTGACAGAGTATTTTCACACTGCAATTGACAACAGATGTGATGCATCATACTGTGGTGTCAGAGACAATTGTAAATGATACACCTAACAAATTTAAGCTGCTCTTTCCCATGCACGTATTCAGTCCATCTTATTTCCGTATGTGCATTTTAAGGTCATTCTAAGCTATAGGATTAGATGTGCAATGGACATAAAATGGAATGAAAATTCATAGTGAAGGGCAGCGTTAGGGTTTGTAATGCATGTAAATGTGATGGTAATGGTGCAATATGTTTTATTCATGAGTCGGCCATATTAAATTAAAAGTGACGTAAAATTTTCATTTTTTGAACTTGCGAATAGAAGTAAAGTTAATTACAAGTGAATACCAGACCGCTCTGATGAATAAATTAAGATTTGGGATTAAACATACCCTAATGTTTAAAGCCACATTTTAAAAAATAATTGAAGGTGAGGATTGGAACGCATAAGTAGTCTGGCACCATCCCATTCAACAGTTTACAATTTATAAAATAGATTCGGGGAACACGATCAAAAATGGCGTCCTCGTGAATAAGGTCTATGGGGGTTCACATTCTTAAACCCATCAACGGATTTTGATAGATTTTGGAAGATCAGTTGGGGTGAGCATGATTTGTTTGTAGTTACCGTGGAGATGATCATAGCAACCCTCTCCTGTCCTTGGAATTCCTCCACAGATCCCACCTTGATTCCGTGGATGCTCAGAGAGACAAGTAACAACCTCATCTTCTCAACCTGGAGGAGGTAATGCACACAACAACTTGATCATGATGATGCACGAATGATCATGCATAGTGCCCAAATCAGCAGTGGCTGAGACAAGATGAACTGATGAACAATACTGGTTTAAGAAAGACATTAGTTACTTGGCATTAGTGAAATGCACTAGATTTAAGTAAGTACTTATTTTGCTCCAACCTGTTTTCTGTATGGCGTGATGATGCCGACGTCTTCGGGGCTGATGACCGGGGAAGTTGAGTTCAGCAATGTCTGGACGTATCTGATGACTTGAACGACTTCGACGGGATTGAACCAGGATGGGCTATTGCCTTCTCTCATATCGTCACCCTGAGCAGTGGGCAAGAAAACAACAGTGATTGGAGTTGGTAGGATGTCACAGTGTTATCTCCGTACATGAACCATTCGCTCTTTTCACACTCCGCCATTGGGCATGCAGAGCCTCAATCTGGCAACTTTACACAATAAAAATAGCCGGTTCAGTGATCTGAAACCCGACACGGGAATCACTGAACCGCCTATATTTATTGTGTAAAGTTGCCAGATCGAGGCTCTGCATGCCCATGGCGGAAGTGTGAAAAAAGCAAATTGAGAGGGCCGTTGGGCGTACTTGCCAGGGTGCATTTTTTTCTGCAGGCTAGTAAAGTCCTTTACCTTAATACGCATGAAACATATGGTCAAGTGGTAAGGACGTCTGCACTAATAAGCAGCAGGTAGTCAGTTTGAGTCCAATCCGAGTAGTTTGTGAATTCTGTCTCACAACCACTCCGGACAATATGGACAAGCATTACATTCACTGTGTGGACTTCCCAACAACAGATGTCCACATAAACCAGTTTTCAGATATGTCGTGTGGACTTGCCCACGTCCACACAAGGTTTCCCCCTCTCTGAAAAACAGGTTTAGAGGCATTTTGGGGTTAGGTTTATCCGGCGCAAAATGCAGAGAAACATTCAAGGGAATCATAGAATCATAGAAAAAAATTAGGGTTGAAAGAGTGTTCACAGTTAGAGTAAAATGAGTTTTTTCACAGGTTTTTCTACACGAAAACAAAGGAATGTCCAGACTAGGTATGAAACATAAACATGTATGAGTACAAAATGCATTTATAAAAATATGTCAGTTAAGGGCACAACCCAATATTGAAATAATCTTCAATCTTCTCTCACCATTACACCGTTGAACAGCAGTGGACAGTCACCGTTCCTATTCGGTAGTTTCTCCCATGATGTTAGACTGTGAGTCAGCTTAGGGTCTGCCCTCGGCAGCAACTCATTGTCATAGAATAGCTTGGATGACAGTCCAAGTAGGGCGGGGTGGGAACGATAGTTCTCTACCAATTTGGTAACCTGAGATAAACACAATGGCATTCATAAGGGAATAATAGTATGATAATGACTGTCACTGTCACAGACTTTGTCATTGCCAGTGTCATAGTCATTGAAATAAACTACGCACACATCAATCAAATACTTACCAACAGTGGGTCAGAACAGCTGTGGTATATTATTAGAACATTTCCTTCAGATCAGTCTTGCACATGTCTGTTAGCCATTGTTAGACATTATTTCTGTCATTTAAATGTTGTGAATGTCATTTGTCATCAATGTAGTTCACATCGTCCGATCACCCTAAGCGGGTAAAACCAGTAAGATCAGTCTCTCGCCATATGATCAGTCTCTCATAATATGACTGTTATTCCTACTGACATTGTCACTGTCATTTCACTGTCACCGTCACAGTGAATGCCACCAACTAAGCTCATGTCACTAGAAAACTAGTCTGAAGATTTGGGACTCTCACTACTGAGTACATCTCTTCACAATCTGCCACCAGACTACTGAAGATGTCAATGTTTTCAAACAGTTGGACGTGTACCAGTCTAGTCTTAGGTTTCAAATTGAAATCACTTGGCTTCACACTCAGGTGCAAAATGTTGAATAAGAAAGTCTCCTTTAAAAATTGAGTTGACACTTCAAACTTGAAATACTGAGGACCTTGTCTTTGCCTTGTCTTTGCCTCATGAACATCTTGGAGAATTTTATCTGCTAAAGAGTGAGTAAAGTTGGCCTGAATTTGTAGTGCATGTTTTTCCACACTCCGGGTCCCAGTCTGTAAAAATCTATCAGTAGTACATGTAGGTCAAACAGCTATGGTCTACGTTCTTGTTATAACCTCTCCTTCAAATCAGCCACCTAAAATATGACTGTCACTTCTACTGTCTGTCATTGTCACTATCACTGTCTTTTGATAGTCACTTTCAATGCCACCAACTTAGCTCATATCACTCCAACACCAATCGGAAGTGGGTCAAAGCAGACACGGTCTCTACTTGTCGGAAACTCTCCATCAGATCAGTGTCACACAATATAACCATCACTGACATTGTCACTGTCATTTCAATGTCACTGCCAATGGCATCAACTAAGCTCTAAACACCTACCAGTAGCGGGTCATAACAGCCATGGTCTCTGTACTTGTCGGCGTCCCTCCTGTACACTGTCCTCAAGATGAGTCTCTCAAGATATGACTGTCCGAGTCCGTAATGCTTGGCAACGTGACTGCTCAAGACGGGACCAAGCTGCATTGGGTCACCTGCAAGAATTATCTGAAATGACAAAGATACAACAAACTGGACAGTTGGTTTGGGGGATTGGGGGTTTGTAGGCTCCGGTTTGGATTGGTTTGGTTTGATCTTATTGTAAAAGCTTCTGAAATACTGTTGGCTTGTCTTTGGGAGAAGTTTGAGTTCAGATGTACTGTGTGAGACACAGCTTTTAAAAAAAATCTATTTAGAAAGACAGATTTTCCAAAGCGTAAAACTCGCTAAGGCTTATATCAACCTTCCACCAGGGTTCACCAACTATTCAGTCATTTTCTGATTTGATTGCTGTAATTTGAATTCCCATAATGAAGGTGTATGGCCAGTGACAGATATAATCCTATTCAGGGCATGTTTTTTTTTATCTGGGTAAATTGCATGAACAATACATAAAGCTTTACTAAGATAAAAAATAGGAGTATGGGTATGGACTATCTTTGAACGCTACCCATTCAACAGTCACAAAGAGAGATTGAGGGCGTGACTCTTAAATGCATGGCCTCCATATGCCATATTGGGGGGAAAATGGACAAAAAACAAGTTAGTAGAAAATATGATAAAATTGAAAAAAAGGGGGAGGGGAATGCAACACAAATTTGAACCCCAACCACAAGTACAAGAAGAAAATGTTTTCTTCTCAATCAACATCTCTGTGGGAGTGGCTGGACACCAATGCTACTTTCACAGTGTAACACTGTAATATAGCTTCCTCTGTTGTTATTCCTGAAAAGAATTCTTCAAAAAATCGAAAGACCGAAACAAGGATATCGCTACAGAGCACTCTTTTGAGTACAGCAAAGTGAATAATTTGGCAAATATCGAGCTACGAAAGAGAATTGAAGATGTAAAAGGATGTGGGTGGCGCAGTGTGTTCGCCTCTCACCACTGTCACCTGGGTTCTATTCCCAAATCAGGTCATATGTGAGTAGAAATGTTCGTTGATTTTCCTCCTGTGCCATGAGTGTTTTTCTCCCGGTTGTCCCGTTTTCCTCCTTCCACAAAAATTAACACTTGATCGATCTGGCTGTGCTCCGTGGTAAAACATGGGTCGTATGGCGGCTGCTAAGGCATCTTTACATGCCTTCGGCGCAACCACATTGTAGCCGCATCCTTCGCAATTCCGCATCTGCTGCAAGAAAGGACACTTAGCCTCCAATTACTTTTATTGATATTTATTTATAACGTTACCTGTCCTTCGGGCCCTACTGACAATCCCACTGGGATTAGACACTCTGGTTCGGTAGCCTGGCCTGCCTCATCAACAAACACGTGTGTGAAGTGACTGGCCTTCAGGCCCAGCTGGTACAAGCTCCCTGCCGTGGTACAGGTGCAGATGATGATACGCTGATGGGAGATGACCGTCAAGTTCTCGCCATCCTTGGAGTAAGGCTTGATGCAATCTGGAATATTCTGGTGGAACAAAAAGACAAAAGTAAAATGTGTCCCTAGCCAACAGAGAGGTTCCCCATTGAACAGATATGTGTACACTAACGTTTAGCTATCTGTAACTATTATCGTCCATTCCGTTGTTTCACTGTTGGTATGCATGTGCATATGCTTAGTTATCAGAACCGTTACTATTGGTGTGCATATGCTAAATTACCGGAACTGTTACAAATAAAAGAAGAAATCCAACGTGGCAGCCTCTAATGTAAAGCCTCGTATCTGTGGACTAATCCTGCTTTGAAACACTGACAAAGGGCACACGTATCTTCAGCAATTCATCCTGTTTCAATCAAAACATACATGATTAAATAACTTAACAGAAAAGAGGGTAAACATTTACAATTCACTTTGCATTTCACAGTGACACGTGGAGTGTGATATGTAATCGGTGCTGTGAATTCGCCTAGTGGATGGCAAGTTGCGGAGGACATCATAAGAGCACATAAACTGATGACCTCATTGGTTGAGGTCCATAGCATCGACACTGCAAGGCTAGTATTCCACTCTCTTTATCGTCAAAAGAGTCTGACGAGGATTGTTGAGTGCAACGTTTGCTTACCTCACCCAAAACATCCCATCCTACCCTTTAATTGAATGCCCCGCCCCTTGATGGCACCCAACATCCATATCTCACAATGAATTTTAGTCGTACCTCTTCAGATCGATAGAAAGCGTTGAGTCTGACCATATCAGTAGGATTCACTTTGCCGCTTTCATGAAGTCGCTCAGTCTATTTCGGACAAGAAAATGAAAGAAGATATTTTCTTACAAGAAGGGAAAATATTAAAATCAAGACAATATTTTCTTACATGAGGAAATTTTTTTAAACAACCTGCTCATCAAAATTCACGTCTTTAAAACCAAAGCAAATCATTCCTTGTTTAGTGGACTCTATGCAGAAATTGTAGATGACATGATATGACTGTGGCCAATGTGGTACCAAACTTGCGCCAAACCGGCCGAGCACTCTATAGTTTTATTGATGTTTCAGTGAATAAACACAATGTAATACAATGGGTGCTAATAGGTTTAACTGAAGGTACTACATGTACAATGATGGGAGCATCAACGTAAAACATTTTTTTCCAACTAAATACATGAAGCTCCATCTCCAGCTAAATAATGAACTTCCATTACTAGCCTTTGGTTGAGACTCACCAATAGATCAGCAGCACTATTAGAGGGAGTACAGGCTAGGATACGACTGGCAGGCAAGTGAATATGAACCTGCAGGATTGCCTCGACTACCGTCACTGTCTTGCCTGTCCCTGGATTCAACACAAGAAATGATGCAAAGCCACTGTGTTATTAGTCCTGTTACCACAAAGGAATGACACAGAAAAGCTGTATTCAAATTACAAAAGGTGGTTGTGGGTTCGAGTCCCACCCGAGTAGGATGGTGAATTTTTCTCGCAAGCCTCAGACAACACTGAGTATACAGTGTTTATTAAATACATTGGTGAAGGGTAAAACCCAATATAAAATTTACATCACCCTACGCATATTCCATCTTATGGAAATGTTTGGTTGCTGTACCCGCTGCTATATCAGAGTTTTAACCAGCCAGCCGTCTCCGGCAGCCGTCTCCAAGTTAGCTTGTGAAGTTTTCCTCGCAACACAATACGTCAGCAAGGGGCAAAACCCAATATAAACTCTGAATTGTACTTTACACGAATTTTACATTCTAATAGCAAACATCACAATGAAACTACAGTTGTTCAGGTTGGCGCAGCAATCTTCCCTCGCCTTCTAAAACTGTGACCCTGGTTCGATTCCTGCCCTGGTCCACATGTGGATTTGGTTTTCAGTCACAGCATGATTCTGTGGTTTTCCCCAAAATATTCTTCTCATTGTCTTCTCTTTACATGTTTGTTCAGGCTTGCAAGCTATAGTGCCTAGGGCGCTTTTGAGGAATTCTTGGTTTCATTACCAGAAATAATTAATAGTTATAATAATAACAACAAAATTTGTAGGTCACTTCATCTCTCTCACTTGCATCTCTCCACCCAGGAGTGTAAATGGGTACCAGCATTAGCTGGGGAGTATTCTATGATGGACTGCATCCCATACAGGGGGAACAGAAAATAATCTGTCTTTTTCATGCTCAGAAAACTGTAGATAAACGCCGCCTGATGAGCCATCTGAGAACAGACTTACCAGGTGGTCCAAAGATGATATAGGGTGTTGGTCTGCCTTCCCCCTGCAGGACCCTCATGACAGCTGAGCGCTGACGAGTGTTCAGTCGAGGGTTGATAAATTCCGCCATCTTCTGGCCGTCTCCGGCGACGTGGGACACCTTCATGTCTTGTATTTTCGGTGTCACAAATCTGGCGCTGCTGTCAGATTCTGAACAGCTCTTGGAAGCTAGCAAAATAGAAACAGAAGTTTGACATGTTATGGGTACATGCACATTGTAGGTTCTCAGACCACAGGATTGTGCCCGGAATTCTGAACTTCACGTAGGAACAGTAGATTACGCTGTGTGGTCTATTTACAAGTGTCGTTACAAACATTCTGTGGACAGCAAGACAAAGAAAGAAGAACAGCTTCATATTGTCTTAGAAGGGAGATCTTTAGATGAAAATGGGCCTCTGACATATATGTGTGCTTAGTCCATAGTAGAGTGTTATATTACAGGAACGAAAGGAAACACTACTTGCGTAGAAATCATAAAATGAAATTCCAGGACTTTTACATGCCTTTCCAGGTCAAAAGAAGAGCTTTCCATGACAAATTCCTATGCAGTTTTGTCATCATAGAAGCCCATTTATGATACGCTGGCCAGTCATTACACTGAGGCAAGGTACGCCACTCCCTTTCAGCCTTCCAGTTTGACACAAGACCACTGAGCACCACAAAAGCATCACAATGGTGCACTGAACATGCAACAAGTATAGAGCATACATACATAAAGAGGAAGTCTAGTAAACTAGAATGCAAACTGAAAGACTGCCGAAGCCGTTAGTGAGGCGTTCTGGCAAAATGAGACAGAAATGGGCAGAAATGAGGGTCCATGGGTGTTAGGAAAATAAAACTCTTCTTACAATTCTGTTTGTTGCACCTCAATCGGACATTCTGTTGACAAGTTATGGCCGTTTAAAGTTTAAACACTGAGAAAACAGCCTTTAAATTTTCAAGTTTTATAGTTGTGAAAATGAAAGATGCCAATTGTTTTTCCTTAAAAACATGTTTATTTCTTTAAAATATGTGTAGTAGACATATCAAAATCATAAATATCAATAAATCTCAAAATCATTAATATATTCCCCATTTTTAATTTTTTTTTTTTTTTTTTGGGGGGGGGTATATTTCTCCACTACGGCCTGTGCCCAGTTCCGTTTCATATTCCGCATCATCGTGTATGGGCTGTGTAGGATTCCATGACTTTTTTCATGGCCTTTTTCTTTGAATACCAACTTTTCATGACTCACAGACTTTCCATGACAGATTAAAATTCCAGGATTTTCTAGGATTTTCCAAGTTTTTTCCATGACTGTACGAATCCCGTTATGTGTGACTGGTTCGTGCAAATGTTCTGCTGAAGTACATTTATGACCTTCATTCATAGTGTACACAAACTAGTGGCATCGTCTCTTACCTTTTTGTTTGGCAAATCTAGGTGGCATTTCATCAGCCCTCCTGTTCGGTCTCTGAGGCTTGGTTGATAATGTCATCTTTTGAGGAGTTGGTAACTTGACAATGAATCGTGGTTTGCCGTGTGTTGGTTTCTGGATGGACGAGGTGGCATGATGCCTGAAGGAGACACTCTCTTGGGGTGGCTTGGCCTCGACTTTGGTCGGGAACAGAACTGCACAAGAAAAAAGGGAATCATTATTTTCAAATATCATCCGCAAAAATAGATTCCTTTTCTAAATTTCTATTCTTATAGCAATAGAAAAGTCAAATAGAGACATCAACTGACAACAAATCGGCCCATGAAAATTATAAGTATACAATGGACTTGCACCTTGACTTCCTAAGTTCTTGGCAAATTCACAAGCTTGATGGCACCTTCTCAGCGAGGTTCTGTAATAAAAAATGCAAATGCTACATTAGTTACCTAAATACAGAAGAAAAAAACTATTAAGGTTTAACTTGGCGAGTGTCTGGGCATCTTTTGGACACCTGCAAAGGTTTAACTTCATCTGGGTATCTTTAGGACACCTACAAAGGTTTACATCCATCTGGGTATCTTTTGGACACATACAAATGTTTAACTTTATCTGGGCATCTTTTGGACGCATGCTCTAAATTAACTTCATATGGGCATCTTTTGGACACCTAGAAAGGTTTAACTTCATCTGGCATCTTTTGGACACAGGTTTACTTGGAGGGCGTGCTGGGCATTTTTGGACACCTATACAAAATAACTTATGCAAATTTGTTGGACACCTAGAAAGGTTTTACTTGGAGGGTGTCTCGGCATATTATCGCCACACCCATTTTTGAAAATCAATTTTGAAATGCTGATAACAAAAGTCCTGATTCTCGGTGTTTCCCAAAGTTTAGCCTCAATACCCGTAGATAGCATCTACGTCACTCCAAACTCATTATTCGCCGAATCGCATGACCAGAATAACTACACACCACTCATCTTTAAAGCTTAGTGGAGATCTAGGCAGGATTATCTAAAACTGGGAATCGCACCACTCTTAAGACAAAAATCAATTAACTTTTAGGTGAATCGAACCATTAATTGATAGAAAGCCACTTTTAGGTGAATCGAACCATTAATTGATAGAAAGGTTGAGACAAGAAATTGAGAGCACCAAGGCAAATGACTTTCACGACATCAAGAATTGTTCGTTCACTTATACGTTTGCCATCCCCCTTACAAAATACACATCTACATGCGAAGTACAAATCGGTATTAAGATTGCTAACCCTTGAAAATGATGGCTTTTGTCTCTCCACTTTCATCTTTAATAGTAAGGCGTCTTACGTGTAACTTTTTTCAAATACCTTGAGTATGTGAACATGACGCTGCATTCCTCAGCTTGGTATAACTCATGGAAGGATGGATGAAACTTGAGCAACACGGCTTCTCCCAGCACCTGAACGTCAAAAGATCAAATCGGAAATAACAATAATAATAATAATAATTAACGATAATTGGGTATTAGGGAGACAGTCCCATAGACTTGTGCACACATTTTTTTCCGAGTTTAAGGACCCCTAACCCCAATTGTACCTTATCCTACCCCCACAAATTTCGGTATTTTACTAACTGGACCACGAGCAATCGATCTAGCCTATTTGCGACAATAAAATTTTGCCTCTAAGTAGGGGATGTGGAATTAGGGAGACATTGAAATGTCTCCCTAATTCGACGTGTCTCTCCAAGGTACAACTTATGACGCCAAAGTGTCTCCCAAAGGGTATACTTTCCACGGTATCCACCCTCATTGGTGCTCAAGGCACTACATCATTATTATCCTGCTCATTGGGCAAATGAACATTCCAAATACCATCTCAGCTCCCTGGGGAGTATACAGCTCGATGCTGCCATTCCGGAGCAAAGCAGTTAAATCAACCACAATAGCCATCTCTGCCCTCAAAGGTGCCCATTTACTCCTACGTGGACAGAAGCAATGAGTGACAAAGTGCCTTGCCCAAGGGCACACGCACCACAACCCCAGGCGGGAATCGTACCCACAACCTGCAGAATTACTTGCAGACCACAAATTCAATGCTCCAGACCACGAGGCCACAGCCCTTCACAAATAATAAAATATGCATTTATATTGCGCAAATTCTAAACAACTAGCATTTCTACAAACTATATATGTTGATACGCCTTGCAGCATGCCAAATCGTAACTGATACATGTATTTACGACTTCAAGACAATCTCCTTAAACTTACTTCAACATTAACAAATGATATCAAATTCTTTTGAAATAGCTGCTGTCAAAATCATCTAAACATTCTAAAATGTAATTTTGTGCTGCTTTTTAGGTGCGTGTTGTGATAAGAGGCTGGAAAATGAATAAAGGGTGCCACAAATCAGTCGACAGTGTCTCAGACATGTCAAAACTGCCATTAAAATATGTGCACTTAAATTTCGAGAAACTTCGAGAAAGTGGACTTATTAACATTTCTTACTTCATGAACATAGCCATCGTAGCGGGCCGTGTTTGGATGTGTCACAACAATCTTGTCTCCAATAAGGACGGAGGGGCGACCCTCAGCTAGGCCGGGTACTTCCAGGGAGAGAAACTCACCGCCGCGTGGTCTCATGCTGACCTAAGATGGACAGTCACAGAGAAAACAAAGGTTTGAACTCCTGAGTAAATTATTGCTTGATGTATGCAGCCAGATTAATTCATGTATTAATTCATGTAAGTCAAGTCATGAGTTACAAGGGCTGAACCAATCCGCAATAGCCTTGAAAACTGAATTTTCCCATATGCGTTGTGTACACAGAGCAGAATTTACCATTTGTACATATTAATAATGAATTAGCCATAATTCCAAAACCCTTTGACCTATAGTCATGACATTTCTTGGGTATGTTTATGAAGAGTTTCTCTGTGCATATACCAAGTTTCACAATTTTTCGTCACTCGATGGCCGAGATTTGGGGGGGGGGGGCAGAATCCCCCCCCCCCCCCTCCCGCACAGTTGCAGTGTAATCCATTTGAATAGCTTATGACACAAAATAATGATTTGTGATTGACTAGTTATAGCTTGATTACAACTCTGACCACGAAATGAATTTTATTTGTGGGTATTTATAAAGCGCACGTATCCACCAGGACTAGTGCTCAAGGCGCAACACTATTATTACCCCTGCTCAGTTGGCCAATGAAACATTCCTAACACCATCTCAGCTCCCTAGGGAGTATACAGCTCGATGCTGCCATTTCAGTGCAAAGCAGCTAAATCAACCACACTAACCATCTCTGCCCTCACAGGTACCCATTTACTCCTTGGTGGAAAGAAGCAATGAGTGACAAAGTGCCTTGCCCAAGCGCACACGCACCATGACCCCAGGCTGGACTCGAACCCACAATCTGCAGCTTTACCCGCAGACCACAAATCCAATGCCCTTAACCACGAGGCCACAGCTAGTATCCATTTCTATGGGCTTTATGAAAATAATGACATGCCTTTGTTTGGTTCATTATCCTTGTTAATGCACTTTTTCAAAATCTGAAATGTCCAAATCTGTTCCTGACAAATGAGGAGGCTGTTGCTGTGTTGTAATTTTATGCAGAAATTATGAACCCAAAATGTGGCTCATTCAAAACATTTGTATCAAATGTTTCCTAAAAAATATACCCGGACTTTCGCACACTGAATAAAAAGCCAGTTGAACCCAAAATGTGGCTCATTCAAAACATTTGTATCAAATGTTTCCTAAAAAATATACCCGGACTTTCGCACACTGAATAAAAAGCCAGTTGATCCCGGCAACAACCCTGTAACACTGAAAGCTCTGCCTTGAATGACATCATTTTTAACCTTAACCGAATTCAACCCATCAAAGCCCAACAGCAGGTTTTGTTGAAATCTGTTGGGATGGGTACAGTACCCCTAAACTGATGGTCTTTACATTGGATTTGGGCGTACCTCCAAAAACTAAGTCCAACAGTGTGTGTGTACGATTTCCATGTGGGTGTTGGAATTTGCCAGGATGGGTACGGTTCCTGGTAAATTATGCTAGGGAGTTAGGGTTAAACAATGATTTCAAGTCTCCTATCTGATGTTTGGTTGTCAGAATATGGGTGTGAATCCCCGGAGGTCATGGATCATGATCCCCCACCTTGCCAACTTTGACCCCCCCCCCCACCCCCCTTCCTGGCACTTACCCTCTCCATGTCAAATTGCCTCATATCTTCATCCATCCTGATCTCCTCCAGGTGCAGCAGTGCTGAAAAACGACGGCTGAAGTTGTCTAGACTCAAGGACTGTTCAAATGAAAAGACAGCAAGGTCTTTTTTTTATATATATTTGGTTATGAGATATCAGTGAAATGAGTGAAGCCAGGGTTTGCCCTTTGTATCAGCCGTATGTGACGTCACAAATCAACCTCTAGTCGACAAATGGGCCTTGCCTGAACTTGCTCTAAAATGTCACGTGATGTGTATTCCTCTTGACTGGTTCTTAGCCAATTTTTCTAAGCACATGAATTTCGGCCCACTTCTTCTCCCAACTAAACACAGCTATTACATTCATGAAACGATGATTACTCACTTTTCAACCAAGTGATCCGCAGATCGCATATGTCGCCTTTTTCCGCGGTCCATCCCTATGTCTTGTGTTCTTAAACATGTCAAATATTGTGCCTGTTTAAACGACCTCAAATGACCCCTAGATGATCTTTGACCTCAAATTTTAGAAGACTTGTGATGAACCCCCACCCAAGGATCACTCCATCCAAGTGACATTAAAACCCATCAAATTCCTTGGACAAAGAAATGTTTTAAAAGCATATGTGAACAATGACCTCTAGTGACCCTTACATGACCTCTGACCTCAGTCTTTGTGTCTTCCCACCCAGGGGTCACTGCATCTGTGGCCAAGTTCGCGCAAGAACTATAGTTGACCAATGGTTAACTAACGTTTGCCCGAACTCTGTCTAGTCGACGGTGGTTGACTACGCTAGTCGACTATTTGGAACCAGCCTACTGGGGTTGGTTGCTTCGCTGGTAACCAATAGCCGCGCGCATTCATAACGCTAGCAGAGAGCCAGGATCCAGAAGTTTTGCGATGACATTTTGACCAGCATTTGACTAGAGACGTTCGCACGTTGCTATCAGTGCACAGGCGTAAGGTACGTCACAAATCAACCACTAGTCGACTAATGGTCCTTGCCCGAACTTGGCCTTGATTTCATAAAAATCCATGAAAGCATGAACAATGTTGTAAACTTTCCCCAACAACTGTGAATTACATCATTATTAATCCCAGTTGACCTTTGGCCTATAACCTTTGACCTGAAATATATCCCACATTATCTTTGCTACTCAATGACCCTTGTGTCCAAGTTTTATGGAATTCAAGTGAATTTAGGAAATGACAGCAATTCCAAAAACTTTAAAATACATAGAGGGCTACAGTCATATGGGTCTACGGTCGTACGGATGTTCCAGCAGATGGGAGTTCTGGGGTAGGAGCATTGTTGTCCTTTTATCCCTTTTTCTAAAGATTTCACCTGTGGGGTACCCTTTTTTTCTAAAGATTTCACTTGTGGAGTACCACTCCCTTTGTTGTGTATGGTCATACAGATTTTAGGACTTGTTAGTGTCTCCCAAAACTTTGTTTAAGCCACACAAAAAGTATATTCCAAAGCCACCCCAACACAACCTCACTGACCAACCCTAAGAGTACAATTATACACGTAGGGTCTGTAGGTTTGGAAAAACCCTTTGTCAATTTTCAAGAAATAACCATGATAACCTACTTCCAAGAGTTGGGGGCAGATTATGACCAAATCCGCATCCTCCTGTAAGAGACATGTCCTCAAATCCCTTGGGACTGGGAACTGTGGTAACTTTACTGGAACGTTGACATCAAAGTTTCTGAAAGCATATGAATAGGAGAACAAACCAAAATTATCTTTGCACAGTCATTGGCTTTCAGTGACTCCACTGGAGTCAAGAAGTCATAACTCGAGTGTGTTGAGTCGAGTCACCGCCAATTTCACCTCAAGTTGGGGATTCAGGTTGGAGCAGTGGTTCTTTCCTCGCCTTCCACCGCTATGGCCCGGGTTCAATTCCTGCCCTGGTCCACATGCGGATTGGGTTTTCAGTCCCTACCTGATACCGTCGGTTTCCTCCAGAATGTCCTTCTGGGGTTTTCCTCCCACCTCTAAAACTGTAATTTCTTCTGTCTACTCTCCACAGGTTTCTTCAGGCTTGCGCGCTACAGTGCCCAGGGCGCTTGGAAAAAATTTAGTATCCCGACGCCACTTATATGGTTATGTACAAAGTCTATGGAGAGTCGAGTGCATTTTCAATGTATTTTCTAACAAAGTTGGAAATGTTTCTCAGTCCCAGATTCATGTATTTTCAATATTTTTGTAATGACTGACCTTCACTGAGATAACATATGATGAAAAAAAGTGGCCTCTGGATGCAACATTCTTTCTGGGGACTTTTGAGGAATCCTTGGTTTTGTTACCAGAAATAAATAATAATAATGACTCGAGTCATTGACACGGGTCTCTACAACTCTGTAAAAAAGGGGCTCTTACCGTGGGGGTCTCACACCAGGGAAGACGCACCCTTCGAAATCCCCCTCCCTGGTTCCGGCCATCTTCCCTCGTCTCTTATTCCTCGTTGACCTATTGACCCCTGAGGCATACCCCTCCGGAACCAGCCCAATCACCTGCTGGTCCTTGGCGTTTACTGTGTACAGCCGACTGATGCTGAAGCCATCAAAATGGTAAGTCACTTGACATAGACACCTCCCGAGTTGTCTGTTTTTATTAATAGAAAGACAAAATACATGTAAATATCTATGCAAGAAAATATCAAATTCTTGGTTCATCAGTATACAAATATAACATGGTTTGGGAAGGATAGTCGATCTTAGCTCCCAAGGGTATTGGTAGTTGACAAACTACATGTGCAGCTCTGAGGCAAAGTCAAGGAACTAGCTAGTTTGTCAGAGTGAGGGCAGGTAATATCAATTATCCACCCGAAATGAACCACGTTATATTTGTTTTGCTATACATCAAGTTTTTACCAAAATATTGTCGAGTTACTTCTAAAAAATGTTGCTAAGTGTGTTCCAGTCTTTTCGTGTAGCTAGGGCGATGTTCATGTGAATGCATGATCCCAATGCTCTAGTTCTACGATTGCTTCATAAAACCGTGCTTAGTAGACTAGCTCAAGGGCAACCCGTGCACTAGCTGTGAGGCAACAAACTGCAAATTCATTTCACATTTTTTCACCATAAGGGAAGGGCGGGCCGCTCCCCTTCAACTTACTTTGCTGTAACCGTCAATGTTACTGTCACTGAAGCTTGAGTTGGTAATGGTATAGGTGGTGTGATGCACGTAGTCTCCAAGGATGATGTTGATGAGAGCGTAACTCCTTGATTCAGTTGCTGTGGAGATCCTGACGAGGATGCAGGACTGAACTGGACCGACACATCACCCGTTGGACAGACAACCTCGTAATTGGTAAGAGTTTGGGTTTCGCGTCCAACATTCCTGTTCAAATTTTGATGAAAAGTTAGTAAACTCTAAAATTTCTGAGGCCAATTTCACGAAACAGTGTGTAGCTTATGCCATGCATACGGTAGGATTGATGCAACAAATTTGTTGCACAACTGCATGTGCAACAAACTTACTATCAATTTCACAAAATGTGGCGTAGCTGCACAATGCTTTAAACTAATTCAAACATCCTGAACAAAGAAACGCATCTAACCGACATTGACTGAGGGATAAAATTAAAGTGAAGGTAGGTAGTCAAAGAACCCAGGTAGTCAAAGAACCCAGTTTTCCAAGCTGGAGAACCTTGGCCATTTTCACAACAAGGTGTCAGCAGCCATCTTGTTACCCTAACCCTCCAGGGTATGTTTGCTAAAACCCTGCCAATCAAGTAACATGCAACACTTGACTATTAAAGTGACAAGCCTGCGAAAAGTAGCAAGATCCATCAGGGGAAAAGTCTCAAGGCCACACTGCCTAAGAGTCCGTGGTCATCGCGAGCATCAGGATACAACTGAGGCATTGTTCAATGGGACTTAGCCCTCATTGTTTCACAGCTGGCCATTCATGCACTGGTGTTGGTAGCTGAATGCATCAAAGTGCACTCACTCTCTATTTAAACAGGATGCTTATTTGTTTTTAGGGATGCTTACAAATGTACATGTACATGTACGTGTACACAAAACTACACATCATATACTGCGAAAGTCAGTTCAAGAATTCACAAGTTCAAAGTTTTCAAACCATGATTCTTTCTATCAGAAACCAAGTTGACTTTGTGTACCTACCTGATGTGAACTATGGTGCTCTTACTGCTACCGATCAGACAAAACCCAAGATCACTGTCCGATATTGTTATGCCTCCTTTATTTCTCTTCATATCTTCCTTCATACACTGCGCCAATGGTGAATCTGTGACAGGCTCCAATTTACTGAGGAAAGAAAACAAATCTCAATAACCAAATAAACAAAACAATGTCATTGTAATTGGCTCACATGCTGCTTGTTGGAATGATTGGGAGAGAGAGGTGGAGGAAGAGATTCCCGGTTTGCAGGCATGACAGGGGGCGTATTAAGTCGTGAATCCTAAACCCTAAATTGCTACTCGCGAGTACCTGCTTCTACCCGCGCCAGGATGAGTAACCACAAGAAGAATAAGTAGCACAAACTTCTCGCTAGTACTCAGGTTACTCGCTCAGCAGTAGACCTAATTACATTCTACGACTTGGTCGCAAAGTTATCCTCACCTAAGTCTGTTACTCCTTGTGTCTTGCTTCATAGAGATGGCCCTCCAGTTGCCTTTACTCTGCTGCGATTCCATCATTCTACCTTCCACAAGATCCCCCTTCTTAGGTCTCCAGCCACCCTCGCAGACCCGGAACGTGAAGTAGATCTTCCCGTTCACGTGACCGTAGCCGGGGTACAGGTGGGTCACAGAGCCCGAGAACTTCTGCTCCCGTAAGGGTCGGACATTACGGGCCTGGCTTTTATCGCTCGAAGGTTCAAAGGTCACGTCGCCTTGGATCCAATCGCCCCGGCAGGGTTTATAACCAAAGACCAGCGAGTCCTGGTCGAAGGCTACCGTCTCGTTTATAAACCCAGAATCCTGGGACACTTTCGTGACCTTACCGATCAAAGTGCCCGATTGAGGATTCTGTCCTGTTTCATCATTCTCCCAATCCTGCCAAATGTCCACCTTGGTGGCTTTCCAGCCCCCCATGTTGTGATCGCGGACAGCCTGTACGACAACACTATCCCCGACAGCAGGGCGCTGGCCTCCCAACACGCAGTCGAAGGTAAAGTAGACATTGTTGTCAATCAGGCCGTATCCGTACAGGAGATCTGTCACTTTACCGCTGAACGAAGATTTTTCTTTGGTGTCATCATCTTCATCATTGGAAATAAACTGACCATACTCCAATCCATCATATGGACATTTCGCGGCATTTTTTTTGTCAGTTGGTGGTTCCGAGTTCACGTCTTCCGATGACAGACTTGAGGTTTCTTGCTTGTCGGCTGTTGTGCTTAGTAACGATTTGACCGTCCCAAACACTGCACTCAACATCGTGGCCAAGCTTTCCTACATTCCTGCAAATAAAAAAATTGAGAAACAATCAGGCTATGGTGTTTAGTACAGGGGAAAAATTAGATAACACAAACTAGCTATTTGTCATTGAGTCAATGAGAATAAGAATAATAAATACATCCCCATTAAAAGTGAACACATTCATCAGGCCAACCTTGTTTAGAAAAAGAAATCACTTTGCAATATTTTTTTTTATAAATTAACTTTTCGTGTTTACACAGTGGATTTTTGGCTAGTCCAGTTTTTTCCCCCAAATGAATGAGGCTGCCTTTTTTTCTTCCCACTAAGATGGAAGCTTTCCTAAGATGGAAGCTTTCCTGATAGTGATAATACATAATTTGTTTTGTGCCCAAAGGAGCCGTCAACCTTTCTATACAAATATACAGTGCTGCTATAATTTTGTTGAAAACAAATTTTTAAGAAAACCACATAATAGAAAAAAAAATTCAAAAATATTATTGCAAATGTAAGAATTATTTTTTTTTTTAAAGGAGGCGGGCAGGGACATGAAACTGGTTGATTATTTTACTTGGCCTAATCTCTAATTTTTTTCTACTAGCTTGAAATATCTTCCAGCTCTAACATGTCTAAGGCTCATGACTATGTCCCATGTCATGAGCAGTTAGACTAGAGCTGGGTTTTCCAAACTAAACTTTTTCATCGTTGGCTAATGTACCTGGCAAGAAACGATCTGGCCAATAAATGTTTTTGGCCATAATAATTTGGGGGAAAAATGAAATTAGGCAAGCAAATATGTGAAATAATAATCAAGTCAGCACTCATTGTAATAATAACAGTATGTAGCTGATATAATTAAGGCGGAAGTTTAAACAAATCTTAATGATATCCCCATAAAAAAAAAAAAACTCATCGACGATGAATGAAAATTATAATGCAGTGGCTATCGTTACGGCAGCCGTAACGCATTTCCCATTTTCTATCGTTACGGTAGCTGCAACTTTTATAAAAACATGAGAAGAAAATATAAAATTAGAAGGAAAAAAAGTGAATTTGAACGTTATGAAATTCGGACTTTATTTCCCTTTTAAAAAAAAATCCTCCAAAGCCTCGGGTTAGAAAAGGAAAAAAATTTGAGTGCAAAACTGAGATGCGAACCCGCAACCTCGCGGTGCAAAATCCTACCCTCTATCGACTGAGCTGTCGCACTGCTCGCTAAAACGTGGGGAAACAAATAATTATAATTATATACCTGCGTGCGTATCAAAAAAGTATCGTAGAGGGCGCTAAACAACGGCTGCCGTAACGATAGCCACTTCGAAATTATAAATTCCAACATGGTGTGATTAAAATTTTTAGGCGTCGTTACACCCAAACGTCACACTGCTTCATTCAACAATCAAGAAAGTAAGGGTACCAGACTTTAAACAGAGCACATCTACAATCAAGAAAGATAAAGTTTTTATCACTTTGACCATTTGATCTGAACAAATTTACTGTATTAAGAAAGGCTACCTTAACACTAAATATGTGTCGCTAAATTCGCTCGTATTTCGACGTTTTACATGACATCTGCGACGATGATCTCCACGCTAACTGTGCACGAAATTAAATGCACGAATTCGATTCGGGGAGTCCCCACAAAGCGCAATTTTTGTTGTGGCGATTCTTTTACTCGATTATTATGGTATCCGTTACCGATTTCGGAATACATACAACGTGTTACACGCGCAACGAAAGAGTCGATACAGCGCAAAGTCAGAATTTCAAATACAAGTAGTCGGTACCTTCAAGTCCGTCTGCATGCAGCCAGTCGATTTGCGAGTGACCGATGAATGATGGCGGAAGGTTCGTCAAGGTATGAAAAATAAATTGGATTTTACTCAATGTCTCATGAAATTAATGTGTAACTGATCAACACTTGTTTTGTCAATAAGATCTGATGCAGTCCGTTATATATTTTTTGTTTGATTTAGCCTCTAGTTTTGTTGTATTTTGTAAGTGTAAACAAGCACGTAAATAAAACTTAAAACTAAGGTAGCCACATTCTATGCGACGCACTAAACTCCATGGCCGTGCTCAAGCACCGAGTTTACTCCACACTCATGACACTACATGCACTAGCATGACTACTAGTGCGTGGCCATAGAATGGGGCTAAAAGGCAATCAAAAACAATCGATAGGCAATAGGCGTATATATTAACTTAGTCAAAGCTAAGTCAAAGCAGTCTTCATTTAATTCTACAATGTATATAATCCTAAAATTGTGCCAGACCTACAACTTAGGCCTTTAGGCCAAGTAAAAAAATATAGGCCTTGGCTTCTCGCCGGGCCCCAGCCCACTTCCTTTTTTTCCCAGCCGCCTCTTTTTTTTCCTTTTCCTTGTAATTCATAGCCTACATGCATTTGCAATGTAATTTTGCATAACTGTTTATTTTAAATGCATTGTACATGTATAAATAATGTCTTTTTATGTTTCTAGCAAAATTGTATTATATGGCTCCTTTTGACACAATTTTGTAGGACCTATCAGCAAAATATTCAAGAAAAATTGAAGGATCAATCGGCCATCTTGGAAAATCCGCCATCTGCCAAATCCGCCAAAAAAGACATCTGTTTCCTTCATTTTTTGAAAAAGGCCAGACGAGAAACTACTTTTTTTACTCGGCCTCATTATTTTTCACAGTACATGTAGGCCTATGATGTACCTTGGTAGAAAGTGCAATTTTCTTATGCATTTTCGGTTGATGCCAGTGCAAATCAAACACATTGTTAAAATTGCATTCACTGTCTGACAAACACGTACATGTACACTGATTGCTTTCTATATTTTCGTGTTGCATTTTGTGGTCTTCGATGTCGCTTTTACCCCAAGATTTCCCTCACACATTCAAAAGCCTGCTCTCTATAACTGCATCATACATGTATAACTATCAACGATGGTACTGTCTGAAAATTTGGGACTCTCAGTACTGTGTATGAGAGTCCCAAAACTTAACGTATTGAAAACATGCAATACAAGAAAATAGACTGTCACCTGAAACAGCCTGTCATGCCAGTCCAACACTGCTTCAGTACTGCATCAATCAACTGTGCCAAAAGAAACATGTGGCATGAACCAGGAACTAGTCTCTATTTCTACTCATTTCTCCATAGTCAGCCACCAGACTAATGACACTGAATGAGAGGTCAGACTTTTCAAATAGGTGGACCATGGTTGGACATGTACCAGTCTAGTCTTCAGCCTCAAACTTCCCTCTCATGTGCAAAATATTGAAGAAATGTCTCTTTTATAAATTGAATTGAGTCTGCAAACTTGGTTGGTGAAATACTGAGGACCTTTTCTTGGCCCAGTGGAATTTTTGGAGAATTTTCTGGCTAAAGAGTGAGTAAAGTTGGCCTGATTTTAGTTTTGCACGTTTCAGAGCACTCCAGGTCCCAGTCTGTGCTGGTATATACTCAGCAATGTCCACATCTGGATGTCAGTGGTTGCAGCTGTTTTGTTTTTTAAAAACATTTCTAACTTTTAAAACCGGTAGTTGGGTGAGTCCAACAACCCACATGATCCAATAGATATTACAATTTAGAATTACAATAGATACAAATGGACACGGAAGGCACAAAATCTGAGACAAACAAAGTGAACATCATTCCATAGCCGGGTTGTCTAAGGGGAGTGGCTAACTCGCAAACAGCGATAGGTCAGTTGCCTACATACATAAAAATGTAGGCTTACAAAATGTTACAATCATCGTATTTATGACTGCGTACATGTATTTGATAGAAGTGATCATTCAGTTAACCCTAACTCCCTCTGAGGCCTTTTTGCTAGGATGTAGCCTCAATCCTGCAAAATCCTCCAATTGGCCTCATAGAAAAATAGCATATAGCCCAATCCTGCAAATTCCTCCGCTATTTCTTGAGTATGGTCCATGGAGGGGTGACCACTGCCTGAATTCTGCAAAATCCTCCGGCTATGACTGTCAATAGGCTGAGGCAGAGGCAGTGACATCCTGGAGCAGTGCGGAGGATGTCAAGTATAATCAAGGACTAAATTTATGCACGGCTGAGCATAAACAACACAAGGTCCGGCCCAAGACCTTGACACAGTGCGTACTCCGAAATCAGCAACCCACTTTTGCCATGTAACCTCAATCCTGCAAATTCCTCCAATTTGCAAAGAGGATTTTGGAGGATTCAGGGCAGTTAGGATCTGTTGTAACAGTAGTTTGCCAATGAAGGGTTGGTCTTTTGGAGAAAAAAATTACAAACAAGTTTGCAAAAACATTTTTAAAAATTCAACTGTTAAATTTCCCCCTGAATCTGAAACCCAGGCTAGTTATACCGACTTAATGCTTTTACACTGTCTCACTTTGGTTAGAGGAAAACAATTATTTCTCAATTTGTCCTTCCAAGTACGGTACAGGAAAGCATTGGGGGAGTGTATGTAAACATTGCCCAATCGACCTTGTGCATGTACCGTACATGTACATGTATGGTGCGAGGATCAGCACAATCATTAATCATTGATACTTTGTGAGGAAATGACCTTCATCACAATAATGCGCTGATTATACATTGTACAATAGACTGTGCTGACTCTTGTTCAGTGTATCGAAACATGCAGTGAGCATAGTTCTTCGAGTTACGTGTACATCACATTTAACCTTGTCCTAAATGTAGAACATTGTACATACAATGATACATACTGATGTAAACATTGGTCTCGAAAATCTGGGACTCTTAATACTGTGATGTGTATTAAAAGTCAAGGAATCCAATCAGCCTATTGCTCATACAAATGTAAACAATGTTGTTGTACAGCTTGATTGTCATTACATGTATATTAAAACATCTTGACAGTGGCCTTCTTTTGTACAGCAGTTTCGTCTGATGTTTTAAAAAGATCCACAAAATTTGAAATTTGTTCTGATATTTGAGAGCTAAATGATAAACATAAAAATGTAACAACTGGAGAAAAAAATTGGATTTAAAAAATCTAGGATCATTTAAATTTTGCCTGTGTGTACCGTACATTCAAAGAAATTATTAAAACTCTCCTATTGTTTGATCAGTCACAGACTGTCAAATATGTCTTTGACTTCCCGTGCCATGTACCGGCTATTTATATACTGAATACAGTAGAACGTCGCTATACCGAACACTGGCATACCAAACATTCGGCTATACCATGTATGTATACTGAACATCGTCTTTGGCTCCCAATTTTTGTGTACAAAACGTACTGAACATTGTTGTTGAAAAATATGAACAGAAAGTGACAAGTGGATATCATTTTCCCGAGGAATAGAAGGGGAAAGCCAGCCATTGCTGTAGTTAGTAAGCTCAAAAACTGTGTAATTGCATAATTGAATAGTCGGCATGAGTTCAACTTCAAAGTCGTCTTTCAGTAACTACATGAATATGTACCAGGGCATGCAGGGTGAAGTTCTAAATGGCGCTATTTATTGAAAAGTGAGTACTGGAGCACCTGCACCTTAAAATTGCTATACCGAAGGATCGCTATTACGAACAATTAGTGTGGATCCCGCAGTGTTCGTTATAGCAGCGTTCCACTGTAGTAAAAAGAAAACTAGTCAGATCACATTCGTGTTTACGGTGATAACAGACAAAAGAGGTACATGTACAATGTAACTGGTTGTTACAGCTGGCATATATCAATCACCTCCAGTCAAAGCATGGCTATTAAAAATTTCCTTTTCGAAAGATTAAAAAGTCCCCCAGCGAGAATGGAGAGCCAGTCAGATGAGTATGAGTATGACGAGTACGAAGACGTTGATGCCTACTATGATGAGGGGCAAGATGAAATGGAGCCAGAGGACGAACGAGAACCTGACCCTGAGTTTTACGAGTACAGGCTACTCACTGTAGACGAGGCAAAAGCATTCTTAGCTAAGGAGGTACAGACAGCTGCTGATATACTCAAGGTATGTGGTATAGGGTACCAGACACTGAGTATTATGAGTACAGGCTACTCACTGTAGATGAGGCAAAAGCATTCTTAGCTAAGGAGGTACAGACAGCTGCTGATGTACTCAAGGTATGTTGTATTGGGTACCAGACGCTGAGTATTATGAGTACACGTTACTCACCGGAGATGAGGCAAAAGCATTCTTAGCTAAGGAGGTACAGACAGCTGCTGATGTAGGGCACCAAGCATCGAGTATTATGAGTTCACGTTACTCACTGTAGACGAGGCAAAAGCATTCTTAGCTAAGGAGGTACAGACAGCTGCTGATGTACTCAGGGTATGTGATATAGGGTACCAGACACTGAGTATTATGAGTACACGTTACTCACCGGAGATGAGGCAAAAGCATTCTTAGCTAAGGAGGTACAGACAGCTACTGATGTGCTCATGTACTCAATGCATGCGATATAGGGGACCAGACAGAGTATTATGAGTACATGCTACTCATCATAGATGAGGCAAGAGTAGTCCTAGCTAAGGAGGTACTGACTGCTGCTGATGTACACAAGGTATGTGATATAGGGTACCAGACCCCGAGTAGTATGAGTAGTTAAGTGCTGGGAATCGTGCTACAACTCAAAATCACTATTTTCTTCTTTCCTGCTACTTGTAGATTCCATGCTTTGCAGCCAAGGCTCTTCTGATGTCTCATCGATGGAACCTAGACGCCATTCAGAGTCGAACCAAGCAGGACATAGCCAACCTCCTGGCTGAATGTGGAGTGCTTCCATCAGCTGATAGTAGCCTTACAAAGGTACTAATGAGTAATAGGGCAATTCCGTGGTAACTCGCATTACATTTAGAGGTGGTCTTCCATGTGCTGTTATTTCATAAAGTCAAAGCAGTGAGGGTGGATTTAAATTCTCACAGAAGATCCTTGAAATCAAGTTACGAATTAAATTTTTCTTAAAGCCAACAAAATAACTTTCTGTTGGCTTGGCAATTAGATTTTTATCGGTAACTCACGCTACGAGAAAAGGACATGGCACAAGTACCCTTACATCAGTAGGATGTAATTACCCTAACAGAACTCAACCCATCAAGCCCCAAACCGCATGTTTTGTTGGAATCTGTCAGGATGGGTACAGTACCCCTATTATAACACACCTCAAAAATCAAAGTCAGAAATATTTGTGTGCAGTTTCCCATGTGGTGTTGGAATTTGCCAGGATGGGTATGGTTCCTAGTAAATCACGCTAGGGAGTTAGGGTTAAAGTCATATGCTACAATTTCAATTTAATATTAAAAAATAATCAATCATAAAATCTCTAGATGGATATATTTCGGTAACTCAACGCTTGCACGCACTCATTCACGGCTTCACCAAATTAAAAACTAACAACTAACGGAAATTTCCAAAAATGCGTCTTGAGACGCATCATCGGAAGTGGCCTTCTTTAATTGTTTTCCTCAAAATGACAGCATGATAGAATGAATGATTTCACAGGGAGTTTAGTACCATTACTATCTTTAAACCAAGTATGCTTTACAACAATCATTTGGTCGGGTACTTTTTTGGATAGCTGCAAATGATGTACCGGTACTCTACCTTTAAAGGTAGAGTCCATCATTTGTAATTTGTGCATTTTGTCCGTTTGAAGCAACAAAAGAGTTCAAAATCTAATGAAGGATACTGAGCAACTAACCTGATGAAGTTTCAGCTAAGCTTCAGCTGTACATTCCGAGAAAAACAGCATTCTAAGATCTCATTTTCAAACCAAAAGTTGCTGAATCATGTTTTGAATTGTTTTGAATTGCAACTATACGCGACATTGCGCACTGATCCGACGAATTATAACAACCGCGCGCGCGTGTGCGTCGTTCGAATACTTGTGCGCGCTGCGCTGAATAACAAAACGAACTACTAATTTAAATTTTCCTACGGTGCTTCTTAAGAATCACCGTTGGAAATGCCTTCTTTCGTTGATTACTTCAAAATGACAGCTTCCCAGAAAGAATAATTTCACAGGGAGTTTAGTCTCCTTACTATCTTTCAACCAAGTTAGTTTTTCAACAATAATTACGCCAGTTACTTTTCGGATGGCTGCAAATGATGGACTCTACCTTTAAGTTTGAAAACACTCTGATTACTATTTCCCATTACATGTTGTTGTCTAGGAACCTGCCACCCCCAGCAACTATGTCTGCCCGGTCTGCATAGAGCACCAGTCTAAAGAGCAGGTCAGGTCGTTGCTATGCGGCCATTTTTTCTGCAAGGACTGCTGGACACAGCACCTTGTGGTGCTCATCAATGAAGGAACCTCAACAGGTTGGTACTATGGCCTCCCTGCACACTGCACATGAGGCATCGTGGCAAAATGAGACAGAACTGGGCAGAGGTCGAAATGAGGGTTTGCGGGTATTTATACGAAACAGAATGAAATTCTCCTCAATACTATTTTGGACATTCAGTTGACAAGCAATGGCTGTTTAAAGTTTGCATTTATTGACAGGTCAAAAAAGAAACATTTTGAGAAAAAGGTCTAAAAGGGAAAATACAACATTTGCAAACATCAAACAATAAAAGTACCAAATCATTTTGAAATACCTTGCTGGACTGTTAGTGAATGACAGTGTAAAGCATCCTGTAAAATCATGGCACCTGGTATACTGTCATTTTCAAGAAAAGTGGTATTTTTGTATCAATTTCCAACGCTGATCGGCCGATCAGCGTTGGAAACAACTGGCTTTTTTTCAAATACTGGCCCTAATTGACCATCGCACTTGTTTGCAATCGATTACAAACCTATGAACGGGTACGAGCCAGCTAGACTGGTTCCCTGACCTTACAATTCCCCAATGTATGTAAACTGCTCTGTTTCTTCTTATATGGAGTCAGGGAACCAGACTACAGGAAAATGATCGTTTTTCTTGGTTTTTATAGCATTTTCGAACCCAAAACCTCAAAAAAGTCAGTGTAACTATATTTGCTATATATTTCCAACCCCCCAATTCCATCAATTTCTGAAAATTACAGCAAAAGCAAATGATGTTTATTCCTTTTAAAGTTTCGAGTTTTGTATTCGTGAAAATGAAATATTCTAAAGTTCTGTTTGTCCTTAAAAAAACTTATTCCACAATTTGTATACTATTTCTGTAACATATATGTAAAGTAGACATATCAAAGATTACCAACATCAATCAATCTAAAAATCAGGAAAAAATTCACCTCCATTCGTGTTTTAGGGGTTTTATTTGCATTTTTCTCCACTACGGCCTGTGCCCAGCTCAGTCTTATTTTGCCAGAACACCTCACATATACCCCTTAATGATGACAAAGAAAGGAATAAGATTTTCACTTTAAAAAAACGTACATTTTGTCTCAAGCCTTGCAAGTTTTTTTGGTGTCGTGTGAAAAGGGCTTAAGATACTCTCTCGACCTGACCTGATGATGTGCCATTAAAACAGGTCCTCCGTACAATTTGTAAAATTATTTTATTTACTTTTTTTGTTGCTTTTCAGTGATACTGTTAAGACTGGTTGGAACATTGTGATGTTAGCGTTTCATTTTTGTTTTGCTTGCGTACTATCTTTCCAGGCATCCATTGCATGGCTGAGAAGTGTCTCATGAGGGCGCCAGAGGACTTTGTCCTCCCCCTTCTGCAGTCTGAGCAGCCGAGACTAAGATACAATGACTTCTACTTCAAGGAGTCAGTCAAGGTATGGTGCACAAACTTTGCCTTTTTATTTTTTAGCGGACAGCGGCTCAAGAAATAGTAATGTTTATATAACCGACCTACAGATCCTTGTCATTTGATGGGTGGAACTCTCATCACGAGACATTCGTTGTTGATCCCATTCACACCGGGGCTCAAAAAGTCCCATTCGCCCATGGGGAATGGGAAATACTATTGAATCAGTTAGGATCATTCTTGTTCCATGACGAGGTATTTGTGTGCAAATGCATGCTAGTGTGTGCGTTCAGCGATGTGCGTAGTGCGTATTGTTCCAAAGAGCCAGCGCTACAGAGTTGGGTTCAAACGTTTTTGTGAAGGGGTGGTTTTGAACCAATTTTGTATCGAAATAAAAGTTCAAATATATCAAATGACAAGGATCTATATGTCAGTTATTTAAATAAATATTGACTGGCTGTAAATTGTGAAATAGGAGGATTATTATCGCTCGGTAAAATCTGGACTTTCCCAGTTCACTCGGCTTCGCCTCGTGACATGGAAAGTTCCAGATTTTACCTTGCGATAATATTCCTCCCATTCCACGATGAGCCACTCAATATTTGTATACTCTCAGTTAGTTAGTAACAAACGTTCCAGTGGCAGCCTTGCATGGCTATTTATCAACGCGTCCCTCAGGACCTGGCTCTCTATTGTGTCACTTTAATGGGTCTCCACTGACCGTCAAATGTCATCATAGGGTCACTGGGGTAAAGACTGGGGTAAAGACCTGCTTTTGTACTCAAAATAATATTCCTTCCATAAATTACATGGCACAATCTTGTCACTCATGCATGAGCATGCATGAGCATGAGTGACGAGATGACAAGGGGCTGCAATTCAAAAGATAAACCTGCAACTTTTGAATCGGAGACCAAAAGTTGTGCATCTGTTTTTCTCTGTTTTCTGAAAATGAATAGTATCTTCTGAGCTGAAACTTCAACATGGGAGTTGCTATGCAGCCGTCTTAAGATTTTGAGCCATTTTATTGTCGCAAATGAAAACATGCAGAAAAAGCAAATGATCCTATATACCTTTAGCAATTGTACTACCACCATCGTTTTGAATTTTTGAGGCATTCTGGCAAATTGAGACGGAACTGGGCACTGGTCGTATTGGAGAAACATAAACAAAATAGAATGGGGATGATTTTTTTTGGGGGGGGGGATTTTTAGATCTATTGATATTGTAATCTTTGATATGTCTGCTACACGTATTTCAAAGAAATAATATCAAAATCATTGAATAAAAGTGTTTTTAAGGAAAACAATTGGCATCTTATTTTAACGACGACAAAACTTTAAAGGCCTTTTTCTCAGTAATTTACTTTTTTGATATGTCCATAAATGTGAACTAAACAGCCATAACTTTTCTTTGTCCAATTGAAGTGCAATAAACAGTATAGAATTTTATTCTGTTTCCTAATACCTGCAAACCCTCATTTCGACCTCTGCCCAGCTCGGTCTCATTTTGCAAGAACGCCTCAATTATTTTTTCAGATTTTTCAAAGAAAGCCAAGGTTCAAGTCAAGTGCCCATTGCACTGTCCTTATTTGTCTTTCAGAATCACAGTAACTTGAGATTCTGCCCGGGTGCTGACTGTACCATCGTTGTCTATGCAGAGGAAGTCAAGAGCAAGCGAGCTGAATGCACACAATGCAAGACGAATTGGTGGTAAGGCAATCCAGTATTAACCCTCCTAGTGGGAAGTCAGTGTTCAGAGTCAGTGTTCAAAGCCTTCAAACCCTGCAGGTCAGTTTCAGGTGAAAGGTGATGAAGTGTTTCAATAACTGTGTCATACCAAGGGTCACTGCACAAAACGGAACTGTGAAGAGCAGTGAAGCGTGACTGAATCTGCCTGCTTAGACTAGAGCCCTATACATGTAGAGTATGCAACACACTGTCATCTGCTGTTCCTCCATGTAGTCCTGACATCACAACCCTAAATTTGCAAACTCCAATACTGGATTGTGGTAGTTTGATCGAATCAGCACTAAGAGCCCTACTTGGCAGGGACTTTGATGTCCCCTCTGAATGCAGTTCAGTTGGTGAAAAGGGAGTTGGAGAAAAGGAGGGATTAGGAATATTGAAATTTCCAAATTCATTTGGTTACAAAATTCCACAGCCAAAATATAATCCCTAAATTCTCTGAAAAGATGCTCAAGAATTCAGAAGAAAGCATCTAGATTTACAAATTTGTGAGGAACATGTTGCAGACCTGCTGGCCAGGACATGTCTTCTTTACTTGGAGGTGCTTTTATGCCAATCGAAAGCCCCCTTCGCCGCCTCCTCCCAACCCAGAGCAAAATATTCGAGTATCTTTGAATATAAGTGGATTGGTTTTTTTGGGGGGGGGGGGGATAAGTTGAACTATCAAATGTTTTTTTCTCTTTATTTCCAGTTTTAATTGTTGCAACAACTACCATGCCCCAGCAGACTGTGACATCATCAAGAGATGGCTAACGAAATGTGCCGACGATTCCGAGACAGCTAACTACATCAGTGCCCACACAAAAGATGTAAGTACAGTTGGACCATACATAGTACTGCTGCCTATAAAAAGTCCCCCGCAATCGGTATTTTCTATTTCCTTGCTTCATTCATGGTTTGCTGAGGGCGCTATTGGAAGCAGACAACAAAGTGACACCCAGGCTAGCAGTAATTATTCGGTGATTCGGTTAACCCAATAAGTTCCTATACCGCCCCCTCCCACCTGTCTGTCACTCCAACCGGAGTACTCTACTGTTTTAGGGATTCATCAGGGAATATGTGACCTGCCATATATCGTAATGAGGAATAACCCCCACCTTTGACTTTTCAAGTTATGGGCCTTATTCACGAGTCGGCCATATTGGATTGAGAGTGAGGTATAATCTTCATTTTTGGAACTTGTGTAGAGAAATGAAAGCAATGACGTTACAAATTAATACCAGTCTGCTCTAATGAACAATTTAAAATTTGTGATTAAACATACTCTAATGTTTTAAGCCACATTTAAAAAAAAAATGAAAGTGAGGCTTTAGTGAATAAATAGTCTGGCAACATCCCATTCAACAGTTCACAATTTATGAAATACATTCAGGGAACACGACAAAAATTGCCAACTTGTGCATATAAAAAGGCCCATATACATACCGGTACATCATAAAGTGCAAATCAATGGCTTTCAAATGGAAAAAAATTACTTCTGTAGCTAAATTTATTCCAAAGATCAGGGGTGTGAAATCTCAGCTATAGAGTTGATTTCAGCTTTTTTTGTTTTGGATTTCAGCTTTTCCCCCTCACTTGCTGTGTACAAAAGTATAGGAGATTTCAAAAGTTCAGCTTTTTTACATCTTTCTCAGCTGTTTTCAGCTATTTTTATCAGTGGTCACTCACACCCCTGAAAGATACACTGCAGGAACTTCAAAAGTGTCCCGCCGAACTTGGCCAACCTTATTTCAAGAAAAACGGCTCTGAAAAAAAATTGCATTGTGCCGCTAACGGCAGTGAAAAAGTTCTTCAGTTTTTCCACTTTTGTGAGTATTTTGTCCCAACAAAAATGCATAGTGTGAATCTTGGATACCTTGGCTCCTCAAAAATACTAAGAAACTCAATATTGATTTTGACGTGATTTTTTAAAAGCACCGTATCACACATCACAGCAATCAACAATTGTTCAATGTTCACTACATGCAGGTGTTTGCAAGGGGGGGGGGGGGTGGACAGGAAAAGTTGCAAGCAGAGCTTAACCCTAACCCTCCAGGGTATATTGGCTTGAAACCCTGCCAAACGCAGCAACATGCAACACTTGTCAAAATGACAAGCCTGCCCAGTGTAGCAAGATCCATCAGGCCAAAAGTCTCAAGGCCAAACTGCCTCAGAGTCTGTGGTCCCCCAACGCAGCAGGATACAACTCTGGCATTGTTCTATGGGACTAGCCCTCAAGTGTCTCAGAAGTGGCCGGTTTATGCACTGGTGTTGGTATCATTTTCAATCAAAGTGCACCAGACTTTTCCACCTGATGCACTGTGATGCATTTGGCAGGGTTAGGTTAATGAAACTTTTGTTTCAAAAGGGAAAAAAGAGGACCATAGGCCATGTTCAGACACCGTGTTAGCTAAAACGGTAAAAGTTAAAACGGTCGCTCACCACGGGAGGCCCGTCGTAAAAATAAAACTACCGAGCGTCCAGACATCGTTTTAAATATAGAAAGTTCAACTCGAAGCAGTTTATCTCAGTTTCTAAGGTCACGAAGAACAAATAAAAAAGCGTTCAGACATCGTTTTAGCAAGAAAGTTACACTGAATCGAGTTCAACCAGTGTTTTAAGGGAATTTAAAACGGTGTCTGAACGACCCCATATATAACATATACCTTGTAATTGGAGCCGAAAGTAAACATGACTACATAGCTTGTAATTGGAACTGACAGTTAACATGATTTAAGTATTTGTCTTCATGCATGATAAACCTAAATGCTCGCTAGACCAGATGTCTAGACTCTGTTCACACTAGACAATCAAATGTGCCAAGTTGTGGGAATGTTAAGTGTAATAATAGTACCAAATACCGCAAGCTAATAGATTGCCTACGTCAGTCGATGCACTGGCTGCACATGTGACTGTGATGTGCCAAACCATTGTGGTTTTCTGTGTCTGTTTCATTGTGAGTTTAAAAGTCTGTCCCGAGCCAATCTTGCTCATCGGGCCGGTATTTATCTCCAGTTTCCTTGATGTGAAACAACTACAAATATTTCTATTCCCCTGGATGGGATGCCAGTCCACTGCAGGTTACTCCCCAGCTAATGCCGGTACCCATTTGTACTCCGGTTGGAGAAAGGCAGGTATATAGGGGTGTTGGGGCTTGCCCAAAGACAAAACATATGGCCAGCAGCAGGATTCGAACCCCTGACCCTCTGATTATGAGTCACAAACCCAAACCACCAGGCCACACTCCCCTACTTCCATTGAGTGATCAACCGAAAATTAAAATTGCCTACATTTTCCTAAGTCTGATCCAGTGGTGAGGTTTCGATAGTTGACAGTGCAGAACATGCATGAATACCAGGGGAATTTTGTAGTGATTTCTTGGCCTGATAGTGTAATCAAAAAGGATTTATAAACTTAGTGGCGGAAGTACTGTTGACGTGTGCGTCCTACTCATTAGTCGTGGTCAAAGACTGGGTTTGGAGTTTGTCCCCCAATGCAGCCCATCCCTGGCAAGGGCTGTTAAAGGCACCACGTCTGTAGCAGGTACTATCAACAAGATGAATCAAATCCAGCCTCGGGAACTTCAAATCCAACCTCGGGAGCATTCCTCAACATGCCATATTCATGCTAATGCACATGAGTGAGGTTTGCTTGGATTATATCTGAGGTCCGAGTGCCAAACTTCCCAAGGCTTGATGTGATCCATCTTGTTGATAGCGCCCTCTACCACTGTATTTAACAATTGTTGACTGCTGTGATGTGGGATATGAGGCTTTTAACACCCATGGGGTGTATAGCTGCCTCAGGGACTATGCACCTCAAGGGGTTAAAAACAGCGTATCCCACATCACAGCAGTCAAAAATTGTTTTGTTATATCGTGCCAATAAGTCAAAAAAGATAAATGGTTGTAACTTACTGTGTGAGAAGTAAATTGAATCAGTGCGATGTAACCTTTGATAACTGAAGGTTTTGATGTCCTGCCGGACATGAGACTGAGCAGTTGACGTTGCAGTTCTCATTGCGCAAAGCTAGTGCGCCGGCAGGTTCCACACACAAGCGCAACACGCGCAATGAGCACAGTGCGATACCACACTGATCCCCACGTAAAAGTGGATATCAGTGTGTAACATGCATTTTTATTGTCCAGACACGTGGCCGTTCTAGACCAATGCAATTACAGCATCCAAGCACACGATATAACAATGGCTTTTAAAACCTTCTTCATATCAGAGGAATGCATGCACCTGAGAAGGAATGAGGTGTTCTGCACAAAAGGCACCAAAAAAAGGTCCACAAGTGATTTATATGTTCTTACAACTGATGGCAATTAATATATGGAGTGCACAGTTGTTAAGACAAAAACTTATATTTCTCGATGACTTTTGGTGAGTCAGGTTGGCAGGCAGTACTGTCCCCCTTCCACCGCTGTGACTCGGGTTTGATTCCTGCCTGGGCCAATATGTGGATTGGGTTTTTCAGTCCCTGCCTGATTGTATGGGTTTTTGTCAGAATGTTCTATTCTGGGGTTTTCCTCCCACATTGAAAACTGCAATTTCTTCACATTGTCTTCTCTTTACTGGGTCCATGGGAGATCAGTGGATTCCACTGAATGAACTACTTAGTTTAAAATAAGAATTAGATAAATAATAAAAGATAATCCCTCAGGGAATCTTCTGTGTCCTCAGAAATAGTGACACAAACATAAACAAAAAGAGCATAACGAGCATAATCCATAAAACAGTCCTGAATCCTCCAAATTCAATACGATTTTGCACACTCGGGAGTTGGGGTTAATTGAAAAATGGTGGACCCAACAAGGGGCACTATTTGAACAGGTTAACTTTTTATGTACCCACTCCATATAGTGCCCTGCTTTTGTGTCCTCAATATCTAAAAAAGACCAAGGGTTTGTTTCTGGTATTAAGGTCAAACACCTCCAAGCTTAACCCTACCCGGTACGTTTACCCCTCAAGTTCATCGACCTCCACTGTCGGCCATAAAACATCCTTCTCTAAATTCGAAACCCTGCCGTGTGGAAGTGTCCACTACCTGCCGATTAATCCTCTCAATCTGTAAAGTCATATTTCATCAGCTCCTGTTTAATCTTTCCGGATAATCGCCAGATTCTCTCAGTACCTGGGCCAGTGAGGTTTGACACTAGTGTCTTTCGGGGATTAGTGGCTGTGGTTTTTGTGGTTCGCGTAGCGGGATTCCGTAATGTTGTTGACCTAGGGGAAGGAAATGGGTGGCACCAGTCATGTTTCCTGGCATACATTAAGAGGCCGAAGGCACATCACGGTCTTCACGGAGGCTGGCCAACTGGAAGGCTGTCCAATGGTTCCTGATCAAACTGACTGTCCCCAGCCATGGCATGAGGAGGGGTTTGATTTTAGGGCTGGGTGGGGACCACTCAAGAAGATAAGGGATTATTTCAGGCCAATACATCGGTAGAAAATGGTACCCCCGGAGACAGTGCACGGATATACTATGTACACGTATCAACTCATAGGATAACAAGAGGGGTCAGGAAAGGACTCTTCAGGAGTGACTTAGAAGTTACAATTTTGAGGAGGTGGCAATTTCAAGCCCCCCTTCCTGCCCCCAACACATCTTCTCCAGAGAGGGTATTGGCTTGAAAATGTATTTAAAAAGTTTGTATGCTGTATTGCCACTACATCAGACTCGAATCGGCTAATCAACCATGGCAAGCTCGGCGGTGTAATGGTAAGACAGCTGCAGTAGTAAGCAGGAGGTCATGGGTTCGAGTCCCACCTAAATATTAAAGCTTGTGATTTTTTTTTTGATTTTTTTTTGCAAGTCCTTGGACAACACTGAGTAACACAGTCTTTATAAAATATGTCAGCCAAGGGCACACCCCAGTGTAAAGATTTCCAAATTATTTGGTTTTTGGGATATCCACGGTGTCTTTGTGAGACAGTGGAGCTATTTATGTGAAATTGGTTATTGGGCGTGGATTGCCACATCAACATCATGTGTTCCTTGCAGATAAACTTGATGTTGGCTTTCCATCTAATATGACTTGAGGCGGAGTGGGATTTCACATGAATCCTGAGGGATGTCATGTGGCTCAAAATTAATTCCAGTCTGCCATCAAGAGTAGGATGATGTGTTGCAGTCAAGACATGAGGCAGTTTTACTTGGATTACGAAATCGCCACCAAAAAAAATCGGAAATCGAAAAAGAGTGTTAAAATGGACGCCCAAATTTTTTTCACTAATGCAAGTATTTAAACAAAAATGGCCTAAAAAGACCGAAAGCCCACAGCAATGAATCAAGCTTTGATGACGTTATTTAGGACTTTCAGAAATTTGGTATTATTTTTTCATGATATAAAATAGTGGTAGTTAACATTGATCATTGGAGAAAGGGGGGGGGGAGAGGAGGGATAGGGGGGGGGGGGGGGGGGTAGCAACCCAAACCAGCCCCTTCCCTCCTCCCTTTGATCCCCTCTTGAATTTATGTACCATGTACACAGTATTGTCCATGCTATTGAGCAGAGCTCAGTAGGGGCCATTGAAGTTTAATATACATCACGAAGAGTCTAGTACCTATACCGTGCAATGTTTGTGAGTCCAGGTTTGTTAAACTGAAGCAATTTGTCATTGTGTTATATTTCCAAGTTGCATTTCTAGGCTACATTATTATAAGTTACAATGTACGTCACGAGTCAACATTTTATTGTTCATTGTGCATATAATGTCCAATCCTCCTCTGAAACAGTTCTCCCAGTTCCCGCAATGAACAGCGCCATCAAGTGTCAGATGCTGTTAAGGCTCACTACCCCTTGTCTCTGCCCAATCTCTCCCACCACCCCCCCCCCACCCCTCTTGTTAAGGAAGTTGTAATTATGCCACCAACCGAAGTGAATGTACTTGACATTACACTGTACCTAAGTAGTTAAATTCAAAAGTGGAATTCTTATTGAGAGTAAAATTAATTAATTGGCAAAGAAGTATGGGCTCTGTACGCGAATAAGAGAGGGCAGGGCGCTTTATATTTACCAACCTCGAGAGCCCCATGGACGGATGTCGGGACACACCGCATTTGCGTACTAGTTTGCGCGCGTATATAGCAGCGTATCTTCGCTGAGCATCAGGGGTCACTGGCAATGCCTTCGAATGTCAATCCGAGTGGTCTCCTCCAACTCTCCCTTTCCTACCGTTGAGGGGGTACTTGTGCACGGGATCCCATTTTAAGTATATTTCTGCTTTATATGTGGACTTGCATCACGCAATGGCTGGGTTTTAAAAATGGTTTTATTATTTGCTTGCAGTGCCCTGTATGCAATATCTGTATAGAGAAGAACGGTGGCTGCAACCATATGGTAAGTCAAAGATATGATTTCTGTATTTGATTTTATGTGCATGCTTATTTATAGTCCATGTAATTGCTGCCTACATGTACATGTAAATATGTCTGAACCAAACACATGTAAAGAATTAATGGCTTATCATAAAGAGGATATACACATATGAGGATATGTACATATGACGCGTTGAGACTGATTTGCTATTTTCTGTTCAACAACATCAATATAGTTTACATACTAGCACAAGTGGTCAAAGATTTCAGCATGGAATTGTGCAATCTAATAAGTGAAATAGCACTCTCTGTGTACCTCTTTTCAGAAAGCACTCCAAAGACTTTTCTGGTCCAAAAAGTGGTCTTGGTCACTTATGTCTTATTTTAACCTTTGCGGAGTGCCACGAGCCTTGAGCAATTTAGTCAGATCAGTGTTACCCATTTAAGCATTTACCGCTTTGCCTCCTCCCCAAGGGATTGGTAAAAAGTCACAGGTACCAGTGGCGGGGAGTTTGATGAGACCGAATTGCTTCAATCACTTGTGAAGGACTGGAGCGGACTTTAATTTAGGATTACCAGAAGTAGATTTAAATTGCTCCAGATACGACATAATGAAACACTTTCTGGATGAATGGTAGTTTTTGTTTCTGCGACTGGGAATGAACCCAGACCTAATTCCAGGTCCCAACAAGTTCAGTATGATCGAAACTAAAAAGGAGAGGGTTTAACTTCTCGATCAAGGTTTAACTTCTCGATCGGTTAATTAGGAGGGCATAAGAGAAGCCCTGTCCTACGGGAGATTGCAGGAGTTCCAGGGAGAGCGCGTCTGTCACCGGCCCCCCGCTATTTTTAATTGTGTGTATATTCTGATAACGTATCTCAGGGGCACCTGCGCCGGGGCAACATTTGCCCGCAGGTGCAGGTAATTAATTGGCTGGTAACCAGATACGTCCATCAAACGGGCCAGAGAAGGAAGTGGGGAGTTTCCTGGATGGATCACCTTCCCCTCCGTAACTCTCCCCCCCCCCTCCTCCCTGGCCTAGTGATTGGTAGAGTCCATCTGTGCTTTATCACAACGAGGGAGTGGGTCAGGATGTTGGGTTTGTTTATGCATCGGTTCGTACCATAATAGCTCGGGGTGAGTTGATTTCATTTTAGTAGCAGGTTTTTCATGACCAGAATTCACGCACCTTTACCTGTTAGTTGCCAAGGGCCTACATGTACATGTACTTATGACCAGTGACCTTCATAATACTGTAAATGTAATGCCTAGATGTTGCAAGGTTACATTTGCTAAGTCAGCTCTTTTAATATTTAACATTCATAAAAAAAGCAGTGTCAAAAATGCTTGAAATGAGCAATTTTGCTCAGTTTCTAAAAGGGGTACCGGTACATCATCCTGACTTTTGAAATCGCTGAAATTTTCCTGTTTGTTACTTATCCTACTTCAAAGCTCTGGTTGACATGTTGAAAGGAAACTAATGTAATGTCCCACTGTTCCGGAGAAAAGACGCAACCAAAATTTGTGGCATGCATAGTACGCATACGTACTTCCAGCCGTAAATACGAATCTCCTTGGATGTTGCCTCGGCTTTTGTCAAGACAACAAATGCTGTGTGTGTGTGTGTACAATCACACTTGTTCCGTAACTGTTGGGACTACACACGAGTTGTCCTGTGGTACTATAGGGACCGAAAACGCTGTGGGGACAGCAGAAAATCCCCATAACTTGGTCCTATTTGCCTCAAAGCACCAATACACACGTTGTTCCCCGCATGTCCATAGCATGCGATGCACTGGTGAAACATATACGACGGGGTTCACGACAAGCACCCAAACAGCTTGATTTTGGAGAGTCAAAATGTTGACCCCCAAAATTCATTCTTGCAACAATAACAAAGAAATGGCCAATTTTTAGATGATGGTTGTTGTGACAACATTTATTCTACTCTTACATTGTAAATTATGCGCTTTCCAATTAATATCATGTCATTTAAAACACTGGGTGTTTTTAGCCCAATTGGGCACTTTCCAGGACGCAGTGCCCCTTTTATGACCAAAAATATCATAGCTTTCATTATCTGTGAAAAAAAAAACTATCTTGCCCCTTGCAAGTACTGTATCTCTAAGGGCAAAATTAGTATACTTTCAGCTGCAACTGTAAAAACGACTTGTATACTAAAATACAAGAGCTCAAACAAAGTCCAGCAAACGCTTTTGCACATGAAAAACGATTGACGTGCACAACTGAGGCATAGTACTATACCACACTAGGTTTGACCAAACTTGTTCATATTCAGGATCGCTGAATCTGGGCTTTATAACCTCCACCAAAAATAAGGCGTTCTGGACACAAATAAAAGGTGTGTTTAATAACTGTCATCAGTAGATGATGGTCTCCGGGTTTTGTGGGCCCATTGTTGCCATGGGACCCAGGTGAGTCACCAGAATGTATGGATCTGTGGACATCGCCATGGTTATCTAGCAAAATGAATCGCAGGTACTTCCCGTTCAGGTGCTGGAAATTGAAAGCAGACTGGGGGGACGGATGATCCAATTTCATGACCCGGGGCAAGCCGGGAGGGGGTCTTCCAGAGTGGGAATGTGGACCTGTGCCAGGGGGTTCCTGCCGAGTGCCCCTTGGGCTTGGCACTTGGCTTAGAAGCTCCCTAAAAAACTTCAGTCATGGTCCGAGGCTGGATTTTGATTCTGTTCCCCTTTTGCAGCCGGGCTTTGAAAAGTGCAGTTTAGCCCTCGCAGTTGTAGAATGAGCAATCAACAAAGATAAATCAGCTTCAGTCTTGTGAACTTTGAAATTGGGACTTGAGGAATTCCAAGCATATATATATGCACCTCATGTGGAACCCACTGCATTAGAGGGGATCCAAATCCAATCTTGGATTAAGTCTTTCGAAAATTCTGATATTGTTGAAATCTTAACCCTAAACCTGCTAAATATGTAACAGAAAGCAACACTAGTAAAAAGTTGTTGCATATTGTTGCATTTAATTAGCAGCCAACTCAAGTCCCCCGTGCTCATGGTTCCAAGGCGATGCAACACAATCCATTGTTTCATTTGGTTGTATTTAGCAGGGTAACTGCTTGGTGCAGGGGCTGGTGCATGTATGCACTGGGTTCACTGCACAAAGCACAATGCAACACATTAATCCACTGTTGCAATTTGTTACATTTAGCAAGGGTCTCGTTTGAGTTGAGTTGGATATTGTTGCATTTACTCCCGGTAGCAGGGTATACCTAGAGAAAACCTGTTGGGTGTTAGGGTTAAGGGACTGGCTTGAAGTGAAGATTTGGATCATCAGTGTAATGTGTAAACATTCTTACTAATGAAAAGGAATTGTGGACAATTCCAGCTTCATCAAAGAAAGTCCATGACAGAGCAAATTAACCATTATACCGGTATCTATAACCAATGATTATAAAGAAATGATCCAAAACTCCTAGTCTGTATCTCCTTGACATTTCTAGATGATGGATGTGTAAGATTTGAAGAAGAAAAAAAAACAGGTTTACTCACTGAGCTCTTAAAAGCTTTTAAGATTTGAGGCTTTGCATGGTGGGGTATCGGTATCGTTTCGGTTTGCGGTAACACCATGTGGTAATAACTACTGCTTAGAAGATATTAGTTCTGAGAAGAACTTGTCCTGCTTATTATCAACTTTGCTAAGTAGTTTTTTTGTTCTGTTAAGAACAGTCCTGCTGTAAGTTCTAAAAGAACTTGTCTTTGGTCTCAACGTTTCGACTAGCCTGCTCTAGTCATCGTCAGGAGACTGAAGATAGTTGGAGATGCTACTCCTTAAAATACTGACACAACTGACACAGTCGAGCAAGCAGGACGCTCAGCGGGCATCCCTCAACACAATGCCCATGGCTCACAGCCAACTGACACACCCGAGCGAGCAGGGCATGCCCAGCAAGCACTCCTAATCCTAACAAATCCTACTTAAGGAGTAGCATCTCCAACTATCTTCAGTCTCCTGACGATGACTAGAGCAGGCTAGTCGAAACGTTGAGACCAAAGACAAGTTCTTTTAGAACTTACAGCAGGACTGTTTTAACAGAACAAAAAACTACTTAGCAAAGTTGATAATAAGCAGGACAAGTTCTTCTCAGAACTAATATCTTCTAAGCAGTAGTTATTACCACATGGTGTTACCGCAAACCGAAACGATATCTTAAAAGCTTTGTTACTGACATTATATAATGCTGAATTATTTATGAACATTATGTGAACCTTTTTAACAAAATGCGAGTAACTTACATGTAAGTGATGAACACTTTTTACACTGTAACATTAAGCCTGCTTGTGAGTCGTGAGAGTAAAACTCCACTCTCGGTTTTTGCATGATTTTTTTTATAGCTTGAGGTTGCAAGAGCCTAACCACTGTATGAAAACATGTACAAGGGTTTGGTGACCCAGTTTTGTTGGAAAAGAATATGTCATTCCTTTTTATTTAATGCATATTTTAGGATGATTTGGGGAAGTTCCTTGTAAAGATTTGTTTTCAATCAGTGAAGAGTGACAACATATTTCTTACAGTGTATGTATTGGAGAGTATTGTATTCTCGTAATATTTGTACCTCTAATGTATAGAACTCAGATGGGGGTACAAGATGTAGAAAACCTAAAAAGTAGTAAATGTCATAGTTTTTCCCTCATTTGTTAAACATTAATGTGTTAGAAAACAATATGAAAGTGTGGAATTTTGTTTTTGGTTTCCTTTCAGCAATGCTCCAAATGCCTTCATAACTTCTGCTGGATGTGTTTAGGAGGTAAGACAGATTGTTATCAGCTTCCTGATTCTGGAACAAATAAAACCGCTGACTGTAGTTCAGATGCAAGGGGGAAAAAAACGCTCAGACAGAAATAACCTACATGTAGCACAACCAATGATAAGCCGACATACATGTATGCACATTAAGTGCACTTCCAGTACAACATTTTTTCAGACGAATGTCCTGTTTCCGCCTGTAATTTCACACTCTGGTACGGTATACATGTAGTTAGGTGAATTTATGATATGACCCTCTAAAGAAACGATTAAAACTTTGGTCCTTATGTAAGTATTGTTTGAAAGGTAGATCCCTCCCCCCCCCCAAAAAAAAGGCACATTGCCCATATTTTCCAAACAAGACGAGGCAAAGTGGAGTAAAGCTGGTCCCAAAGTGCATGAAATTGTATTGAATTGATTCAGAATGGCTATTCACTGGAAGTCTTTTCATGCATCTGGTCTACACAATTACGGATCAGATTTCACCCATTCATTGGCATTACCGGGTAATCGTACATAATAATAATAGTACACAGCTCATCTCACAAGTGATAGTCAGTGTGGCAGTCAGCTAGTGAGTGTTATAACACCTCACCCACAGATTCTGAGTCTTGATTGGCCGAGAGCGAGTCACATGGTACTTTCTAATTTTGCTATCTTTCAGTGCACGTCCAAAAGTACTATGCCCGTAGCAACCAAAATACTATACCATTAGCAACCAGTACTATACCCATAGCAACCAAAGTACTATACACACTGTGTGCAAAATGCATAGGGGTACATTGCACGTTGCGCATATTGTTTCCAAGCGCGAGCGCTACAGAGCTGGGTTCAAACATTTTGTGACGGGGTAGTTAGAAAAAGTGCAAGTTAATTTTCAACTGATTTTGTATTCAAATAGAAGTAATTTTTTATTGTATTCAGATTAAATTAATCACTTATCGCTTAAATTCAAGCAGAATCTGTGGGAGAGGTGAATATAAAACAAATATTGACTGCTTTACCTTGTGGTGAAATAAAACTATCTTTCCTCGGTGATCCATGGAGCATTCTATTTTCCCTCGGCTTCGCCTCGGGAAAAATAGAATGCTCAATGGATCACCTCGGGAGGCTAGTTTTACTACACCACTCGAAGCAGTCAATATTTGTATGATATGGGTACATGTACAAAGAGGACACAAGGCTGCCCTCTGGGACCAGCAAAACACAAAAACACACATATTGGGGGCAAGAATAAATAGTCTGAACCTGGGTAAGCAGGGTGTGTGGCTATTTTGATTAGGGTTCGTGACTCATGATCAGAGGTTCAGGGGTTCGAATCCAGCTGCTGGCCATATGTTGTGTCCTTGGGCAAGCCACTTCACCCCACTTGCCCCTCTCTACCCAGGAGTATAAATGGGTACCGGCGTCAGCCTGTGATAAACTGGCATCCCATCCAGAGGGAATGGAAATATTCTCAGTCGTTTCATGCACAGGAAACTGGAGATAATAAACACCAGCCTGATGGGCCATATTGGTTCATGACACACTTTATTTTACTTTATCTGGGTACAAGCATCTGTTAATTGTTTTCCCAAATCCACTTTAATGAAAGGAAGAGGGCCTACGTGCTGGTTTTGACTGAGAGTGTTCGATCATGTCGATTTCAGATTGGAAGACGCATGGTAGTGAATATTACGAATGCAGCCGCTACAAGGAGAATCCTAACATTGCCAACGAGTCTGCCAACGTCAAGGCACGGGAAGCACTCAAGAAGTATCTCTTCTATTATGAGAGGGTAAGCTTCATAGGGGCGGAGTCAGGATTAATGAGAGGGTGTGGGAAGATTAGGGCAAGATTGTTTTCAGTGAAGGTCAGAGTAGGTCTTAAAAAAAAGGATCTCTTGTACTATGAGAGGGTAAGCTGGTAGGGTGCAGGAAGGAATTGGGGGGGGGGGGATTATTGTCAGCTTATGTCAAGGCACATGAAGGTTTCAAAAAGGGGTAAGCTTGTAAGGGGCGGAGTCAGGATCAACAAAGGGCGGAGTCAGGATCAATAAAGGGTGTAGGAAGGATTCATTGGAGGGGTTAAGATTACTTTTTAATAATAGCTGACATCAAAGCACAGGAAGGTCTTGAAAAGTATCTTTTCTACTATGACGGGTACTTGTATATGTAGGTTAGAAAGGGTGTACGTGTAGGAAGGTAGAGGGGGAGATTATTATCATCTTACGTCAAGGCACATGAAGGTCTCAAAAAGGGGTAAGCTTATAAGGGGCGGAGTCAGGATCAATAAAGGGCGGAGTCAGGATCAATGAAGGGCATAGAAAGGATTCATGGGGGTGTTGAATCACTGTTAGCTGACATAAAAGCACAGGGTACTTGAAACCTTGAAAGGGTGTGGGAAAGAATTGGGGCGGGTGGGGGACATTATTGTCAGCTAACATAAAAGCACAGGTGGGTCTGAAAAAGATTCTCTTACATATACAATGTATAAAGCCTGATAGAGTCAGGATCAGTGAAAGGGTGTCGGAAGGATGCATGGAGGGGCAAGATTTTGTCTAGGCATGTGAAGGTCTCAAAAAGTATCTCTTGTGTTATAAAGGGGTGAGCTTTTTAGGGGCAGAGTCAGGATCAATGAGAGGGTGTCCAAACAATGCATGGAGGGGGGGGGGGGAGATAACTGTCAGCTAACATCAAGGTGCAGGAATGTCTCACAAAGTCCATGCAGTTCTCCTATTACGAGAGGCTCCATGCGTGAACAAGAGAGGGCACATTTTACCCACTTTTGAGAGCCCCGTAGATGGGACAAACCACTTGCGCGTACTTGTTCCTCTGCTTTCACCGTTGAGGGGGTATTTGTGCACGGAGCCCATACCTATGAGATCAATTCACCATCACTTGCAAGTAACTATTTTGCTGTGTGCCAAGTGTGCACGCGAGGATTTACGCACGGTGCACATAAGAATATGCAGTTGACTATTGCATTGGATACTGCTGCGATAGTCTACTGCGCATGCATGTATTTTGGTCTCTTTCTATCCACTAATTTACCAGCACAAGCTAATGCCGCACACAGTGTAAATTTCAATTTTATTGAGCTCTTATGTTTCTAGTCATGGCTTTAAAAGTTTTCAATCAATTCAGTTTATTTTGCTACAGGCAATAAATAACATCAACAGCATGAACAAACACAAACAAAATTTAGTCTCATTTGAATGTTTGTTGAGATTTGTTCGGGCCCGCTTTTTCTGGGACACACTGTAGTTACTCATTTAGAAATTATTTAGTAATTCAATATGTCAACGTGGGTTCTTTTTTCAGTGATCAACTTTTGTATTGCTAGACAAAATAGCTATTTGGAAAATACCTATTTTAGGGGTGAAGCTCGAAAATGGCACAGACAGTCAATTTTTAATGTCTTACATCTTTGCGACAGTGGGACAACCATGCCAAGAGCCTACGTCTGGAGCAGGAAACGTTGAGGAAATCTCAGGAGAGGATCCAGGAGAAGGTGGAGAACAAGATGGGGACGTGGATCGACTGGCAGTATCTGTTGGCTGCCGCATCATTACTTGCAAAGGTTTGTACCACTATTGACTCTGCATACAAGGAGAAAGTTAATAGAAAATGTTTTCTGAGTTTCCCAATTGATTTTCTTTTTAATTTTTTTCACACATCATGTACAACATTTTCGAATTTGTCCTGATTGCTTGTTTACAAATTTTTGTTTTTTTATTGAAAAAAATTTCAGAAATAAAAAAAACATTTAAGGGGCACTAGGTCCTGAAATCCCCGAAAATTGCATGTTTTGGATTGTTTACTTGCCTATTTCAAACATCTGGTTGAAAGAAAACCAACCTAATGTCTAACCGTTTCCGAGAAAAGACGAAAAAACCTCGGTTGTTTACATCGGACATGACGGGGTACGAATACGTTTTTCGTGTCATTCTCATACAGTGTACGTTGTGTGTCTCAGGAACAGCGGTGACCAATCACCAATGCAAAAAAAAAATTGATTTCTTCAACGTCAGCAAAAGGCGAACACTTTACGAATGAAATCACAATTAGCCTCCAAACAGCTCGAATTTATGGGGTCGCAAAAGTGGACCCCGAAATTGGTTCTCACACGCAAAATACAGGAATAGCACAAAAAACGCCCAGTTTTGAAAGGATAGTTGTGTGGATGTTTATATCCTAGTTTTAAATGTTCTTTCCGATTATTATAATCTCGTTCAAAGTGTGTTTTGTAGCCCAATTGGGCTGTTCCAGGACCTAGTGTCCCTTTAATCCTAACCCACCTAAATCCTCCAGAATCATCCTGGCGGTTTTGAGGATTTTCGAGGATTGAGGATGATGGTGTTTGAGAAACACAAGGATTTTGGAGGATTGAGGATGCATGGTGTTGAAGCACATGAGGATTTTGGAGGATTGAGGATGAATGCATTTTGAGAGGCAGGACTATCGGACGATTTTGAAGGATTGAGGCACTGGGTATCCTTCAGTTGAACATTATTGCAACACACATGGAGGATTTTGGAGGATTGAGGATGGTTCCTAGCAAAGAGAGCCTTAGAGAGTTATGGTTAAGACATATTCATTACAGTTCAAGCAATAAAAAAAAGGTTAAAAATTACAAATATAATGCACTCACTTAACCGAATTTAAACCAAAAATGCTAAGGGTGTTCAACGTCAGAAAAAGCCAAACACATTTTATAGATCTGCTCTTGAAGTTTTTCTTACCCACAATTTTCTTGGCAATGTTTCCTCTCCACCACAGTGTCGCTACACCCTCCAGTATACCTACCCCTTCGCCTACTACCTGGAGCCAAGTCCTCGTAAGAAGCTCTTTGAGTACCAGCAAGCCCAGCTAGAAGCTGAGATTGAGAATCTATCCTGGAAAGTAGAGAGAGCTGCCACTTATGATAGAGGAGTGAGTAGGATTTGTAGTCTTTGGCTGAACCGTGTGCCTTATGCAGGATTCTGCTGAGAGGAGGGGCAAGCCCACATTCTAGCAGAGGCCAAGCAAACAAAAGCTGTGAAACACCTTGTCTCACTGGCACACAGGTCATATTTAGTCAGTCCTAGATGTATGAAGTTGGGATCATGTCCCATTTTTGTCTCCTTCTTATCCTCCTGGCTTTTAAAGCCAGAGTCCATCATTTGCAGCTATCCAAAAAGTAACTGGCGTAATTATTGTTGAAAAACAAACTTGGTTGAAAGATAGTAAGGGGACTAAACTCCCTGTGAAATTATTCTTTCTGGCAAGCTGTCATTTTGAAGAAATCAACGAAAGAAGGCCTTTCCAATGGTGCGTCTTAAGAAACACCGTTGGAAATTTCCATTAGAAGTTTTTTTTTTTTATTTGGCGAAGCGCGTGCAAGCGTTGACATGACGCACACGGTTGCTATAATTCGTCGGATCAGTGTGCGACATCACATAGCTCCATTTGGCTCTGTGAGAATGTGTCTCGGACGCTGAATTGAGGCCCAATTCAAAACATGATTCAGCAACTTTTGATTTGAAATTGAGATCCTAGAATGTTGTTTTTCTCGAAATATGCAGCTGAAGCTGAGCTGAAACTTCATCAGGTTAGTTGTTCAGCACCCTTCTTTAGATTTTAAGCACTTTTGTTGTTTCAAACAAACAAAATGCACAAATTACAAATGATGGATTATACCTTTAAGCCAAGAAAGGGGGATCTTGGGATAGTGTATTCCTTCTGTGTTAATGTGTGTCCGTGTGCTCCATTTTGGTTTGGTTAACTAAAAAGTGGTTTCTCTCAACCAAACTTGGTGACAATAATCTTGGGTAGGTGACTTAAGATGACTTGAGACATTCGAGGTCAAAGGTCATCTGGGGGTCAAATGAGGTCATTGTTGAGTTTGGTTTGGTCTGAAAAGTGTGCTGACTAACTGACTGTTTAAATATTGCCAGCATGCCAGGGGGATAGCGCAAGTTGAACTTGAAGTATTTTATATGTTTTGTTTTAATTCATTTATTTTGACTATTCATAAGATGGAATTTACTATTCATAAGACGGAATTTATATTTGTATAATTATTTTCATTATTTTCCAAGTCTTCAAGGTGGGGGGGGACAGGGTGTCATTCCCCCTCCCTCCCCCCCCCCCCCCAAAAAAAAACGCCACTGGCTGAACCCTTTACGTAACAGGGTTCAATTTTGTGGTTTTGCTTACAAAAAATTACATGTACATGCGAAGAGTAATCTTTGCTAAATATAGCAGAAAATTATGCAGTAACAGTGTACCGGTATTACACAAGTCAGGCATTTTTGCTGGCACTCCATAATCTGAGGATTTTGCGCCTACAGGTTAGCACAGTATATCAGAGTAGAGCCATCATAACTCTCTGTATTATATTAGTGAGGACTACATGTAGACATGGGCGTCGCCAGGATTTTTTCCGGTGGGGGGGGGGGGCAAATTTTTTCCCAAAATTCCTTAACTTTTTCATTATATTCTCAATTAATAATTTTTCCCAGCGTGAGCAGGGGAGCATTTGCCCTACCCCCCATCAAATGAACAGTAATATGGCTTCACACCTCTTTTTTTTTTTTTTTTTTTTTTTTCCTTTTTCCTTTTTTTTTTCTTTTTTCGTTTTCCTGGGGGAGGGGGGGGGACAAGTGCTGACCTTGCCCCCCTCCCCCTCGCGATACAGTGAGTTCCATCAGCGTTTTGAACTTCTGTTTTTTAGAGCTTAAAAATTACTTCGCAATGCAAAATTCATGTCACATACTGAGTGCGGCTTTGAACCGACCAGCTGGGCAGTACATCTAGGTCATGGGTTCCATTGCCCTCCTCCAAGCAAGCTTGTGATTTCTTTCTCACAAGTTGAACAAAGACATTTGCTGGAGTGCGCTTCGAACCTGCGACTTCCGGAATGCTGTTCCGGTGCTCTACCAACTGAGCTATCCAGCCCTATGTTGGCAATTCCCCATTTTGTTCAAGGGGGCTAGTCAGAAGCCAATTAAGTGCATGTATTTTCAATAAAATCACAGCATTTGACCAATGATTTCATCACACAAGATATTGTTTTGAACCCCCTCCCCCTTGCCTTATCTCCCCTTCCCAGTCCCAAAGTGTTGTCTTACATTCTTAGATTTTTCTTCTTTTTCGTTTGTTTTTAATTTTGCCAGGACCTTGAGAATCAGATGAACGTTGCAGAGAAGAGACGGCAGACAATGCTAAAAGACTTCTTCCCGGCGTAAACGGTGTCTTCTCATTTCCTAGAGACATTCTGAAAGGACCATGGGTGATTGGCAGTTGCCGTTTATGCTTAAAAACTAGCTCAGTTGTAAGGGCGATTGTGTAGTTACTTGTCCCTCTGTCTTTTTGGTTCTTTTAGCAACCCTAAACCTGTCAGACGCAACACAGCGTATCAAGTGGAAAAGAACTGGTGCACTTTGATGCACAACACCAGTGCATGCATGGCCAGCTCTGAAACAGTGAGAGCCAAGTCCCATTGAACAATGCCACAGTTGTATCCTGCTGCGTGCGGTGACCACGGACTCTGAGGCAGTGTGGCCTTGAGACTTTTCCCCTGATGGATCTTGCTACATTTGGCAGGCTTGTGACTTAGTCAAAGTGTTGCATGTTGCTACGTTTGCCAGGGTTCTAGCAAACATACCCTGGAGGGTTAGAGTCAAAATAAATGTTTTTATCATTCCAAAATGACATCTGCAACCCGAAGCAGTCTTCTTTAATTCTAATAACCCTATTTTTGTGCAATTTTGAACAGTATCTGTTGGTAGAAAATGCCATTTTCTTACTTTTTTTTCAGTAGAAACCATACGAATCAATGCTGTTTTGCACAATCACAGTGCATCGTGGTGATGGCCACTTATATTTTCGTGTTGGATTTGATGTCGACATCATCATTTTACCCCAAAACTTCCCTCAAGCAAAACAAAACAAAACCCTGCCCTCCAACCACAACAGTCTTGTTGATTTTAAACATTGCTAGCTAATTGGGTGTGTCCAATAACCTCAAAGTGGATGTTCGTTCTCTTACAGGAACAGGGCCTGTAACTACGCAATCGCCATTGTAAGATGCATACATGTAGCTACAGTTGAGCCCGCCGCACACCTGTTCGATTTTACCAGTGAACGCTTTTTTTTTTCACCGTTAACCCGGCACACGTGCTATCAGTCACATGATGATCAGTCACATGATGACAAAATGGCAGCCGTCGATTTTAAATCATGCGACTTAGTTCATGAATCAGATTAGTTTACATAAATATTGCGTCCAGTAAAATCGGAGTGCTGCCCGCACTACACTCCAGTGACATCGGATCCGGTGAAATCGGATGGGAAAAAATCAAACTTGTTTTACTCCATCCGATCGCCCAGGTTTACGGTCAGATTGGTCCGATTTTTCAGTGCATACCTCTCTGCTCTGTACGTCTGATGGCCCGATGATCTGGTAAAATTGGAACAGTGCGCGGCAGGCTTTAGGCTGGAACTCAGGTTAATTGTAAATTTCCTTAATTCTTTTTTATTATCGTGATTTGACCTTGGGATATGTATCTTCAAACTGCCTCAGCCATGTCAGCTAAAGAAATGAAGTCAAATTGTGCAGTGGCTCTAATAAAGCCACGTTGCTTCTGCCTTTGACATTTAGCCGATTGTAGATATATCTGGGGGGTTTTTTTGTACATTGATGAACTAAATTTGTATCCCTACTCAAACCATGTCAAAGTTGTATGATATTTTGTTTGAAAAACTCCAATATTAAATATACTAATTTCTTAGTTTGGTATTTGAAAAGGTAACTTGATAAAAAATATTGAAACTTCCTGGCACCTCGAAATTTTGAACAGAAACCCCAACAAACAAAGAGATTTTAACACCAGCTGGTCATCATATACAGCCGAACCCTGATAAGAAGAGCACATGTTAAAGGGAAAATACATCATTTGCAAACAGCACAAAATGAAATGATCAAATTATTACAAAATACCTTACGGGATGGTTAGGGAATGCAGGCTACAGCATCCTGTAAAATTGTGGCTCCTGGTGTGCTGACATTTTCAAGAAAAATTGTATTTTTCCAACGCTGGTCTGCCGACCAGTGTTGGAGAAAACTGGCTTTTTTCAAAAAGTGCTTGCAAACTCTTTGCTGCAAAACTGCAAAAACTCTTTGCAATTGATTACACACCTGTGAGGGGATACAAGCCTGCTAGACTGATTCTCTGACCTTACAATTCCCAAAGTCTATAAATTATCCGTTTCATCTTAAGTGGGGTCAGGGAACCAGACTACAGAAACATAAATGGTTTTCTTGGTTGTTCCAGCATCTACAAGCCCAAAACGTGAAACAAGTCATTTTAACAATATTTGCTGTAACATACTAATCCTCCAAATTCATTTATTTCTGAAAATTGGAGCAAAAAGCAAATATTGTACATGCCCTTTAATACAAGATCCTGCTTGTAACAAGCAAAATGTTAGTCTTTTTTTTTCTTTTTTTCCCCTTTGTTTTCCATTACTGTAAATACAAGGTACCTGTTATAACAAGGTAATTCATAAAGTCCCAAGGACCTTGTTATACAGATGTTCGACTGTAACTCCTTACTTTCGTTAAGTAACTGCCAAAGCTACATGGAGCTACATGACTGCTTATTTATCAGGATATAGGATGGGTGTATGTGATGCTGCATGTGAGGAAAATGCGGGAAAAATAATGTAGTAACCAGACGCCACTTCTTTGGTTGTGTACAAAGTCTACAGAGAATCCAGTGCATTTCAAAGTATTTTGTAACAAAATTTGAAATGTTTCTCAGGCGCAGATTCATGTCTTTGCAACATTTTGCAATGACCGACCTTCATTGAGATAATATATGATGGAAAAAAAGTGGCGTCGGGATGCAACAGTCTTTCAAAATTCGGTTCCATGCGATCATTGCGTGTCAAAATCCAGCTTTATCACTCCGAAATATGTTGTCAAACATATGGGCTCCGTGCACAAGTACCCCCCCCCCCCCGGTAAGAAAAGGAGAGCTTGCTGTGACCACTGGGTGATGAAAAGCTCTGGAACACATTGTCGATGATGTCTGACGCTCACGCAAATACGCTATGGCTTTGTGCACATTCAGAAATTAGTCGTGTACTTCGCGCTAGTACATGTGAGACCCAGTACGCACACGTGGTACGTCCACAGGGCTCTCAAAACTAGTCATGCGTTCTTCGCGCTAATGCGCGCGACAACCAGTGCGCGCTCGTGGTGAGTCCATGGAGCTCTCCAAGGTTGTAAAAAAGCGCCCTCTCTTGTACAGGCACGGAGCCCATAGCAGGGACCAGTTTACAAGCACTCAAATTAGCAAAGATAATGTTCTGCTTTTTTACAACAGTTGGTTACAAACCAAAATGTCACGTGGTGTGTCACGTTGTTTGTGACTCATTCCCAGGGATTTTGTTTTCTTTGTAAGTGGCAACTTTGGATTTATTTTTGTGAAATGTATCACATGTTATCGCGCATTTTGTGGTTTCCAACATTGTAAGTTTTAAGTCACAATTTGTTTTGTTCTTTTACTTGTACTTAGATATATTATTTGGGCAGATCTGACTTTACGTATGATTAGTTATTTCTCGGCACTTTAAAGGGCCATGCGATGAATTTTTCTTAGGACCACATTTTATGCAACTTTATACTCCTCTTAAATGTTTCGCTAGGTCCCCCCGCCCCTCATTCCCTCCACCCCCTGGGAACAGGGCATGGGAAGGGCTGATGCCGCTTTACAGAATCTTGTGAAGGAAGTACGGATGGCATTGTGGGTAACTTATCATGACCTTCGCATGAAGCTAGCGCGCGCTACATATGATAAACATGTAGGGCGTTTGTGTGCCGCTTGCTACGAGACAGGTCACGCAAAATCTATCCAACGAGAGCTCAAAGAGATCAGCCCTTCCCAGCGTCCTGTTTGCAGGGCGGGGGTACGGTTCGAGCGACCTTAAATGTATGGAAACTATTTGACATTCCGTTTTGGTTATTTTTTATTGAAAAGTGCACTTCTTTAAACATTAAAAAATTTCCATGCTTTTTCCGGACAACTGAGGGTATGTATGATGCTGTGATTGTGGACCGAAACATTTGTTTATTGAAAACATTTGTGAGAAAGGTATGCTCATTGGCTTACTGACAACTTTTGTGCTGAAAAAAGCTGTAACACTGAGGTTTCTGCCTGGAATGACTTCACAGTTCTCCTCATGAATATGGAAATGGCATTAGCATAAAAAAAACACAAAATACCCTTGAAAATGGCAAAAGGTGCATTTTCAAGAATTGCATTATGAAATAGTTACATTGTATGGGCCCTATATACCGGTATTAAGTACACATTTTGTTGACAGTCCTTGTTCAACGTATGATTACCATGGACATTTACCTCAGTAACATGCAATGAAGGCGTTCACTAACCATTATGCTTGAGCTGCTCTTCATATTTTTGTAGGGAATAGTGCCACAGGTTGTTCCCTGAAGTGTGTTTTATCTTGGGAGTTTTAAGGGTTGACTAATTTTTGTTAAAGCTAAATAATAATACATGTAATTATAATAATAATGTGTGCTTGTATAGCGCTTTACACCAAAAGGTCTCAAAGCGCTTCACAATTATTACCCCTGTTCATCAGGCCATGTGACCATTGTTTTGCAGCAGCTTAAGATCAGTGTAGTCTGGTCTCTACCTTCACAGGTACTGTGAAGGGGGGTCTACCCAATGTTCCCCAATACCGATGTTCCCCAATACCGATGTTCCCCAAAGTCCTTAGGATTAGGGTTAGGGTTGGGGAACATCGCTTTGGGGAACATCGGTTTGGGGAACATAGGTATGGGGAACATAGGCATGCACCCCTGTGAAGGTTAGTCCGAGTAACTAGGACTCTACGAATCACCTTTTTAAACATTTGGACATGGTCGGGCGATAGTAGCCCGACCATGTCCAAATGTTAAACGAGGCGATTTGTAGAGTCCTAGTTACTCGGACTAACCTGCACAGGGGTGCATACCTATGTTCCCCAATACCTATGTTCCCCAAAGCGATGTTCCCCAATACCTATGTTCCCCAAAGCGATGTTCCCCCAACCGATGTTCCCCAAAGCGATGTTCCCCCAACCGATGTTCCCCAAACCGATGTTCCCCAAACCGATGTTCCCCAAACCGATGTTCCCCAAACCGATGTTCCCCAAACCGATGTTCCCCAAAGCGATGTTCCCCAAACCGATGTTCCCCAAACCGATGTTCCCCAATGTGAAGGTAGGGAGAGGCAATAGACCCAACCTCGTCCCCAGTGCGTACTTTATTGCAACCTCGTTTCCAATAGTAAGCCCTTGCTGGATTCTTTCTGTATCCTGACATGATTTGATACCACAATTTGCTAGTAAAGTTGGTGTTGTTATTTCCAATATGCATTACGTTTTTTCACGTTAATTTTTCACGTAGTTTTAAAGTCCACGCCTTCACCAAAATACTCCTTTCTTTTCCAGTTTGCTCCTATGAAATGTGATACTGCATATTGGCGGGCCAGATTGTAACATTTTAACTTCCAAAAAAAATTGTGTTTTCATAACTCACGGCGCCACGATTGATACTGTTTTTACCCCAGACACGTACCCAACAAAAACAAACGTTAATGTAACGCACAGGCAGGCACCAGACTATTCCTCATTTGCATACGTGTTCAAAAATCTCGCACATGCAAGTTATCCAATACCAGGGTGAGAGAGCAGGTAGTGGTGGGAACGTACTGCTCGACACCCTGCGAACGAGGTTGCAATAGACCATTATCATCAATTGTTGCAGCAATCTTGATTTGTTACCATTCAAATCAATAATTATATCAATCAAGATGAAAGTCTGGTTCCTTTTTGCACTAAAACATTCAGTAATAATAACGGAGTCTTATATAGCGCACGTATCTACCAACAATTAGGTACTCAAGGCGCTGGTTATTATGTCTATTATTAAAGAAAGGTAAATAAAGTATATGAGAAAAATGAGACCATTATGTAGCACCTTATAAGGGTTGACAAGGTGCTGCGGCGCATATTGCAGCCACTGCCAGAAACACCGGGGCAAACCCCTTCTCTTAGCGATAAGAGTTACTGGGTTTTTTTACGTGCATTACACAACACACGGGACCTACGGCTTTACGTCCCATCCGAAGGACGAAGCAATAATGGTAAAGTGCCTTGCTTTAAAGAACACAAGCACCATGTTCCCACGGTCAGGATTCGAACTCATGTACCACGGCACACAAATCGAACACCGAAACCACTGGATCACAGCACCCCACGTAGTGTTAGTAGTGTTACTGGAGACAGGAAACATGACTGAAATGGTGACAGCATGATAAAGGTCTACTGTAGTAAAGTTTCTTGCCCATGAACACAAGTACCACGTTCCCTGTCAGCGGTGGTTTTATTTCAGCACACATCGTCAATGGATCGTGATTATCAGCTACCTGTAGTTCGGTGTTTTAGTGTTTATTCATTATTAAAGAAAATACCAATGGCGTCACACTGTTGCTATCACTCAGCCATGTACGGTACTCGAGGTACCTTTGTGAAAAAAAAATCGTGGCACTGTAGACAAAAGCGCCATTTTTCACCAAAACATCTCGATGGTATACCTTTTCGGGAAAAAAACAGTAGGATGCAAACAATTGGATGATGGGAAGGGCAATCTCGTCATCACACGACTCGGACCCTCACTGAACTGCATTCTCATCATACACAGCTACCACAGCGCTGACTACAGACCACTCCCTGGTTGG